AAATTTTCCTCCAAAAATTGCGATTTTCCAAAGGCTATAGGTTTGGTTTTTTGTGATAAATTTTAGTCCAAAGTTTTCCTGTTTTTTTGCTAAATAACGAGATTCTTCGTTTCCAAAAGTATTGGAAATGTTTTATAGACATTTTTGACCTCTTCTAGGATTGGTTTTTTTTCTAAAAATTTTCCTCCAAAAATTGCGATTTTCCAAAGGCTATAGGCTTGGTTTTTTGTGATAAATTTCAGTCCAAAGTTTTCCTGTTTTTTTGCTAAATAACGAGATTCTTCGTTTCCAAAAGTATTGGAAATGTTTTATAGACACTTTTGACCTCTTCTAGAATTGGTTTTTTTTCTAAAAATTTTCCTCCAAAAATTGGGATTTTCCAAAGGCTATAGGTTTGGTTTTATCTGAAAAATTTTAGTCTAAAGTTTTTCTCATTTTTTGCAAAATAACGAGATTCTTCGGTTTCCAAAAGTATTGGAAATGTGTTATAGACACAATTGGCCTCTTCTAGAATTGGTTTTTTTTTCTAAAAATATTCCTCCAAAAATTGCGATTTTCCAAAGGCTATAGGCTTGGTTTTTTGTGATAAATTTTAGTCGAAAGTTTTTCTCATTTTTTGCAAAATAACAAAATTCTTCGGTTTTCAAAAGTATTGGAAATGTTTTATAGACACTTTTGACCTCTTCTAGGATTGGTTTTTTTTCTAAAAATTTTCCTCCAAAAATTGCGATTTTCCAAAGGCTATAGGCTTGGTTTTTCTGACAAATTTTAGTCTTAAGTTTTTCTCATTTTTTGCAAAATAACAAAATTCTTCGGTTTTCAAAAGTATTGGAAATGTTTTATAGACACTTTTGACCTCTTCTAGAATTGGTTTTTTTCTAAAAATTTTCCTCCAAAAATTGCGATTTTCCAAAGGCTATAGGCTTGGTTTTTTGTGATAAATTTCAGTCCAAAGTTTTCCTGTTTTTTTGCTAAATAACGAGATTCTTCGTTTCCAAAAGTATTGGAAATGTTTTATAGACACAATTGGCCTCTTCTAGAATTGGTTTTTTTTCTAAAAAATTTTCCTCCAAAAATTGCGATTTTCCAAAGGCTATAGGCTTGGTTTTTCTGACAAATTTTAGTCTTAAGTTTTTCTCATTTTTTGCAAAATAACAAAATTCTTCGGTTTTCAAAAGTATTGGAAATGTTTTATAGACACTTTTGACCTCTTCTAGAATTGGTTTTTTTCTAAAAATTTTCCTCCAAAAATTGGGATTTTCCAAAGGCTATAGGCTTGGTTTTTTGTGATAAATTTCAGTCCAAAGTTTTCCTGTTTTTTTGCTAAATAACGAGATTCTTCGTTTCCAAAAGTATTGGAAATGTTTTATAGACACTTTTGACCTCTTCTAGGATTGGTTTTTTTTCTAAAAATTTTCCTCCAAAAATTGCGATTTTCCAAAGGCTATAGGTTTGGTTTTTTGTGATAAATTTTAGTCCAAAGTTTTCCTGTTTTTTTGCTAAATAACGAGATTCTTCGTTTCCAAAAGTATTGGAAATGTTTTATAGACACTTTTGACCTCTTCTAGAATTGGTTTTTTTTTCTAAAAAATTTCCCTCCAAAAATTGCGATTTTCCAAAGGCTTTAGGCTTGGTTTTTTATGAAAAATTCCAGTCCAAAGTTTTCCTGATTTTTTGCTAAATAACGAGATTCTTCGTTTCCAAAAGTATTGGAAATGTTTTATAGACTCTATTGCGCTCTTCTAGAATTGGATTTTTTTCTAAAAAATTTTTCCTCGAAAAATTGCGATTTTCCAAAGGCTATAGGCTTGGTTTTTTTGAAAGATTTCATTCCAAAGTTTTCCTGATTTTTTGCTAAATAACGAGATTCTTCGGTTTCTAAAAGTATTAGAATACTTGTTAGACACCTTTGAACTCATCTAGAGCTGTTTTTTTGAAAACATTTTACCTCGAAATGTTGCGAGTTTTGAAAGGCTATAGGATTAGAGTTTTGCTCTCTCTCATTCTAATATAAAAAGGTATTTTTCAAAATTGCCCTATATGCTGAGAAAAATGAAAAAAATATCCATCACCTGCAGGATTAGCGCTGTCTTAAGCACATTAACAGTCTTCTTGGACAAAACCAGAGAAAAGATTCAATGTTTCATAAGAAGAAGTAGCTAAAAGTTTTAATTATAATTGAGAAATAATTTACAATTTACAATTTTACAATTCTTTTTCTACTAGACAGTCATAACCAAAAAATTTATTTGGAGATGTCTTTGATTTACAATTATACAGAATTATCTTAAAGCACTCAGTTCACCTCTTCAAAGCACTCTTTATCAGCAATCTCCAAATCTTCCCTCTCAACGATTGCAACCAAATTCCATTATATTTATGTTAATACGGCACAGAACTCACCTCGTGTGGGTTGTTTTGAGTTGCAAAATTTTACCAAATTATAATAGTTCGTCCACAAAAATCAAACTTGGAAATCACTCAATTTAAATAGTGACAACTACAAGGCACTAAATGGTGTTCTCGCTCTATTCTAGTTCCATTGGATGGTGTTCTTTTGTAGTATTGAAAGCTTCATGTTTGAAACAGTTAGTTGCTGTCAATGAAAAAAATCATGCATAAGACCTTGTATTTGGATAATTGCATCAATAAATTACCAGCTGCAATAGGAAACCATTACTCTCTACCAGATTCTATCGCGATCCCCCTCTTCTATGTATCCGAGTATTTCTGGGCCACTATCACAATTCATTACCATTTATTTAGCCTAAAGTGACCATTCTCCCTCTAGAATACCTTAATAATTTTATCAAGCCTCTCTCTAATAAAACCCCTCATCACCATTCACCATTCATTACTTTTTATTAGCCTAAAGTCATCATTATCCCTCTAAAACACCTTATTAATTCGATTAACTCTCTCTCAAATAAACCCCTAGTGTGTAGCATCGAATTCTGAAAAATTTCCTCTTGAAAAAGCCTTTCTATTACGCTGTCAGATTTTGAACAAGGAACAGTTAGTTGATTTAATTTTTTCGAATCCTTTCTGCATTAGAGCAACTAAAAATGTAGATTCTTATAACGAAATTTAAGAGCCTTTTTATCTAGGAATTTTTCCTAAAGTTGTTAAATTATGCTCCCACTTAAAAAATCAAGTTTGGAATAAACCCCCCTTTGAATAAGCCACCTTCTAAGCATAGTTTTCAATAAGCTCTTAAGCTGCTCGAATAATGACGATACGCAATCCTTGCTACGAGTTCCTTATATTTTGAATCGTGCGCGTTCTGACTCTCTATGCTAGTTAGTATATCTTTTAGGCAGAGTAGAATCTAATAACATCAAAGAATAATTCTTTAGAATTTATATATTTTGATTATGTTGTATGGAAGGACATGATAAAATGGTCCAAAGAGATTAACCTATACTACATTGGCTGGGATATAACAAGATGAGATCGTTCCCTATCATATTATGTCTTCATTTTGAACTCCAAAAAAACTACATTGACGCTTTAGCACACGTCAGCTTTTTCAATTGCCATACCAAAACAAATATGTAACATATTAAACAGAATTTGCAGGAATTTTTGGCTTCTTCTTAAGCGGCATGGTCCAAACTCAACAATGTAAAAATAGATCTATATACCATCATCACCATTCAACTCAATATTTCTCAAAACTTTCGAAAAATACAACATACCATTTGCTTTTGATCGTATTGGAATGACGAAGTACCGGCACCATTTATGGTGACTTTGCCAGGGGACTGCTTAATTCCAAAAACGACCAAATCATCCCAAGTTACTTCCGGTTTATAATTTGCCATTCCTGGATAGCTTGTCAGAACACCCTGTCAAAAAACCAAAGTGAGATGAAAATCTTTGCTTTTTAAACATCAAAATCAAAATAATTGTGATTGTAGTAATAGCCAGCAATGATAAAGGAACTGATGATAATTGTAAAAACGTGTGCTATATGAACAAATAAAAGTTCTATATTTGTCTGAATCAAAAATACAAAAGGACAACTGCTTTATAAAATGTAAACAGAACATAACTGCTACAAAGACGGTTGACGCGGCAAATTATCACAATTTATAAAGGTTATACTCACGTCTTTAACCGTGTAGGTCACGTTTGTAGCATGCAGCAACATATCTTGCACTGAAAATGAGGATGAACATAAGAATCTATTCAATTAAAAGCGCATTTGATGACAGATTTGAGAAAAGCGTTAGCGAATGCAGATAGAAATATACAAATATAAATTTACGTGGAGAAGCAAAATTTGAGCTAAAGATATTTACTTGTGGCTGATGTCATGGTTTGACAGGTCTTACATCCACCTATGCCTAAAGGCATTACAGGCAACATTTTACGATAATAGCGAGCCAAATTAGAGAGGTAGGCGTCCAAAATGAGTTTAGGAATCTTTGGAGGTAGGGTGGTGATGAGAACGTTTCACTGTACATGTTTTACAAACCGTAACCAAATCTACTCAGGGCTCTGAGATTTTTACTAAGCAAATACATTAGAAGCATTGCTAGAAAGTCTTCATTGTAAAAGAAACGTAAATTTTTTTCCAGGAAACTTTTTCTCTACAGCAACCGTTTTTTTTAGATGAAATCTTGGAAAATCAATCTTGAAATGGAGGAAAGTGATTTCCCATGGCTTTTTGTAAACAAACCCATGCATTGGTCTCGAAAAAATGTGCTATGGCTAACTAAGAATACAATATAGGGTTAGATATGAGGAGGCCAGTGGGAGCTGTAGGTAAGAGATGAAGATATCTGCTTGAACGCTAGATGCTGGAAAAAGCTTTAAACGAGCTTTAAAAGCTGTGATATAGAAATTTTAAAGTGATGAAATATAGGACACTGCAAAGCAGTAACGAGTTGAAACGCGGAGTTAAAAAGCGCGAGGATAAATGCTAAGGTGGCATTTCAAAGAAATTACTTACACACTTCACCATCATCAATAAACTGGGTGCCATGGGCTTCACCATTGTCATCTAATGCAGCGTACAGACCAAGAGGATTTTTGCGACTGTATTGAAAAAATGAAGCGTGATCACAAATATTACCCGAAAATCATCTAGCACGGCAAGAATTTAAGAGGACACACAGCAAAACGGTCAAATGAATTCTTGACTGACAGGCTTTAAGGCAATCAATATGATATTTGCACAGATACTTGGAAAGGAAAGGTATAAAATAGAGTTTCGGGTGGCAAATCCGTACTTGCCTTGATAAAGGTATTGCTGACTTTTTTGTGAGGACAAAATTGATGATTTTGCTATTTTCTCATTAAAATAATGCAGAGAGTTGATTAGAGCCAGAATGAAAACCTATTCATAATAAGGATTGGCTATAAATAAAACTTGTTTCTGTTAAGATTGAATTTGACTTAAACCTGGTTGAAAATAAGCCGTTTAGCATTATTTCACGGTGTCCTGGAAAGTGCTTTTTTAGCAAAAATGCTGATACATAGCCTTGGATGGGTAGATCATTTCTCTTTAATTAATTTTTCTGCGATGATAGTAAAAGCTTTTGAATTATCAATATTTCAATTTTCAAAGTTAATTTTTTTCAAATCAGAAACCAATAAAGACCTTTGAAGTTCCATGTCTGTTTGTAAAACTCGCGATATAGGTATAAAGTTTTCTCGTTAGATGCTAAAGATTTTAAATCTAAACTCATTGAAAGAGCGGTTTTGAGATGATTTTATATAGGTAGATCGATTTAAGTATAAAAAAATTATGAAAAACTTTTACCTTGCTGTTGTAGTCAAGCCAGGCTTCTGCGTAGGAGCAATAAATCCGCCTCGCATATGCAAGTTGGGATACTCAAGTGAGGCTGGAAGTTGCAAAGTCTGTCCTGTACTGTTGATGGGTGGACCCTGTCAAGAAACCCTGCTATTATTAAAAAGATCAACAATGCATAGAGATATTTTAATAAAGAGACAAAATCGAATAGACAAAACAAGCTTTTAATTTAATTCAAAAGCAGCCAAATAAAGATATAGCAACCAAGAGGAATACTGAACATTTTCAAGCAAAGATTCATACCAACAGCCTTTTCTGAAGAAGGCACGAAACAGCGGAAACAAAGTATACTTAAATACTTTTCGTCCGAGACTCTTATAATGACCGAAAGTAAGCTGAAAATTTATGTCCAAAATTTATGAAAGACGCGTTTTCTTCCAATCAGCGACCGCTAACCTCTCATCTGGTACTAAAGTATGCTATATTTTTCCGCTATTTCGTACCATCTTCAAATTTTGCGGCACCAAAAACTTAGCACGCGGTTTCATATTTTTTGATGATTTTTGTGTTGAATTTTATAAAACGCTTCTCAAATACTAAATACTTAAGGGCTACTTTTTAGAAACAAAATACGTGAGATAACGGATAAAACAGGTAACAAATCACAAGGAGCTGTTCTTTCGATTTATATTCGAAGATGAAACAGGAAATAGGTGCCTAATGCCTAATCGTCGAAAATAATGATTTCAACCCTAAAAAGAAGGTTTTTGAGCAGAATTCCAAATTAAATTGATATGTTGTTTTTAGATATTCGCCAGCTTGAGAAAAAGAACGTGACCCGTATTTTCTTTACAAGAAAATATAAATGGTTCTTCAGCATTTTAAGTATACGTTCATTTCTATACAAGAACTGTAGCATATTAGATATTTAATCGACGAAGCACAAAAGGAACAAAATCAAAGGCAACTATGTCAACAACATGATTTTAATTTACGCTGAAATACTCACACCAGTAAGAGAGTACCAGATTCCACTTGGGAAATAAGCCATGACTGAAGATGCTCCCTGGAGGGAAAAAGCGACTTTTTGCTCAATTATCAAGACATTTAGTTAATTTTATGTAAACGGAGTTTTTGAAACGATAATTTAATATTTGAGCATCAGGGAATTGATCTGTGGAAGGCGACCACTGCTGTGACCAACATTAGCATAACGGGTTATTAACAGAAGATGAAAAATTAAGCAATAGGAGACCTCGATTAGCCACTGGTATTTTCACAAAGAAAGTTAGGAATAAAATATAAAAACGAGCGAAAAAGTTCATAGCAAAATGATTTGAGTGTCAATCGCTTCAAGTCTTTTTGCAGATGTTTCTTTGCAGAGTAAATTTTACCACATTAATAGGAAGGTACTAAAACACGACAACACTGGGATGAGCAATTTTCTATCAGTAAAATTATTTCTAAAACTATTCACAGACTCCATAATAGTTGTTGTTAAATCAGGTTAACAGTAAATACCACCATGTTGTTTGATAAAACAAGTAATTGAGATCAAAATAGAAACAAATAAATGTTAAAACTACAAGAATTCACAAATCAGCAAAAAGTGAAGGCTTTACCATTTTATGCAACCATAAAATGAAGATTGTCAGGAGTTTAATAGTGAAGATTGAAATTAGGAAAAGAAACTTTGACTTTGGTCAAAAGTTTAATGAAAATAGATGCCGCGAGCAAGTTGTTTTTACCTGTTTAATAACTGGGCTTATTAACAAAGCATTTCCCCACATAAACTGCTGGTCAATGGCATAGGTGTTGGCATCTTTTGGAAACCTGGAAAGCAAAATTAAGCAATAGTCTCATTTGCAATTCAACAAGGTAAATTTGAATAAAGCAACAGTGCAGTTTACTCAACGTTTGGAAAATAAGACAAAGATTTGTGGTAAAAATCCAAAAGACAGGGAAATCTTTATGAAATCTATATAAAAAGGAAGCACGTTTTGAAACAGCTTAGCATTTCAGTATTAGCAATTCATAGCTCTGACCCTCCCCCCTAAATGTCCTTGCCCCTTTAACGAGCAAATAATTTTTTAATTAAAACGAATTACTAGAAAAAAACCCAGGGCGGTAACGTAACTGTGGGGAGTAGGGCTAAGGGGTGTTACAACCCTTTGAAAAAAACTTCCTTGTAAAAACGTGGAGATTTTTGCCGTACATTTTCGGCTAATTTTCAAACATTTCGGGTGATAAAGGATGGCTAACTTAATCTGCAAGCAAATGGGACTGGGACCCCCTCCCCCTTTGGCACAAAAGCTAGTGACATCCCACAAGGGGTATGTCATGCATATTAGCCGTAACTTTTTAAGCTTGTGCTTAATAAGCTGGGGGGTAGAGTGAAAATGCTTCAAGCAAAATAGAAAACACACGAAAAGGTGATTTGGCCAGTAACCATCGACTTACTCGAACAAAAGGGCTCTGGCAACAGGATGTCCAGTGAAACTTGCCTCGTAGAACAAAGTGTATAGATAGGGCAATAATAAATATCTCAGGTTTAGCGCGTTCCTAGAAGCAACAATCACTTGCTGTCCAAGAGAAGGAGGATCTTGAGCCTAAAAGAAAAATTATGCTACAGTTACTATAGCTGTACAAAACTGCCCAGAGGCAGTTAGCTGGCATGCGGTAAGCTGAGGTCGGTTACAGCATATACTTCTACTCACACTCCTTTAGTTTAAGAGGGCCTTTCTGTTTCAAAAAGGCTTCTTTGCGGTTTTGGTGAAGTTATTTTATATACATAACAATATATATAACAAACTTATATATAAAGTTGAATCCCGTTTAGGAGCTTCATGGGGGTGTCAGGTAAAGGTCTGATGTAGCGGAAGTCTGACTTAACCCGGGGACGACTTTCTATTCAAATAAGGCAGAAAATCTAATGGGAATTGAAAATCAGTCAAACTAAGTGAAAGTCTGTTCGGGTTTTCACGTAAATTTTCATTGCGTAGTCGATTAAGGTTTTGGTTTAGTGTAATTAAGCCTTAAAATGTATCTTGTGACTTGGTGACGCAGCTTTTCTGTTTACCATATTTTCTAATTGCTTCGATTATAATAATTACACTTTCGTTTGAGCCAACTGACGTAAATTGAATAGAGCATCGTCATTGGTAGTTTATTTTGGATTAATTAGTTTACAGTATATATATAGAACGTTGAGATTTTGTTAGTGCGTGCGTGCAACTAGGGGTTGGTTGTGCGAACCCAGCTGTGATTTGCTGAATAATATGAAATGTGAAAAGCTCAAATGACTTTTTCTTCAGTGTTTTCTCTGGAATACAAAGTTTAAAAAGAATCAGCAAGATAGATCCTGAGAGGTCTAAAAAAAGTCCAAGCTATCTAGCGCACGACTTTGGACTAGAATAAAGTAGGAAACATCCTATGGAACCTTAAAATCAGTCCGACTTAGTGGATGTCCACGTTAACCAGGGCACGACTTTGGACTAGAATAAAGTAGGAAACATCCTATGGCACCTTAAAATCAGTCCGACTTAGTGGATGTCCACGTTAACCAGGGCACGACTTTGGACTAGAATAAAGTAGGAAACATCCTATGGCACCTTAAAATCCAAGTTATCCAGGGTATGACTTAACCAGACTCGACTGATATCACAATTACAGTGACAGCTTTGCATCTGAGAGCCATGACAAACCCACTGCCAGCCCCAGACACAAAACTCCACTTTCAAATGATATTTGAAGATAAACACAGAGGACTCCCGACAAACGGGGTCAACAATGTAAATGTTGGGATTGATAACAAAGTACACATAGGCAAGTACATCAATATCACTTCTGTCCTACACAAAAAGACGTTTGAATTAAAACATACGCCGAGGATCACAGTGGCTATGAGATACACGTTGCCAAAGAGCTACAGGTTTTAAAACGTGTCAAATATGTTTCTTTATTGCAAAAGAGAGTATCGTGCAGTAGATATTGATCGAGGAAGAATCAAACCCTCATGAAGCAATCTTGCATTGTACTACAGAAAAGTTAAGGGGAGGATAAATATGAGTACACCTTCAATTTATAAGAATGCACTAAAGTTGCAGAATGTAGCAAAGTTGCACAGACCCGAAAGTTTCAAAGCAAAAACTCAGCAACACAGTAGGGGTGCACAGTCCAGTTTTGCAGTTTGATAAGGAAAATTGCAAATGGATATGCATTTTTCTGTAGCAAAACAGCATGAGCACTGCCACGCAAAGTAAAGAGCAACGCAAAGCATTAAGGTAAAGTATAGAAAAATACAGTTGTAGCCACCTTGTGCAGTTGAGTGCAGTAATAATTAGATAGAGCAATGATGCTCAGAATTTCTTGTTTCACTTACTTTAACATTGATTGTGTTGTGGTTTCTGGAGAATGGGTAAAATGCACCTAGTTGCATCCATCTTGTGCAAAGCTCTACGTTTGTATCACCCTGAAACCCACATATATCAGCACCAACCAATGGAATACCAAACATCTGGAAATTCAAAATACCTGGCAGAAGCAAACAGAAAAAGAGTTGGCCGTTGGATTCATTAAATATAGAAAGCTTCATGTAAAATTGATATTAGCTTTCAATTATGTACTTGGAATCTTTTGTGTATTTAGAAGAAAGAACTTGGCTTCGTTGACGCTAACTGCCATGTCTCGGTGTGTGGCCGCTAATTAGAAAAATAAAAGTAATTACCTGGAATTGACTTGTATAAATCGTCCCAATTAGCATGGTTGTCACCTGTCCAATGACCCTGGTGGGAGCCGCTGCCAGGGAATGTTGATCGACCAATGACTAATGACCGCTTTTTGCGGACTGACATAAGAGCACTGCGATGGAAAATCAAATATTCACTTCTAATGCAGTATTAAACTGATAAAGAAATGTCTGGAAGTGCTCTCTTAATTGCATAAATTGTTAGAGTTTACCTAAACTTAGAAAACCTGCCTTAGGAGGTTTGCTTATCACCAAAACACAACCTCTGCAGGTTAAAGAATGCTAACTTACATTTTAACTGTTTGTGAGTTTAGTTACAAAATTTTCAAGCCTGACTTGAAATCTGACCAATGCTAACTTTCTTTGACAAATAGTGACGTAACGGGCTAAAGTAACTTTAGTTAAAAAACTAAGGGCCCCCTCACCTTTCGAGGCCCCAAGCAAAATATTGTCTATGCTATTTTACCAATAAGTTGGTATTCTGGAAAAGATAAACGAATTCATGGGACCCTAAGCCTAAAATGTAATTGACTGGAAAGCCTGTTTGGTAGTATTGCTTTGTTTAAACTGTTATATTTGAATGCTTTGTTTAAACTGTTTTACTAATGTTTTCTATTATGGGGTCCCCGAACTGAAATATGGCTACCCCCGAACTGATAATAAGCAAGCCCTTATAATGGGCTACCCCTGTTACGCCACTGTTGACACGCACCATAACGAGCATCTCTAAAACAGCTTTTATAAAGTATTTCCCTAGGTATTATGCGTAAGCTTGGTTATTCAATAATTCGTTATTCAAAAGCAAACGGCGAATATAAAGTTGGAAAAACTTTCACTTACTTCTGGGTTGCAACACCCTCTGAATATCCGTACAAACTGTGGAGATCATAATGAATACCATTATACTGTTTGGCCGTCATGCAAATAGTCTGCGCTGGCAACTGGCCGCTTGCAACGCTTGGCATGTATGGTGGCGTATTGTACGAAGAATCAGGGCAACCTTGTGTGGAGCCGTAAACAAAGTTGGATGGCTCATTCATGTCCTGGTAGAGAGAAACGTAAATGCGATCAGAGCAAGGGAGCAGAAGTTAATGATGGGAATAGAGGAGGGGGGAGGGGTGGGGTGTTTAAAGCATTAGAACGTGAAAAAGAGCGGGGAGAAGAAATTTAGACATTTATGGAAATGGATTGATATTTTGTAACCATGGATGCCAAAAGACAGAACCTTGAAGGCTGATTACCAGTAATTTGTCACCAGGACGATGCAGCGAATTGTTTCTCTAGATATTGTGAAAAAAATAAAGGGAAAAATTGCTAGTTTAATGACCCGGCATGTGGATTCTGTGGTAACTGACTTTGCAAAACGTTAACATCTTTAGAAACCAGGCTATGAATGTGTCACAAGTACGACAAAACCAATGAATTCTAAGAAGTGCTTTCATTTCTTAGAAAACAGTACAACATGGCAATAATGACAATCAGAGAGTAAAAAACATCCATTTTATCAAATTGTTTAGCTAAATACGACTAAATGCTGTGAGACAACTCCTTGTCTTGATAAAAATACTTCTTAGCTAAAATATATATTAATACTGTTTTCCAACCCTAGCAATACTTTATTAGACAAAACATTAATGTAACAGATTGTTCAATATGGAAGTACTTTGTAGACTAATTTAAACTGCTCTGAAGACGAGATAAAGAGTTCCTTAATTCTAAATACACAACAGTTTACAAAAGCGTTAAATCCCAAAAACATCCCTGAAAACTGCATTTGAGAAATATGATTCACAACATGTGTGTAGTTAAAAAGCCTTTCCGGCCAAAGAACTGTATTCATTCTTAGTGACTTAAAAGAGTTCTGCTGCGTGTAGAACGAAGAATCAGTTGCTTTCACTGCAAAATTAACGCCTCACAGCAGTTGAAGCCGCATCTACACGAGCAATTTTTTCTTCGTTATTTTCCTTGAAAAGTTTCCTTGCCCTTGTAGATTAGCAACAAGTTTTGTTTGACATTTTTTTACTTGACATTTTTTAATTCCTCGTGTAGAAAGACAACAAGTCTAGTTCACAATATCCATTTGCTCTGACAATCGTTTTGGCCAGCGCAGTTTATAGGTTTTTGTGAAGCGGCACGTTTTTCGCATCAAACTTTCTTGCAAAAAATAGTTCCATCAATAAAGAAGATACTTTTATTCGTGGGTGGGAAACCCCTGGAATTTCTTCCTTTAACATCTGTATACCCATACTCGTACTGCGCATATTCATTCTTCTTGAAGTTCCAATTTTACAACTTTCTGCCTTTGTATTCCGAAGGCTTTCACCACTTTGCATAGCATTAAAAGCATTGGCGTTCCTTGATCGTCCAAGAACAAGCAATTTTGAGAAAAGAAAAGGTCTGGAATTGAGTCAAATTTGTCAAGTTTACTTGTTAAGTCATCTACACGGACAGGTTTTGCAACTGACAACTTTCTAATTGACAAGTGAACTTGCTGAGAAACTGGCACGCCAGCTTTTGAACAAGTACACTTGTCAAGTAAAAAATTGTCATTTTTCCTCATTATACCCCAATCTACACGAGCAAAATTAACTTCTCAAAGAAATCGTGTCAAGGAAAACTTGCTCGAGTAAATAAATCGGCTTAAAAGCGGGTCCTGTTATTGGTTTGGATTTGTTCCACTTGGATTTTTGGTTGGAGTTGGGCATGACGCACTTGTTATATTTACAATGGCTACATGATTTCTTATGCTGTTGACACGAAATTCGCATAGGTGACCTTAATCTTCATATTGTTGAAGTGGAGGTAAAATTTTTATTTGTTGGCTGATTTTCTGGCAGTTTAGGGGGATTCAGGTTAATTGTTAAATCATATTCTACTATCAAACACCAAATAAGACTCCAAAAAAATTAACGATTTACGCTTGAAGGTAAAAGAGATTCCATGTTAGAAAGTGATAATAATTATGTTGAGTGTTGGCATAGGAATGTTGATTGTGAAATAAATGTTTATTATCAATAGGGAAATTGCATGTTGAGCAGATATTTGTTGATTTTGAATGAAGAAAATTCAATGTTCATCGTATTTTTGTCCTAGACTTTGCACCATATGGCAAACCTTGGGAAACGTCATCCAAAATACACTGTGGTGTCAAATTTTCATAACTGCGTCACCAAAGGAAAATTCCTTTTCTTGTCATTCAAATCAATTGAAAAAGCAAATCCACGATCAGCCCTTTAAAACGTGGGTGTATCAGTTTGGCGGTATCTTTTAGCATAGAGCAAGTTCTTTGCAAAATGGACTTGTATTTGATATACCGTCAAGCTGTAAGTTAGCACGCAAATTATAAAGATTTCGTAATCTCACTTCCTTTTAATTCATAATCTTGATAAAAAAATTCTAGACTATTGCTGATAAAAATACCTAAACAAAAAAATTCTACTCACAATCCAAAGGCCATCAAACTTGATCGTTTTCTGGAATCCGTCAATCATTTCTGTCCAGTACTGCTGGGCATTGGGATGGAAGAAGTCTGGATACACTGTCAGACCAGGCCACACTTTACCAACAAGCGGTTGACCATGGGAATCTTTGATGAAAACATCTAGCTCCATACCTCTTTTATAGGCGTGGTAATCTGAGTATTGATTGCTAATGCCTGGGTCCTGCAAAACAGAAGTCTTGTATTCGTGGAAGAAGAAAAAAGTTCACTTTGTATGCAGCTAGATTCATCTTTTAGCTTGGCAATTGGTTTCTATTTTCTAAGTTACTTTATACTTTCACATTTTGTTCTCACATTTAGAAATGACACTTTTCATTACATTTTCCAAACATTCATTACTGTTCAGCGAGAAATAATGAGACAATAACAGGGTTATGATAAGACTCATAAGAAATATAAAGAATTAAATCTAGAAGTAATTTATGGGACTAATCAGACTAATTGCAATAGCAGGAATATAAGATGTGCTTTTGTCAACACAAAACGCAAAAATTTCCTATAGCATGATGCCTAGGAGCACTTGCCCCCTCCCCCTTTAAAGACACCCTTGATGAAAAATCAGTTCCACAATATATGACAAAGAGTGAGACAATAGTTTATTAAAGATTACTTCCTTAAGCCTATTTCATCCACATTTCATTAAAAGATTAAACCTTTACTGGATTAAATGAGTAACAAATGCAGGACATGCTGTCCGCTGGATACTGTGAATCTTGCAATGAGTGATAATACAAAGGTAATGGAAATGAACAAAAGCCATACGACGACAGAATTTATAAAATTTTATTTACTTTAAAATTCTATTTCAATATATTAGATTCTCGCCGTCGTGTTGCTTTGTTCCTGACACTTTACTGGATACGTACAATTATCATGACGTAATGCATCCCTTTGTTATGCAGGTCATCAACATACTGAGAAAGGCCATGCCATTTCTTGGAATCGACGGAGAAGTCCAAGTAACGATCCATATACTCAATATCATTCCATTGAGTATCAAGCGGTATTTTGTTATCGGCCATGTTCTTGTCAACTTCTTGCATTCTCTCAATGGTTCCATAACCCCAACGACAAAGATGAAATCCAAGAGACCAATATGGCGGCACAATTGGTTTACCTACCAACTAAAGGAAAAAATCACTCTCGTATATCGTATAATTTTGGGGGCAACAGATTGCTTACTGAAAAGCGCACGTGAAAACTAGATCTAAAAGGAGCTTTATTAGTAATTAAAACTATCAAATCGTTCGTTAATCATGGCTTAAGAACAGTTCTACCTAGCTAAAACACTGTCACAATGCAGACTGAAATCAATCCTGCCTCCAGAATAGCCATATTTGTTGTTTTCATTCTAAACTACATGTTCGGTTCAGACATGTTTTATTACAGTATCTTGATGACTAGATAGAAAAATTTTTACAATTTTTTGCAATTTTAGACCCTAATAAACTGATCTTACTCAGAAATAAATTGTTTCATCTCATAGATGTCATCCATTGAGAATGGCTTCAATAACAACATCGTCAGATAATTCAAAGATTTAAAATCTAAACATTGAATAGGACTAAAATTACGTACATCAGTATATTGCTGAATAACGTCGTTTGGAGTTGGCCCCATGAAGAAGAAGAAGTCGAGAATACCGCCAACTGTCCTGAAGGTGATTGCAGGTTTTGGTTGGAGAATGATGTCTAGGTAAGCAACATTAGAGTACCTTTAAGGTTAGGCAATGGATCATATTAGAGTCGTCAAGCAACACATATTATTACTGTGATATGATCAATAACGTAACGCGAGGAGACAAATAGTCAATGAGGTAGTATTGATAGCAGAATGCTTCCTGTATGAATGTTTATCGACAGTGATTGTGATTAAAAAGAGCTACATTTTTTCAGAGTTTTGAAATTAGAAATTTTACGTGTGCAAAATCTTGCAAAAGCTAAACTGTCAAGAAATCCAATACAATGATATTTTCAAGGTGCAAATTAATTGATAATCGATTTTATGGCAAAATGTTTTTGAAGAGTCATCATATTCAGATAAATCAATTCTGTTGGAAATATCTCTCTCGCTGCTTATTAAAAGAAGATTTTCAAGCATTGTAGACAATATCAAGAAACAAAGTATGGTAATCTACAAACTTAATGACAAGGTGAAAATTTTACATGGAAAATAATGCCATGGCTTCATACCAAAACCAGCTTCTGACGACCTAGATAACGTACATACTCCCCCCCCCGAAGTTTTCTCATTGGATCCCCTGATTCCCCCCCCTGTGGCTCTGCCACTGACTGTATCAATTAAAGCAGTAACATTAAAAACATGCAGCTTCTGCCATGCTAGCATTCAACTGACCTTGTGCATTGCTGTTAAGAAGAAAAACTCCATGTGCATTCCCGTCATTTTCAATGTTCATATAATAAGGGAAGACACCATATAAGTTAACACCACCCTAAAAATATAACAGAAAAAAATCAAAGTTGACAGCATCTTAAGATTGAATGCTTTGACAGCTATTGTTGGAATTAATTTGGCTCAAAAGCGGTTTTTCTTTGCAAGTCTTTGCAAGATTTTCCTATGAAACCTTACAGAAATAATTTGTGCAAATTGTCTTTTTCCTTCCTCTAAGAATGAAGCATTCAAGCTGGAAAATTTAAAAAATCGTGAAGGGAATTTAAAAAAATTAAATATCCACATTACTGGCTCAGTGGCTTTATATTATTTAAAAAAAGCTGTTGGAAAGCAGTCGCGAAGGGTGTCTCTTCAGTTTCTGAGCTGTTGAAGAAGCTGGTTCGGCAACATCAGAAAGACTTGTGAATACCGCCTGTATCTGAATGTGGCAAAAGCAGATTGGTATCAGTTGCCAGTGGAACACAATCATTCGTTTCTAAGCATCTTGTGATTATAATGATTAATGCACTGTAATTTTAAACCAGTATTGGACAATATGCTAGCTGATTTAGATTAGGAAACAAAAAAAAAAAATTCTTCGAATTACTGCAAAAAGTACTCCCAGTGAGTTGTTGTTGAGTGTATTATGATTTTTTCCTATTATTGTGTTAAAATTTGCAACAGCTATTGTGCCAAAATTGAAAATTTTGAAAACAAATTGATGATATTTGTAGCATTTGTTAATGTTTCTCAAGTAAATGTTTTATTTTTAATGTAAGGTATCTAGGTTCTAACCTATTTTCATGCTTCCTATGAATAATATCATCTTATTTTGTAAAATTTAGAAAACTTAAAAAAAGCTGCTGTAAGCCTTGAAGCTATGTTTTGCAAACCATTAAAACTTGAAACAGGCATACTCAAACTGAAATATCTAAACCTTTATTGTTTCTCAATTTTACATTCCTTTTAAGAAAAAATTTATATAGAATTTGAATGGGACTTTTTGAAATAAGAAATGCTTACCGGTGGGTCTCCAATATCTCTAGCAAAAAGAGTCAGCAACTGCCATTGTGTGCTAAGCTTGAATGGGAGAACATGCTCTCCAAGGCCATAAATATTATCGTTCTGTAAAGCTGATGCTATTTGCAAGAACTGATTTGAAAAGATCATTGGACCAGCTGAAGTATCAAATCTAAGAGAGGTAGAAATAATGTAACAATTTGACATAAAAATAACTTTGGCCCTTAAAATTTGATTTTAGTAAACAATCAGTGAAAATGTTTTCTAGAATGTTAAAATTTTCAGAGTGATATAGTTGTGAGGGGTGGGGATAAGGAGGGCAACTGTCAATCAAGTTTTCAAGAATTCATTAGAGATTTCCTGAAAATCCAGCTTCTAAGAATTCATTAGAGATTTCCTTGAGAAAATTGGCTGTTAGGGCAAACATGCCTCCTTGTACTAGTTGACAATAAAAAAATGTAGAAAAAGGTCATAAATGCCTCTTGATTGGCTTATATCTAGGAAATAAAAATGAAACACTTTGACCAATTAAACAAAATCATTTTAATTTGGCTGTATGACACAGAACTGTAGACTCAAAGCTTAAGAAGCTTATTTCACTTGATAGGATTGAAATAGTTGATGCAAACACTTCACGAGAGGTTGAAAAAAGAGGAAGAAATCAACCGGGGTCTGAAGAAAAAAGCTGGTGTCATAGAAGAACTTTGTAGTGACTTGTACCAAAAAAGGATAAAAGCTAGAAAAGGAAAAATAAATTAGATTTTAATCTATCATAAGGTAACAAGCTATTAGACACCACAAACTGAAGGTACTGATATGAATGACCTTGTTCCCAAAAACAAAAGCAAAAACAAACTGGAATCTTCTCACTCACATGATTTTCCCAGTAGATTTTCTTTTTACTTGAAAGCTAAATGGGGAATTCTGGTATGTAATATCATAGTCCTGTGATGCACTCTTTTGTGTGACCTTCTGAATTGGAACAGGAACTCTATATCTTTTGTCATCTGCACCACGAATCTAGAACATTCAAACAATACAAATTTAATGTTTTTTGCATCATAATAAGATGGACAATAAAATACAGAAACAACCTAAGACTCCCTTTATTAAATTTTTATCAAGTATGAGATATTTCATTAAATCATAATCAAAACTCTATTGAACACTAGAAATCCTCCTTCTAGTGTTAGCTTTACATGCCCCAACTGGATAATCCTATCAAGTGACACAGTGATTTCTGAATCTTTAAGGTTTAGATCTGGAGCATCAAAATACGACTTCTGTCTAATGATACATCTTAGTAACCATAGTATTGATCAAATAGAAGGATCAGCAGATTAAAAAATGGCTTTTAGAGATCAAAACAAGCAAGAAATATAGTTTAGAACAGCCATACACAAAACAAAAGCTGCCAGGATATCTTGTATAATCTGTATTAAGAGTATGCATCCTGAAACTCTTAAAAAGAAATTCATCTTCCAAGATTATGGAGATCCAGGGCAGATTTACATGATAATCCCCAAGAAGACAAATCTTGAATCCAAAGGTTTCAGTTTCTTGCCTAAGCAAATCTGAAGAATACTTTCAATCCCACATTCCAGACCGAAAAGTTTGGTCTGTGTGGGAAATTTTTATCCTTGATTCCACCCGCGCATTATTAAGAATCTGTTTTTCTGTTTAGCAAAAATATTTGTTTATCTGGTTCTGTTCTCTGCGAATATTCCACCATTTAAACTTCTCATAACAAGAAAAAACAAAGAATACTAAGCTCTGCGTTTTACAAAGACTTTAGAATATGTAAAAACTTTTTTCAGGTTCTTTATAAGCATATGCCTTTAATTAATGAAACAAAATGCTGCAGTGATGATAAATAACAATTAGAGACTGTCAAGCATAGGTATTGAAAAGACACACGTTGAGACGAAAATGTTATTCTATAGCTTGTTATGCTTTATGTGCAACGTTTGTTTATGTATTCAGAGGATTTCAAATCATATTCATGATACATTTAAAATAGATTTTCCTTCCATTTACTCACCATTATACCGCTTTGTGTATAATGATGATATTCACCATTCGGTGCAGGTTTAATCATAGCCGCTTCAGTGTCATCTTGGTGCAAAGCGGTGTTTCATGTTCTCTTCATTTTTATTTTAACTTTATCAAAGCAGCAGCTGAAATTTGTATCTAAAGCATGTTTAGGCAGTTAGTTTAAGTGAAATGCGTAAATATTAATGACTGCTCAAGTGTTTTTTAAGGATTGGGAGAATAAAAAACCGGTAATGAAAATGAACTCACAGTTACTCTCAATCTAGTTTGGGTCTCAAAAGAGACATCTGCCACAATTTGCTTATAGTTGTTTCCGTATGGTCCACCCCTGCTGTTCAACTCGAGGTAAATCATGAAACCCATGTCAGTGTTCTTCACATTTGATACTTTATAACCCCCGAAATCGCTCGGATAAAAGCAGTATGGTGTATCTAGATTCGAAACGTTGTAGCGGGCAGCTCTCATCTTTGGGTTTCTTCTCGAAGCAGCAGGCACCCAGCAACATCCTCTAGCTTTGCATTTCTCTTCAGATGCACCTAATCCTGGATAGCAGTCAAATCTTGAATCATCTGCTACACTGCAGCTATCGGCCCTTGAACCCTTGATGAGAAACAAAACGAAAATCACAGCCAACAACGCTTCCTTTAAGCCGGTTAGGCCCATTTTCAAATTCTTAAAAATTCGTGCAGCTGACCACCCTGACGAATGAACCCCAACCAAATGATTTCCTGTTTTTGTATAGAATCAATAGTCTCATGACTTTCAGGTGACAGATATCAGACCCCGCTGCTAAAAGAGCATTGAATTCCTCAGAATGCTTGTCTGTTTAGCGTTATCAATTTTTCCCACATGACTTTTCACCTGACCTCGATTTGGTATCAAATGTCATTTTCGAGCTTTCCTGGAAGTCTCTTCATTCCTGGATTTTAGATTAAAACATTAACATTTCCCGGATTAAAACACAGATTTTAGACATGGTTTGTATTAGTTTCTTAGAACATCAAAGATAACAGTTCTTCCAAATAAAGGATCCCAGGTTTGAAGGATTTGTGGTGCAAATTTATATTTCCAAAATGCCCTCGAATACTTTATTATATAATACTTTGCATAAATTTTCCCACTTTTTACAGGTTAGATTCATTTGGACTTTACACTATCAATATCGTTAAGTCACATACATTTGGCTATTTGAAGTTATTAATCCTGGATGGATAACGAAAATGTCTCGTGGAGTGTTACGTTCAAATTGAACCTTAGCAAGCACACCATTCTGTGGTAGAAAGTTCACAGTACGTGCACGTGTGTGTCCATACGCTGATTAAACTGCACCAGTTGCTCGAGTCGTTCGATGTTGAATTTCTTAAGTGCAATATTAACAGGCCAAAGCTTCATAAATGCAAATTTTCCCTACTTTTGCGGCAGGCAGGTTCGCAGGAGTGCAAGTTTATAAGCTAAATATCTTTCCTGGAAGTCTCTTCTATCCCTGGAAGTCTTCCTGGAAGCTTTCCTGGAAGTCTCTTCATTCCCGGTTAAAGCATAAATTTTAGACATGGTTTGTATTAGTTTCTTAATACATTAAAGATAATAGTTCTTCCAAATAAAGGATCCCAGGTTTGAAGGATTTGTGGTGCAAATTTATACCAAAAAATGTACATTTCCAAAATGCCCTCGAATACTTTATTATTTAATACTTTGCATAAATTTTCCCACTTTTTACAGATTAGATTCATTTGGACTTTACACCTTCAATATCGTTAAGTCACATACATTTGGCTATTTGAATTATTAATCCTGGGTGGATAACGAAAATGGCTCGTGGAGTGTTACGTTCAAATTGAGCCCTAGCAAGCAAACCATTCTGTGGTAGAAAGTTCACAGTACGTGCACGTGTGTGTCCATACGCTGATTAAACTGCACCAGTTGCTCGAGTCGTTCGATGTTGAATTACGTAAGTGCAATATTAACAGGCCAAAGTAACATAACTGCAAATTTTCCCTACTTTTGCGGCAGGCAGGTTTGCAGGAGTGCAAGTTTATAAGCTAAATAATGCCACTCCTGCAAAACCAGGGAATAAGTGGACGCATATTTTCAAGACATGCTTGAAAATAAAGAAAAACCGAATGGATAAAGGAAATGAAATATGGCATTATCATCATTAAATAGCAGGAGAAAAAAAAGCAACAGATTTTTAATTATATTAGGAAAAAATACTTTCTACGAGCACGTGCTGTACAATAGAATGGAACATTGTTCCGTTTTTCAATATTGAGTTTCTATAGCAACATACTGACGTTTGTCTGATGTTCTGACGTTTTAAACTCTGAAGAGTGTCAGACGAAAAGCTTTAGTTTACTAAATGTTTGCTTTTTTCAAAGCCAGCTACATACTATCAAATGATTCTAAGACAACTAGACGACAGTTTTGCATGACATTTCTAGTAGAACGGTAGATTTATTCGCAGGTTCCCTTTAGCAAATAGACTGTACACCTTCCATCAAAACATGACAATTACCATCGCAAATGTTAGTTTTTACTGTGCTACTGTACTATTTTGTTACAACTGCAAAAGTTAAGATAATGGACAATATCGATCCTTATACGGGAAATTTCTCGGACGGAAAATCTTTCAGTAAGCATGTTAACAAAATTATGACTGAAAACTACTAATTTTCAACAACTATAAATTTTATCTGGTAACATCTTCTTCGGTCTTTCTATCTTCATTTCTATTTTCTACCTTTTCTCTGCCAGAACTTTCTATAAGTTTGGTTTGTTTGAAATTTTATTATTATCTTTTTTCATTCTTTACATAGTCAAAAAGTATTTGAATTTCATTGTTGCATGTATACCTCTACGATTTATATCTTTAATCCTTTTGAAGATAGAACCACATCGTCGAAAGCATAGGGCTCGAATGCTCTAGAAAGTTGTTTCAGATTTCATTATGAATATTTGATGCGTAACTGCTGTACCTCTTTTGAAATTTTTGCTTTTGCCTTCTTTTTAATTCTATTAGAATCAGTGGCGTACCCAAGGGGGGAATAGGGGGTCCGGACCCCCCCCCACTTTTCTAAAATATGGTCCTCGAGTATTGTCCAAAAACGATGTAAAACTCATTGGGGGGTAGTATACTGTATGCTTGTGTCAATAACAATTGTAAAATACTTTGCTAACTGTAGCTAAAATGAATCAAATAACGGGGGAAGATTTGCAAAAAGGGCGTTTCCCCGAATTTGCGAGTGTTTGAAGGGCGTGGTCCAAAACAATATCTGGAGGCTACGCCCCAGACCCCCCCAGAAGCCCTGGGTACGCCACTGATTAGAATATATGTGAAATCAAGATAAAATTAACTCCATCATGTCTTTTGTGAGTCTTCCGAGCTCTTAAAAGAGTCTCTAGAATCGAACCGTTCCAGCATGGTTCCAATGTAAACACGAACTGATGTAGATTCGCACTAATTTTTTGCGTTTACACTTGAACGGATCCAAATGGATCTGTGCCTATTCAGATCCGTGTCAGTGTAATATCATGAAGTACTTGAAGTTTTATACGAACAGCACTTGTACGCTGACTTCCACGAGACAGCCTAGCATTGTTAAGGTTTCTTTGTTTTCAATTGTGACCTTTCCCCCTTTATCCCAGATTATGAGGAGCTACCCTCAAAGTAAAGGAAAGGAAATGAAACTCTATGTTTCTTGGAAATTTTTTTGCGACTCAAGTATCTGGATCTCTAATACGTTGAATAGCTTGAATCTGCTTTTGTAAAAATCACTCTTTTTTCAAACGCTCTTTTTAAGAAACAGACAATTGTTGCCGAATATCGATTTTTTTGGATGCTCAAATGAATTTATGCTCAATGTTCTCTATGTTTTTCGAACTAGGTACTATAAAAAATTGTTACTAAGACCACTTGCATGACATTTTTAAAAGCACGGCTGCTTAACTGGTAAACTCTGATCTGTTGCGTTAAAATAACAGAAAGTTTTAACAAACACACATTTTCCTTCTAATTGTTGAGCTTAGAATGAGCATAATTCTGGCAAAGTGGACCTCTCGATGCTTTATAAAGTGTGTTTTTGTAAAGAAAAAGAGTGAGATAGCGAACCATTTTCTCCTTCCACGACATTTTCAAAATACTAACATGGAATCACGTGTTCAAGTACGGTTAACACGTGTAATATATAGCATTCTTTGTTGCTAACAGTAACGAAACACTGAACAGTTCCCTTGTTTCCGGGGAAGTATCTCTTCGCATTTTAGCCTTAAAGGCATCGAGTCATGATAAATTGGAGTGGGTATACACAAAGTGCGAAAATCCGCTGTGATTTGGAGTGATTTTCATGACTGCGGTGCTATTGGTTGACCTGGAACTGATCACATGAACTCACCTCGTACTGATTGACAAAACAATTTCCATCAATAGCAAGTTGTCAACAACGGATGCTGATATCACATGAAACTGCAGCGATCACGCCGAAACCAAATGGCCCCTATCGAGAAGACCTATTTACCATAACTCAATGCGCACCTCTCATTGAGCGTATGGGTAGTATCAATAGGAAGGAGTTGAACTCATGATATGCATAAAGAGGCGAGTGAAAATTAGGTTGTTTGACAGGTGAATCTACTATCAGAGTCTTGAAAGTAGGGGTAAAACCAAAGGGGGCGTAAAGGTGCATACAAAGTCATCTATTTATCGACATAAACGGTTTTAGGATAGCGTCTTTTCTCATTTAAATCTATTAAAAGCAACACAACGTTTAGGTTGTGTCATTTGCTGCCCTGTCACGAAAATCTCTATTTGTTTTACTTTTTCAAAAGCTACTAAAAAATTGTAAGATTCATTGAAGGGACGGTGCAATGGAGAACGAAGGCAATTTGGGCTGTGGGCTGAGCAGATCGATTTCGATTTTCGCACTGGCAAAAAGTCACCGATATGGAAAATGCTGCTTGAGAAAGTTGCTTGTCCAAAAATTTCAAAATAGATGAACAATACTAAAAAAGGATTTTCCAAGTCTGAAGGGCGTAGCCTGCGTCACAGACCAGACGCAGAATAGAAGGGCACGAAAAATCCTTTTTTAGTAAAATTTGTTTTTTTCCAAACCCCAGTTTTTTCGAGCTGGCAATGCCACTGACTGGGAGATTCTGTCTTTCCACACTTTGTCAAATCTTTCCTCTTGAAACAAGCTTTCAATAAAGCTAGCGACAATTGTTTTCATATATTTTGTGCGCTTGTTAGCTGCTTTTAATCCATTCCTTATTCTTTGGTCTTGAGGTTGATTTACTTGAGAGAAAAATCTTAACTATTCAGCACTCGAACACAGTAGAGAACTCGAGCCTTGAAAAGGACTTTCTGCCTGTAAATCTTGATATTCATTGTCAGAGATAAAGGTCAAATAGAGCGGCGCGGTACCTCTTAAGACGCGTCAATGAAAGTTTAGCAAGTACTTAGATACCATAGTAGATAAGACCATGGCTTGCTAAGTACATTAGTTTACAATGATACAATGATACAATTCACAGAGGTACTTTGAACTCACCTGCTCACGGACTGCATTATGTAACCATCAATTACATAACAGAAGACAGAAAACTAGCAACGCAATCTAAAATCAACACAAAGATGCGTCATTATACATATAATCCTAAAATGAGAAAATAGTATTCTCGCTTATGACATTTTACGGAGAACACCTCGAAAGAAGTGCATTTCTCATTGCCCTTTCGTGCAAAATTCACAGTATGTGTTGTACAGTGGGTAGTTATAAAGATACAATTTTTTTTTGGGGGGGGGGGAGGGGGGCAGCACTGATAAACCAGTGTAACAACAGCCATATCTTACAAAATAAAGGTATTTTAGTTATGCAACTTATGTTTTTGGGGTAGGGGGGCAAGGCCCCCCGGTATCACGGTCCTTGGGTAATTAGGACAGCTGTCCACTTGATGTGGCAATACTCATTTATTAGATTGAGTCTGAAGGGTCCCGTGGCTCTCCTGCAACAGAACGCTTTGAAACCATTGGGCAAAGGGCGTTTCCAAAATATTCCAAAGTTGGATGTATAAAACCAATCAGTCGATTCGATCAGTCGATTCTTGAAACGAAGTCAAACTAATCCGTTTTTTGCCTTGCGTTCACTCTGCTATGAAAACGGAGTCGTTTGAAAACGCTCATGAAAACGGATACTTTCGAATACGGTGCGTATTGCATACGTACACCAAAAACGGAGACATTTTAACACGCCAACAACGGCAACAAAATACGTGGTTTCTAGCACACCAAATCTTGAAAAATTGAGAATTCACAATGAACTGGTAGCTGTTACAACAAAGGTTTTCACGATTTGCTTTTATTTAATCTAATTCATAATGACGCCAGTTTGTTGAGGATTCGTAAACGCCTTTTTTCCAAAATGAGGCCACCAACAGCGTTTTTGTTGGAGCAGTGTGAACACTTAGGCCTGGTTCAAACGTCTCATGTGCGGAACCTAACTCGAGAATTGAGTACATGAGGGGCGCGATGTTTGAATCAATTTGGTACGGCAGATTTAGTTAGAAGCGGCACACTAGTTTGGATCGGCAGAGCTTGCCGAGCTGCACGGCTCCAGCACGGCACGGTTTCAAGCGTCGAACTTGTCATGTACCGAACTCAATGCATAATTATATTTAATTTATTTTCCTTCACAGAATGCATTTTAAGTTCGACGTTTGAAACGGGAGTCGCGCTAAACATGCTCAAGTGTCGCTCCAAACAGAGTTAGGTTCGGCACATGAGAAGTGGGTCGTTTGAACCAGGCCTTACCGTATTCAAATCGTATTCGTTTGAAAACGGATAAGTGTGAATGGACAGCGTTTTCGTCGACGCAAACGGAGCGAAAGGCACCTGTAGAAAGATGCTATGCTGCTATGGAAAGAGCCTTAGAAGATGCACAAGTCATGGAGGGCTTCTTAAAGATACACAAAATCTATATAATCTCCAAACAAATCAATTCATCAAATTTGTCAAATGAATATAGTAGATGCTCCTGTCCTTCCTTTTCTATTTCCTGAAAAAACTCTTGCAATGGAATTAGTGGCCGTATCCCTGGACCTCTTATAAACCTGCAAACTAAGGAACTTTCACCCCTCCAGCCCCGCGGAGATGTTTTAAGTTAAAAGACCATCAGCCCCCTTTAGTAAAGAAAAACAAGACACCGCGACAGTCGAAGTCTCTAACACTGTGCTTTCAAACGGTGCAGTATAAGCTGGATGCATTGGTTATTTTCGGGAATCAAAATGAGGATGAAGACAGTACTGAAATCTTCTTACTTTAAACAGCACTCTAAACAACGAGAACTATGCACTTCAACAATTCTTCAACTTGTAGGTAGAAAAGTGTAGATAAAGTATGCTAGGTTATTAGTTTGTCTTATTTCCACTTTTCTGTGCTATTTTAAATTTTGAAGTACGAGTGGCCTATCTTATTTGTCACTATCAAAAATTTTGGAAAAATATTTTGTCAAAACAAGGGGAAAAGTTCCTAAAACACCAGATGACAGCCGTTCAATTAAAGCAGCATTTTTTAAAGTATTGTCAATAAAGCATTTTCGATATAGCATCATGGAAGAGTAGACTACTGATTTCTTGAAAAATATGTTCCAATGGGAACAGCCCGGCTCTATGATGAAAGCCACTTGCGAGCACCAACATTGAAACTAAATTGGTAACAGCAAAAACTGCTGCAGAAAGCAAAGCCATCTTGCCCTGAGGGGAAAGAGGATTAACGCTAATAATGTTCCCTTACGATGAGAAAGTATGGGTAAACTAACCCCTTTAATTGATATACTATCACGAACAAATATATGGTTATAGTCATAAGCAATCTATGTCACGAACATTGCAACATAAATACACGTATTTTTTATAAGAAACTAAGGTCCGGTGTTGGTAGGCAGTTTCTTAAATTTTCTGGCTATTTTTCTATCAAAAGTTCGGAAAACAAAAACTGCTTTTTTCAATTTGGGTAGGGTTGTTTCGAAAAATTGAGCCTACCGTTTCTTATAACCTGTTTCTTTTAAAAAATGTCCTCCAAAAGGGCGTAGGAGCATGATGACGGGGTTCCAGAACAAATATATTTGGTACACCTGCAACTGCAGATCAAAAACATCCCACACAAGATTTGCAAAAGTCAATCACTGAGAAGACAGATGTCGGCTAACCTAAAATGAAATCCTTATGACGAACAAAGCATCATTAAGGTCGATGTTTGTTGTGATATTTTCATCTTCAAAGGAAACGAAAACATACTTTAGCTATGGGTCAAGTTTGGTAGGGTGCAAATATGAAGACGTTAGCCGCTGTATTTATTTGTAGACCATTTCAATAAAATAGTATTTCAGTAATGTTTCGAAAAACGTGGGCGCATAGAAAACCTTTCGCGAGGCGATTATAGATTATGTTACGAATTTGTCTGCAAAATGGAGGTCAAACAGCATAACAAAATCAAAAGATACACGAATAGTAGAGGTTTTTGAAGAACCTCCAGGATGCAATTGCGAAAATTCTATCACGTTGTTCGCACCGTACTCACTTTACTCGACAGTCTTCAAATTAAGAATCAAAACAACTTTTGACAATTATTGCGATCTCAAAAGCAAAGGCCATAACGAAAACAAACTAAAGAGAAACATGTAGTGGCAGCGATATGAATTTCAGGTTTCATTTCAAAAACGTAGTAAGACAAGGTTTTTCTTGTCTAGTATATTTTCTGATTGCTCAAACTTGAGGAATGTAAATTTTTACAAATTTCAAGGGAGATGCCCATCAAACCTAACTTGTGCTAAAGTTTCTTTAGAAATTTCACCAAAATTAGTTTAAAATATCGACACGTCAAAATCATTTTTGAGCAATCCATTTTCAGCGACTTGACCTGTAGACTGATTGGCATCCAGCATATCAATTTCTTCCTGTGAATGTCGAATTGGCTTTTTCGCTGGTACATAGGCGCTGATAGCATCTGGTAAAACATTAAGAGTCCGCTCAGTTTCATTTAGGTTCGCTAACACGGAGCCAGCCTTTACTTTGTTCAAGTCGCTTTCGGTTAGGGACCACGATTTCAACATTGCACCATCTCCTAAATGGGTTGTGTCAACTTGATGTTCCAACTGTAACCCACAATCTTGAATAGGGTATCTTGAAAAGTATCTCGACAGCTCTTTTTCATCATTATCAGATGTACCTTTGCCTTTGGTTAATTTCTCTGAAAACATGATATCATTAAACGGCTCGACGACTTTCCAAAGATTTTTTAACTGCACCAGTTGATTTTCGTCTATATTGAGTAGCCCAACAATTGTTAATGTTTCCGGGGTAGGATTTTGCAAGCAATAATGCAAAAGCTTTTCTTCTAATACCTTGTTACGTGAAGAAGGCTGAACGTCCCTCAAGACACGAATTAAAAGCCTATTTAAAAATTTTATTTTGAAATGATTCATTGGATATCGCTCTAGATAACTCAAAACAAAATTTAGCAACTCGGAAAAGAAATGTTTTGATTTTTCGCGAATCCATTGAAGCAATGGCCTCCACAAGTCAATGAAACTATCTATTGGGTCACTGCTACCATTTTCAGTCAGTTCTTGAAGGTGATTTTGGGTTGGAATCAACACTGACTCTTTAAACAACTCAGGCAATAAGTAGCATCTGGAAAAAAGCAACATAAATACACGATACATGATACAAATACATGAATAACAAAGATAATATTGACTGAATAAGATTAAAAAAGCATACACAATATCTTAGCAAAAAGCAGTGCCTTCGAACAATAGCCTAAAAAAAGGATAATATTTTTATCTTTTAACTGAAAATCGTATTAGCATGATTTGCGAAGCTACTTTATAACTATAATATTCGATTATTTACAGACAACAGGATTTCGAAGATAATTAATAGAGAGTGCGGGAAAATAACCGACCCGAGCGAGGCTCGAACTCACGACCCCTGACTTTGTACGTCAAGTGCGATTAGGAGATGATTCATCGACATGAAATATCATATCACGAGGAGTTGCAGGTGCCCAGTCAGCTGTTGAATGTTTGGTCGACCATTCATTGAAGATTTAAACTAAGACAATATCTAGCGTGTAGGAGGGATCGTAACTGAGATTAAGTAGTGGATATGCTTGAAACTACGATAAAGGTTAAGTTTTGACAGCAAGCGTCCAACATAAATTAACAATAAACCTGATGACTTGAGGAGAGCATAGCTTCTTTCCAAGCTCTGGGCTGATGTTGCTAATGACCTTGCTACTGCCAATTCCAGAAGGCCACTGCCCACACATGTACTCATTTAAAAATTTATGAAGGTTCTCTTGGAAATCTTTGTCCATGTAATTGAGATGTACATATGTTTTCTCCCAATACTTTTCTTTAAGCCATGCCAATGCAGTTTCGGCAGCCGCATGTAAAACATTAGTCGAAGGCAATGAAGAATGTGTAGCATCATGACGTAAATCCACTAGCCAATCTGGAATGCCTAATTCCTCTGCAACTGAATTCACTGATCTAGCATAAAGACCTTTCTGCACTACGAAGTAAGACCGATAGTAATTTATCACTCAACCATAAAAATCTATGATTTGGTTACATCATTTCAATTATCATTTCAGTTGCTTTTATTCAGGTTTCCCGCAAATTCAGCGACACAAGGAAAAGTTGCAAGGCGATCTCATCTTTAAAGCTGCATTTATGGACCAGAGACAAAAAAGTGAAAATAATCATTTTCTAGCAGGCAGACGGAAAAGGTGCAGATAATATTTTCCTAGTGCAAATATTTTTGTTAAATTATGTCTTTATCTTTTATTTTGTTATTGAATTTACCCAAATTTGTCAGTTTTCTTGTAATCTGCAAGCAAGTGAGAGCACTTAAAAGCTTTCAAATTGGCATTGATTAAATGGAGGAAGTTCATATTCAGAATGAAAATTTCTCAGCACCAGCTCGTGTTATATTTGCTGTATCAAGAAAACTTTACATATTTGGGAAAATCATCTTAAATTAAGCAGCATATTGCAAATAATACAAAAAACTAGAGAAAAATTAACAAAACGCTATTAATCATCCTCTTAAAATCTTTTTAGAAATAATTGAATCTTGTAAGGGATAAACGCAAGAGATTATTAGCCTAGTATATTAATTCCTTATTTAAACACTTTTTCATACCTCCCATTGACAGGTTTTTCATACCTGTCAATGTTTATCTGTAAATTTAGAACGGCCCCTCCAGTTTGTTGGCAAATGGGAACTGAAAAGCTTCTGTTGAGCACAATAGCTAGCATCGACCCTGATTAGTGAAGAAGATCCAATGAAAAATTGTGTACTGCAAAAGAGCATGCAGATTCTAACAGTTCTCCATGTCAGCTCACCCATGCAAAATTAGTTCAGCTGTATGTTAACTTCTTTAGCTTATAACAAAGTGCGTAAACAGAATCTCTACATAAGACAAAAAATGATTCTGCACCAGTTTCAAATTGTGGCATGTTGTGTCAGACTTGTCTCGTTTATTGATTGTGAATTCTGAGTCAGTATTTTCTTGAGCCACTTCCTAGTGTCTTGGAAATCTTAAATAAAACATTACCATAGAGAGAAATTATTGGTGGTTGTGTATGTTTTATGCACAAGATCTCATTAGAAAACATAGCAGCTTGTAGTTCGATGAGTGCATGCAGCTGTTGTTTTTTTCACTGCAGCAGTTCAACTCTGTAAGCAACTGGCAAACCTCTTTTTGCTGATCACACAGAATGTGCTTATCAAAACAGAGTTTCATCATAATGTTATAACAGCAAATTTTAATTATAAAATAATCTAATTATTCATGCAAATAGCATAAAATCATTATGTTCTTTTACAAAATTTGGAGGTGATTATTTAACATTGAAATTCAAAGAAACTGTTGTTTTTGGAAGAAAAGAAAATAGATATGGCTAAATAAACATTGGGGTGCACAAGTAGGCATTTACGCTGAGTTAGTTGAACTGACAGGAACTGACATTTTTCTCAAAATTAATGTAGAAAGTGTTGCCAATGGTGTGAAGTTTTGTTTGATTGAGTGTTAATCATGGAATAACGCCTGATGGCTTTACAAAAGTGGTTTAAATTTCAAAGGGCATGTTATTGACAACAGTGTACCTTATCAATACTTTTTTGACTCTTTATTAGTGGTGTAATTACAGGGGATGAACACATCCCATAAATCTTATTGATAAATTGGTTTGGCATAAAAAGCTCAGAAAGTAGGATAGTACTCCCACTGCAGTTTTGGAATCCATCTACAGAAACATAAAAAAGTTGCTTGTTAGACAGAATAAGTTCATTTCACCTTATGACTTCATTGAAAATGTTCTTGACATGCAAGTGGCACTGATTGGGCAACCGCAACAAACATGCGTTCATGTTTCTGATTGGCCTATTTTGACCCACAATTGGGCATATATTATTCCTGGCACTGAGTTTTTGACCAATGTTCTGATGTTTTATACTATGAAGAGCGTCAAACAAAAAGCTTTAGTAGATAACATGTTTCAAAATGTTTGTTTTTTTCAAAGCCATTCTTAAATCTGTACCACAAAAAAGCCAAGCCCCTTGAAAATAATTTCCTACAACTATGCCCTCCAAACCCTCAGAAAAGTAGTTAAAATTATTATACGCACACCCTATGCATGTTTTTAATAAGACAATATTATTTTTTTTCTAAGAAAATGCAAATAAATGCCATCAAATTATAAAATACCTTCAACACATCTTTGAAAAAATGAATTGCCTGAAATAGTTAGAACCTCTTTAGTCTGTGGACCTATTGAGTGAGAAAATGCCCATTGGTGCAAGTATTGTAAAAAACAATAAATTGCATGTTTTAAAAATTCTTTGGTGTACTTGTAGAGTTATTTCCCCGAAAGGGAAAATTGATAAAAACAGAAAAGATGCCAGAAAAAACAAGCAATCTCAAGAATCATTGTGAAGATTAAGTGGAAAATGGCACACTTATCCATGGGCTCCGACAAAGGTGGAAAGTGAGGGGGGGGGGGGTCAATGGAAAATTAACACCCATAACAAAATATTTTGAAAAAACTTTATTGTTTTGCAAAAAAGTGGGGGGGGCAAGGCCCCCGGCCCCCCCTTCGTGTCGGAGGCCCTGTTCTCACAAGTGCACTCTTGCTCTTTGGGCGATTGCTTATCCCCAGTGTGGGAACCATGTAGGTTACGCCAAAGATATCTGGCGTGGACTATCGATATCCCATGATATTCTATATTTTATTGGAGTGTATCCGGTGTGAACTTTACATGGATTTCACCCTGGGCTCTGGGCTTCGATACCTCATCGACTAACAAATCTAGGCTGGCACTGGCACACTGGCATTCTCTTCGATATAATAATATTTTAGCTGGCAAATACCTTGGTCGACCATTCCATTTACGAATCTCACTAGAGCCATAGCAATAGCAAGTCTTGATTGAAACAACTGGCACGAATTTGGAGAAGATCGCTCATTTGACAATTTCGCAGCTGCAACAAGAAGATAAGTGCAGTCAACAGCAACGGGAAGTTTCGCTTCATCTCTGCTTCTCCAGACATCTATCATTTTGAGTGCTTCATCCTGATGGGCGAGATCTTCATACGAAAATATCATTTCATAAACCTTCGTCCATTCTTGCCAACTTTGCCAACAAGTTGACCTAAACTTTTCCGCCATCTTTGAAACAAACACCTCTCACGTGCTTTGAAGAAGAGCTTCATATTCCACTGCGAGGCTACTGAGAAGGCATTTGTATGCGGAGCCTTCACGATCAGATTTTAAGGCTGAAATACACTATGCAATTAAATGGATTCGATTTAATGGATTGCTGGAAAATGGATAGTGTAAACGCGAAATTGGATGTCAAAATAGCTGTTTCGACGAAGTGAAACTTCCTTTTAAAAAGTTGGACGTGTTCATCTTTCGTTCAACTTTTTGCTATTGTATTCTTTGAACATCCTTCGAACCTATTGTCTTTATTGACGTGCACTGCACTTCAAGGGCTTTACTTCATCAGCCAGGTTATTTTTTTGATCACGCTCCTTTTAGAGTCAAGAATTAAAAAAGGCGAAGAGTTTATAAATTTGTTGAAAGAGGAAAACTGTCTTTGGGACAAAAGATCTCATCTGTATCTCAAAAGAGATGCAAGAAAAACAAAATTAATGAGCCTTGCTTATAACTTCATCTTTTCTGGTATTGCCTCTCGCAGCCTTGTGTTAATTTTTTAATATCAAAAGCAATGAATTGCAAGAGCTCATCGATATTTTCGCAAAACATTCTCAAGAACATTTCATATTCGTCGACTTCTTCCAGACGGAATTCTTGCAAAAGCGTGTTATCAATTCCTAGAACAGTTCTTCGGGTCAACCAGGGCTTAACACAGACGAATCTTTGTTGCCTATTTAATTTTTTGCGCATACTTTTTCATTTTTTATAAACAATTGCCATCATAGCGGAAGCAGCAGCACATTTCTCATCAGAGTCAATAATAAAATGAAGCGCCGTTTTAAAAAAACTGATTAAATTTAATGGATGAGTGTAAATGGGGACATATTTTTATTTAAATGGACCGTCCATTTAATCGAATCCATTTAAATGCACAGTGTATTTCAGCCTTTACTTTCTGGCCCTTTTCACTCATTTTAAACTCCCCCTCAAAGGCCCTAAAAAGGTTTTCTTGTCTCAAGTGGCGCAAACCTCAGGTGGCGCAAAAAGCTTTTTTTATTAACAAAAACATATGGAATAACAAATTTTGGTTTTTATTGGACATTACTTAGTGAGAACGGTACATGGCGATGTATAGTTCAAACTAACATCAAACTATTGAAAATGCTGTTAATGCAGAAAAGGCAAAATTAGATTAACGTATCATAACCTAAGATGTATCGTTAAATTGTCACGCGTACTACCGAAATACTGTTGCTCATGGAATTAGCAGAGGCTAAAAGTTTAGGCAGGCCTCGTATGGGTCTTGCCCAAATATTGTTGCTGCATTGAGTTTACGTTTCAAACTGGGCCTGAATTTCGATAAATTTTGCTTTCAAAAGTTCCTTACTTGTATATGTTAATTGAATCTAAAGTTACTGACACTAATCCTTTTCTCTTTATTCACAATCTTTTTCTTCTATTCTTGTCTAATCAATGTTGACAATCAAAATGTGCTTCAGTACCATTTCAATGCAATTAGAATTAGTTTGTTGATATCTAATGAAAATTGAGCTCTTCTCGTCAAATTTTGTAATTATTTTGACATCAATTTCCTTGATTTATCTCATGTGTGATTGCTTTTAATATAGAATGGAATAAGAACTTTTCCTTTTTCCTTGGCATCTGATGTATTTAAAAAGACAGCATCCCAGTTTCACCAAACCTTTTCTGTTGTTTTCAAAACACAAGACTTGCTGGTTGTCTCCATTTCAAAGATTTCAATAATATTTTGATATCTTCAATACCCTTGGTGCACCTAAAAAATGGATCATTGCCACATTTGAAAAAAAGGAGCTCTCAGGCTTCAGGCTTGTTGGAACTTTTATCAGGAGGAACCTCTGTTGGTAAGAAAAAGCACTGGTATGATTAAAATTATTGAAGATCAATTAAATTGAAGACAACTATACTAAAATAAACCATTGCTGTGATGGCTAACCTTGCATTTCAATAAAGCAACTTCAACTTTATGTAACTTGTTTTGGGCAGAGAAACTGAAGACAATTTTTTCAATATAAATTTTAATATTAATTAAAATTTTGAAAATATTCAATATTAATTTTGAAAAAAACATATTATAAAAAGAAACGGTGGAAGCTGAATGCTAATGAAAATCACTGGTTTTAAATCAGCCAAATAAATCTTCAGACGACAAAAGTTTCAAGTCATGTCTGTCACGAAATTATATCATACCTTTAAACTCGATAGTCCTTCCATTGACAATGTGGGTGACTCTTGCTACTGCCAAAATTTATCTTGCAATGAATTTAGCCTCGTTCATGTTTTATGACTCATGACGCATTTGACGCGTCACCGCGTACGTGAGAGCAGCAGCACCTGTTTTGCGAAGTGACATGAGCGGGTTTTTAATAGTTATTTGACCTGGTTGGAATGGATGGGATTTTGTAACAACCTTGGATAACACTGCTTTAAAACGACACAGCTGTCACTTTGCTATATCAACCTTGTTTTTTCTGTGGTTTACAATTATTTGCTAACAAAGAATTCCTAAAAGTTCTGGACCAATATTTTGTTTGCTGAAATTAATCTTTTTTGAATGACCGAAAATCTCTGCATATAACGTTTATTTTGTCAAATTTTTTTATTTAAGAATTTCTAGACAAATTGCTTGTTGCAAATATGAGAGTATTTTACTGAAGTTTTTCAATTAGTTTACAATCTGCGACAAAATGCATCTTTCTTCCAGTGTGACAATATGGCAATTTCGGAATTATGCCAACATTATCATAAAATTAAGCTAAATTTCAAATCAAGGCTATCCTGTTTGAAAAAGAGGCCAGCACATGCACAAATTAGAAAAGGTGCCCAAAATGTGAATGTAGAATTTTTAACTGCAACTTTAAAAAATGAATATAAACAGCTATGAAAACCAGCGCAATTAATTACCTCCAAATACAGGCTTCATTAATACCCTTGCTGCCTTGTACTGATATGTTAGATAGCGTCTAAATTTACTCACATAACGATAGCCACATATGCGGGTGTAATGGAGTAACGATAAGCCGCGGATCACATATCAATGGAAACAATGTCTTTCTTAAAAAAAATTATGCCAGAATTATGCTAGATTTCAAACTATGCCAGACTTCATGCTATAGGACGATTTTTGGCCAAAATTATGCTAAAAGCATGGTATTATGCTAGTTCTTGTAACACTGGACTTTCTTCATTGCTACGAAGGCAACTTCTTACGAAAATGTCTTGAAAGCTTCGTCCACAAGAAAACATACTCTCTTTTCCACTTTCTTTTCAATGTGGCCCACTGAATTCATCTAAAAATTGAAGAAATTATGTTGAATTGAGTTATGAACACTGTTAAGAGTCCTAAGAATTGTAATCTTAAAATTCTTTGTTATGGCTTTGCATGTTTTCGTCCCGACCCATCTATTTGTTTTTGAAACTGTCATTACTAGTTAATAAGTATCCTGAACTTTTATTTTTGACTTCTAAGGAAAGTAATAATATTGGCTTTTCAGTCAAACTTGCGACTAAAATTGCCTCAGAAATTCATTCCACATTGCATTATAAAATAACAGGAAAATACAAAGAAAGTTCTCTATTCCGCCTATCGGCTTATCCATATAATTTTGTTCCACAGCTATAGGATTACTAGAGGTCTCATAGCAGTTTGCAGACGGAAAAGTAATTAAAATTTTCACAGCTGAGCATCACTTAATGAGCACTCTAGGTAGCAATCGTTCCATTGAAGATCCAGGCAAAAATGACTAGAAAAACAACTTAGTGGCTAGAATAAACATTTCAATTCATAATTTCTTGCTTGTACAAAGATCCTTAGCATAAAGTGAACGCTAGAAGAAATCAAATTTAGGAAACTAATACACCTGCAAATGTGCGTGTGGAAAGTTCTGCTCTGCAGTTTAAATAGAATGCTTTACATGCTCCAGACTCGAGATATGTTCTTTCGACTACTTTCTTGTGCACTGTCACTGTCACATTTTTGACTCATACAGGCACGAACATTTTTAGTCACCGTTTCCAGATAAGCAAGAGAAAGTCGTGGTGTCTTTTAGAACCTCTATCTCTTTTTGACACTAGTGAAGAATTCTCCTTTAATGGTTCCTGACAAATACATTATACTATTTTACCTGACAACCGACAGACTACTTGCAGAAGTTGAGATTTTGAAGATAAAGGAAGAGCAACTCAAGCATCCTCGTATCCATTTTTAACATATTTTGAATACTTCTTCCATTCTTGAGAAGGATTTTTGTGAAATTTTCCTAAAGAGCCAGCTGTCTGCAGAGCTCAAGGGAGTCCAACTGACAAGAATAAAAAATATTTGCACTGCGGTTGTCAGCAAAATAATTCATTAAAAGCGGTGCATCGAAAGGTATAGCAGGGCTGTGCAGTTGAGATAAATCGTGAATAGAAATACTTACAGAAGTCTCTTAGAGTGAATACCCTTTCCTGCAAAGATTTATCGTATTTCATAAAATGACAAATAATTGAATAATGCTCTTGAACAAATAAAGCCCATGTAATTGAAATTATCAATTATTCAAAGGGTAGTTCTTTCATGTTAAGGCAGAAATTCTCGTGCAAAGATTATGTGAATAACAGGATTACTCTGGCCTAATCAAGTCTTTTAAAAAGTGTTAAATTTTTCTAATTATCTAACAATTTGTAAATTAATGAAATTTTGTACATTATCGGGTTTGTCATTCCAGACTTAGGGAATTTCTCTGCATGGCCATTGATCACAGAGAAAATTATGCCCCTTCCATAAATCGTTACTTTGCGATGGTTAATAATTCGCCCGAAAAACTAAAACCAAGAGAATATTTGCTCTATTTGAATTTTGCAAGCGGTAGTTCGTATTTTAATAAAAAGGAGTAACCGAATGACATCTCACACTAGAAAGCATGTTTGTGCTTTCTCAAAAACAATCAAATCACAACATGTCGCAGTTTGTATTTTTCAATGTATCGTCTACAAGTACATATTTTGGAGAAACGGAAAACAACTGTCTCTTGCTACATCGTGGCAAGTTTTAGATCCTGTTTACACATGAACCGGACCAGATACTTTTGGATACTATCCGGATACTTTTGGATCCGATGCCAGGCGTTTACACGGGGTCCGATCAAAATTAATTTGCGTTTCAAGATGAGATCTACAGATAACACGCATGCGCCTTTCAAAAATTGGCGTGCATCCGACATTTTTCATGCAAAACTGCGAGTCCAAACTGTACATGGGGTAGGTAGAGCAACTCACAATTCAACCTGAAAGAGCTGTCACAAAAGACAGGCTCACAGCGACATTGAAAATAAAAAACATGCTCTAAGCATATTTTGAAGACTTTTGGATTCATCTTATCGTAAAAATGTTTCAACACAGTAGTAAATCAACTTCGTGTTTAGTTTTCTGACACCAAGCTGACGGAATACATGTATTCAGAGTACTTCGAATGGACTATTATTCTGTCTCACTTTCGCATAAAACGTAAACGGATCCGATCTAGACCAGATCCAACTGTTCACACGGGATCCGGTCCAGTTCGGATTCATACTGGATCACCTCTGAAGGCGATCCCAAAAGTGTTTGGATAGCGGATCTAAAAGTATACTGATCCACCCGTTCCCGTGTAAACGAAAAGCCTTTCCGATCCGGATCGGATCCACTCTCGTGTAGTAAACGGGGTCTTACTGTATATCTTGTTTGTATAATATATAACTTTCTGTATAAAGCTGATTTCTGCTAACTGGTCAACTCAATTATAAAATTTCTTACTTCATTCCAAGCCATTAAACTTTATGTCCCCTTTTATCAATGCTAATAAATTTTATCTTATATTTTACTCTTGTAAATCGCATAATTTTCTAGTTTTAAGCTTTATGTAATGGCTGAAAGGTTGACATAGCTAATTTATCCCTGTGCTCTATGTCACTTTTTATTGAATAGTTTAATTTTAGGACTTCATTTAATCTAGGCACTAGTTTGAGTTGCCTTTTAACAGCCATATTCTAATGATTTGAATATGAAACAAAGAAATCCAAATTATGTACAAACATTATAGACCAAACAAAGTAACCTTGGGTTCTAATACCCTACAATCATTGGGACCTCATATTTGGAATGGGCTACCAAATGAAATGAAATTTGCAAAAAATTTAAATAGCTTCAAACATGATAAAAAAGTGGAATGGTTCAAACATGTCAGTATGGCTCTTAAATTTAGCTTTTGTATTATATTTTAAAAACATTTAATCAGAATCCAGAAAAGTTGCTAACGTTCCTCCAGACAAAAATATCCCAGAAGGCAAACCTTCTTCACAAAACAATAGAAAGTGGGCGTGACTTGGGTGTGTCATTGGAGCTTTTAGTGTTTTTCGTGAATCTTCCTCCGGTCAGTGACCGCGCAACCGTAATGATTTCCTGACCCTGCATTTAATTTTAATGTACATTTTTCCATTTATTCATTAATTCTTGTAGTTATTTATCGATTTGGATCAGTTTGCATTGTACAGATGGTTCTGTATATAGTGAGCTAGACGTAAATGATCGATATAAAATATGTAAATACATACACAAACAAACTCCTGCAAGCTTTTGAAAGCGATTTACAATTTTGTTCTTAGATTCTCTTCCTTTTCAAAACATCTGAATTTTAGATGTTGACCAGCAACGCAAGAATACTTTGTAGAATGAACGGAGAATGATATCAGCATCTTTTAAACACTAATGGAATGTTCAAATGGGTTTTAATGACGATCGTAAGTCTCAAGAGCAGGGCCGCTGAAAGGGGAGGGGCAAGGAGGGAAATTGCCCCAGGGCCTCGAGGTCTAGGGGGCCTCATAAAGTAATGATTTCCATTTTGAGAATGAAATTGATCAAGCGTAGCAAAAGTATGCCTAGAAATAGTTAAAATGTTTTAAACGATTGCAAGAAAGGCCTGCAAGAAATTTTCTGAGATGCATTTAAGCTAATCTGAAAGGGGTTAGTCACAAAAATGTCAAAAAATTAGCAAAAGGTGAAACATCTAATGGAGAATCTAATCTTTTGGCTGTTACTCGACGTTACATAATTGTGGCTTGTCGCGCAATAAGTATACAGACAAAATTCATGAAGCCCCGTATGCCGGGGCGAAATATTAGCCTTTACTAATTTACGTGTATTTATTGTTGTTTATTCTCGGCGTATTGCGGTGTTTCATATTTGCTACATTTTTATCGACTTTTCGCCGCAAGAACTTCTTGGAGCCCGTCGAGGAGCCTGCTACAGTGACCTTTTCTTCATTCACACAAAATTCCCTATATTGTTGGTTTATTCAAATGTATAAATATCGCTTTTAAAATATTGAGAAATATTTCAAAAAAGGGACATATGTATAAATGAATAGTAGCCTATCTGCAGGGGTATCTGCAAAATGCTTGCATTTAGGAATAAGTCTGTTTTGAATTAATTATAGCTACAATGCCTGCCAAAAGTACTTGGAACACCCACCAATTTACGCTGCATTTAATATCTTTCATTCCTTTCATGAAAAAAAATTGCTACTTCCGCCCCCTTCCCCCTCAAACAATGTTGATGATTTAGAGAAATATCATAAAAGAAGCGCAAAAGAAAGTGCTTCCTAAAATCCTAACCCGTTTGATAGTAAACCAACATTGTTCCGTGGGGGAGAGGGGGATGATTGGTTTTGACCTTGGAAATTGATGTCAGTGTTCCAAGACTTGTGGCAGGCATTGTAGTTAATTTCGCCCAAATTCAGTATATCTCAGTATTAATTTCTCAACAGTAATTACAATCAAAATCTTGTGCTAAATCATTACCGTAACTGGATGTTTTTTAAAAAACAATGCTAGAGTATTCTTGAGTGTTGTTAATTCATCACTTCAAACTGCAGTCCTAGCAAAGCAACACACTCAACAATACTTTACTCTTTGCTTTCTAAACTACCGCAACGGTAGTTTACTATTCTGCCAGACCTTTGTCGAAATTTACGCACACTTTTCTTCCTAGATGATTTTTTAAGACTTCTCCTGATGTGTTGGATCCTTGAAGTGCTTTAATCAACAACAGATAATAACATGCCACCGAGTGATGTGAGCTCTGTTATGAAAATCGAAGCTTTTCATAACATAGCTCACATCACTCGCCGTCTCGCTAAACAAAACCTATCCGGATAGCCTGTTTACACGATGCCGGGTAAAGCTAAAATCGTGCACAGGATTGCAAAATGCTCATTTAATAACAGTCCCATGAAGTTTATAAACAGATACAAGTGGATAGTCATCAGCAAGCAAAGACAAGATTTGGATTTACAAGAAAGCCGTAAAATCGCGCTTTGTTAAATGGTAAAATGAGTAGGATTGGGTAAATATTTAAGGTAATATTGAAATAATGTTTCTATAATAAGAACAAAAGAACTCTTAAAGATTTCGACAGAATTACCACGATGAACTGGCCTTCCCTGGCCTTCCATTTTGGTTGGATGCCTCATCCTTTTTCGCGGATAGGAGTATTTCAACATAAAGATATACTATGAACCAATACTTTACCAAATTGTTGAGAATTTCTGCTATCTTTAAAGCAAGAATCTTTAATGTATAGACACAAGCTCCTTCTTCTTTCTTAAAAGCTTTCAATGACATAAAAGGCAACAAGCTGGTTTAGTCATCAGTATTTTGGAATCATGACCACTATTTTATCTGTTTCGAAGAAACAAAGTTCTCAGATTATCATTTGTCTACCTCGATCTCCGATCTTAAAGTTACAGGTCCCTGAGTATCTTATTTCGTGGGTTTTGATTACTCTAATAATGGATTCTGAGAATCGATCAACATTTGCACCTTCCCAGTGGCAAAAAGTGCTAGCAACAGAAACTGCTCAAAACAGAGTTCAGTCAAAAAATTCTACTTTTAGAAATTTATCTTGAAACCTTAAAGATCGCATAAAATGCCTTATAATGAGTATAATCAGCTAAAAATTTGGTGAGTATGCTAAAGAAAGATTTGAAAGTTGCTATGAACAGAGACCAAACTACAGTGATTTGATGGGGAAAGAGCTTATACTCATATGGATCTATCTTAGCCAATAATTCGTTTAGCTGATTTCACACTTCTAGAAGTATTCAAAGATATCCTATCTGGTTATGCGATCTAAATAACAAAAATTCACAAAATAGATTTTTGTGACATCAGCAATGAAAGTCCACGTGACAACCCAATGGAAAACACAGAAGAGCGTTTCATAGAAGTGAAGGCTGTCTGATAAATGACGTTTTATGCAAGCTTTAATCAAACATTGATTTGGCCTTTCTGAAAGTTCAAAAAAAAGTTCAATTGATAAAGAAAAATGATACGGTTATCTTCATAAATCATATCAAATTACCAACAATGCTGTTCTTAAAAACAAACGCAGCATCGCTAACGCCAAATCGCGACAGCTATGCCGATCTAAAAGCACTGTCTTATGTATAGAACTGAAATGTTTGCCTGGCTCATATAAAGCGTGCAAATGAGAGGTAAGGGAATATACAACAATATCAACATTGAAATTTTGTTTTATAGGACGTGCTACATCTCAAAACAGAAAGAGAACTTTCATCGCTAAGTGCCAAATAAAAGGAACAACTTTTGTTAACACAGTTATAAGCTTGAGAATGACAGATTGCTCAAGGAGATTCTTCTGTGTTGCTTATCAATAATAAACTTTAAAAGCAGATGTTATCGTAACGGTACAAAATTCGTTCGCTTTTAAAGCAGGGTCAAAACCGGAGCTAAATCGTCTCGGTTCCACAGTGCTAGCTAGTGTAAACGGAAGAGTTAAACGCGACCGTTTTGTCACGGTGCTAAACTGGCGAAAGCTGGTAAAAGCGAAAAATGCAGTTGATTCGACTCGAAACCTATTGCTTCTTTGCAGGCAGTCATCGTCAGTTCAACAATACATAAAAGCTCAAGTGCAACACCGTAGAAATAACTAGGGGCATTATTGTTGAAGAACCATAGAAACAAAAAAGATTGTTCAGTGGAACAAAGGTTTTTTTTTAATTTTTTTTTAATGTGCTCATACCCCCTCTCCTTCTCCAAGAAAAATATTGTTCTGTTCGCCAAGTCATTCTGTGGTTTTATATGATGATATATATAAAACATAAAACTTAAAGAATGCCATAAGGGCTGAAGCCTCACACCTATGAGGCCGAATGGTCTTCTGTTTGAAAAAGAATCGAAAAAACCTCTTCTGTTTGACCTTTGAACTTTTCTGCAGAATTTTGTAGAAGAGTAGTTTAAAAGTATTTAATGACGAAGCAAAGGCGTTCAATCAATATAGGGAAATAACAAGATTCTTTAAAGCTTTCTTGGGCCACCATTTTAGCTTTTATTCCACGAGTCCGAATGGTTGGCTGTTCTGTTGGAGAATTCAATGTGCGTCTCCCGTTTGATCTTCGAATCATCTGTAGATTTTTGTAGGTAAGTGGATAAAAGCATTTAATAATGAGGCCAAAGCGTTCTAGCAATATGAAGGAACAACAAATATCTTTAAAGGTTTCTTGTGCTATCATTCTTGCTTTTGGTTCTTCATGGTATCGATCTCAAATTTGGAATCACTGCAGATTGTGCAATGTGCAGTTTGGATATCCACGTATGTTTTTAGCATAGTAAGGCAGCGCTGTTTTTAACATAGTGTCTGTTTCCATGGTTTAAAGCGAATTAATTGTCGCCTTCTACGATACTGAGGCAGCAGCAGTATTATTTAACAAAATGTTTCCAAACAGCAAATATATTTTGTAGTTTTCAGAACACGTGAACAGTCCAGCACCCCGATGAACTCTCTATATGGCCTCTAGAAAAAAATTGAACACAGATTTTTAACAAGGCCAGACAGAGCAAAGAGTTGGTAGGCCATTTTTTGATATTGTTAGATTGACTTGAAGCAAAACCCGGACCGTTTCTCGGCGTGCTTCTTTTGTCAAATTTGTAATTTTAGTAGAATGTGTTGGAGTTGAGTTTTAGACTTTTACATGTTTTTAAACATTTGGAACATGATCTTCTTCTATGATTTAGTCAAGGCATCTGCTATCATGTATTCAGTTAGGCAATATCAAAAAGCAATTTTCAAAAGATCAACATCCTTGAAAAAATTATTCTTTTATTAGCATGTTTATTTACAAGTGATATCCAAGGCATGTTTAGTGCTTCAAACAAAGCCTCTTTGTAAATAGTTTTGCTTATCAAAAAGTGCCCCCCCCCCTGTGGTGTGGGCCCTGAAATCTTTCTATAGTTGGTTGTTTTAATGACAATTCAGATCATTCAGTATCGAACGCAATCATGATGCTTCTTGCATTGCTAAGCACGCACTTTTAGTTGACGATAGAGCGACAATTTATTGCATTTTTTATAGGCGTGATCTTTTACTACATAGAAACATAGACACCACGACTGAAGCATGCCTAATTCAGTTTCAAAAACAACGCACACTTAATCAGTTCGCATGCGCTGCGCTTCTCATGTTATCACTCCGTTTCTGCACAAAGGTGAGGTAGAATCACAGTCACATTTCAACTTACAGGTAAGTCTCGTCTAGTCTTAAATTGCTTTTTCAGTTTTAATGAGGTCCAAAATCTGCATCAACGAAGCCTTTAAGTTGAATTCTGTCTCCTTTAGAAACATAAAAATTCATTTCATGACCGATAGCAGGTTTGAACCTTACATTAGAATATCAAAACACGCTAGAAATAAAGGAAAATTGTATGTCTCCAAATTTACAAAATTAATGTAAATCTTCTCCATTAAATGTTTTTCATTCATCACGCCTGCAAATACGCCTTATGTTTTTCAAAAACGACATTTCTCTACATCTCGATGTGGCTTTTGTCCACAACACCTTTCAAGTGTTTAGTGTATTTCTCCTACGCTGCAAGGTTTGGGTAGTCAAAGGGAATAAAAAATGCTGCTTAAAAGATACAGATTTGCAAAAATCTTGAATTCTTCAAGTTAATCAAGTAACGTACAATTTCCTATTAGCCAAAGGCTGATCCTTAAATTCAGTGTAGTCAAACTATCAAAAGAAAAACTTACGAGCTGATAGCCATTCTAAAATTTGGATGCCAGAACGTCCCTGCCTGTGCCAATGCCAATCAGGTTGCTAGACCACCTTAAAATTGGAGCTTTATACCTAGCTTTGAGCTTTTCGACAGAATCATCAAAGTTCTGTCACCGCCTGCTATTAATATCTCGATGAGTGGAGAAACTTTTGGAGTTTTCAATCGTGAATATGTTCAGCTTGTTTGTTTGATGTAAAATAATTTGCTTCTTGCTGCGTTAAGTTACTGCACTATATGATAAATGGCACTGGATGGTAAATGTCGAGAAGAACTACTGCAGAATCGATCCAATACAAGCTTCCTCAGTGAAGTATGTTCTTGTTATGGATCAAAGTTTGAGATGTTTTATTCGCATTTAGTTAGTGCACTATCTCCACCTTTCATTCTCTTTCAGCTCTGAATCTCGATCTTGATCTTAATCCAAAACAAGAACATAATTAACTAGGATATTTCAAGATTTGGTTTTAATCAACTAAAAGAATGTTATTTTGCATGATGAAGTGTAAAATCTCTTGCTTCTTCATCTGGATCTACATCAATTATTTAACATTTCATCATTATCAATCATTGAACATTGGAGGATCTTCAACATCCCAGCAACAACATGGAGTGTCTGTAATAGGACTATTCTCTTTTCCAGTATACACCTCGTTACCGTGAAAGTTATGACGCACTTAACTAAAGAATATATTTTCAGCACGTAGTTAGTTCATTACTTTGATTTTGATGATGAAGCAGAAAACATAGATGAAGTTTATTCCTCTTTGTCACACTTCTTCGATAAAAATCCCACTGCATTCTGACAGCACTACGTCTGGATTTTATTTGTTCTAAGCAGTCAAATAGTAAAAGCACGTGTACATATTATTTTGGCGCGCTTCATGCAAAAAAGAAGTCAGTTTTCACATGTTTTCCACAAAAAAGAAGTCAGTTTTCATATTTGTAGCTAAAAGGTTTTTAAAATTTATTAAATGTGTTAAAACAACACCTGGGTGAGTCAGTCTGTGTTTAAATTCCGTTAAGTCGTCTAAACGTCCATCTGGTCAAGCTCCAGGATTAATTTACAAAAAATGGCCAGTAACGCTATAATATACGTTTATCTTGCAAATGGCGAACATCTTTCTTCAAAATCAATTCAAGCTTCTGTGTGCCACCATATAAGCTAATTTATTTTGGCTGTGAAATCTACATTGTACTTTACGTAAAAAGCACACCCTGAATGAATATTATTTCTTTCTTCTGGAAGATTTTCAAGGTCTCGTGTGCTGTGCTCAATACGAGTTTAAAACACACTGCCCAACGCTTCTATAAATTATGCTTGAGCAGGTCGGTTTAGTGCTTTTGAAGTGTTCTTGGCTTTCCCATGACATCGTCTGCACATTAAACAGAGTTCATAATCACTAATCATTGGTCAATAATGGTATGTTTTCGCTTTGATCTGTCTTTGACTTCAATTTCACCAATACTTGGAAAGTACGTTGGAAAATCTAAGCGGCATCGCACATTCTGATGTTGAGGCCATTCTTGAAATCAAGTTTGTTTCGAACTTTTCTAAATGGTATTCGCTTTGCTTTCTGGACCCATAAAATGTTACAGATATATCTCGGAGAAATAGGAATTAATACAAATGGGAAACCGTTAAGCTTATTTTTAAGATTTATACACAACACAACAAAAAACCTTAAATACAAAAAGAAGAAATAGCGAACCTAACAAACTATGTAATGGATTTAGTCAGATTGCAGTTTATTTGCTTTATAACAGCAGATTGTTCTTCCTAGCACGACATTGAGGCTCATTAACCAAAAAGGCCAACCTTCAATTCCGACTGTAAAATTTCCTGAACATGCGCACCAAACGAGTAAATCTGATTAACGTGACCAAGACGATCCCAAAACGCGCATACGTTCACTCTGTCACAATGCGCGCACGCGTTCACTCGGTCGCAGTGCGCGCACAAACAAAAAGGTCAGCTCAAGGCAGTGCAAGTTGCTGGCCTAATGGCAAATAATGCATATTTAAAGATTTTAGCAACAAAGTCTGATCTGGAGGTGTGAGAGTTATTCCAGCGGCAGATTGAATGATTTGCCTTTACCGTAATAACCACATGGTAACTACAAATATAGTCACTTTAGTGAACTCAGCACACTTTGTGATTTAGTAGCCATGACATGATATTTCTGATGTTGACTCTTCAATACGTACATGGACAATGTTAAATCCGCAAATTTTTTGTAACATTTGAAATCAACCCATCAAAGATGAAAAGAGTCACTACAAGTTTGATAGTAGATGGACGCTCGTATGTACAATGTATTTGAAAGCATGCAGACGGCTAGATTCGATTTAGAGGCGTGCCAAATTAACAAAGCGCGCCGAAGAACGACCTTGCTTTTAAACTGCTTTTATTATGTCTTTATTCACTAATTTCTTTGAATTGCTGAAAATTCACAGCTAGTGTCTTTTTTAACTAATTTGTACTATTTTTAAAGGAAATTGTATTCTAACACGAGTAGAAGAGCCAAAACCATTGTGTGGATACACTCATTAAACCTTGTCTCCACGAAATCGTGGATGTGGAAAATTAATTCTTGAATTCAGAAACTCTCGCACACGTATGGAGTTGGCCAAGTATGGAATATTAATGATAATTAGTTCATGACCAAACGAAATACCTAAAATTTAAGCATAATTTTAATCGCATCAAGATTTAACTTTGAATTTTAACCAGTACGACGAAAAAAAGACAAAATCAGTGATCAATTTTTGTCTTCGTACTTGTTATAAGTATGATTAACAAGCTGCGCTTCCCGAAGTCTGAATTTTCTTTTAATCACAAATGACTTTAGCACCCTATTTTGCATTTCTTAAGCATTGGCTTCCTCTATCTAAAAACAGTCAATGAATGTAAGTGCTCAAATCTAGCAAACAACGAGATTCTCGTAAAACCATAGACTGTCTGCCTATCTAAGAAAAATGGTGCATCTTGCATTCAGAGACAACAGAAATGCTGTTTGCATTATTCCGACGCTAAAACCTTATGGTGCTACAATCATTAGGGTAGTGCCTTTTATTCAACTACCTTCTAAGTGCCCCCATCTGACACCGCTACAGATCATACAGCTTGTAGGCGATAGCAATTGAAGGTTGATGATAAAATGATACTTTGCTTTTGCATACATTTGTAACATGAATATTAATAAAATAATTATGCTCTAATCCATCTGAAGGTGTGAGAGACATTGCAGCCGCTGTTTTTGATTAATTTCAGTAATGTTCTAATAATTATATTTACTCTAATAACCGCCTTGTTATCAAATAAACATCCATTCTAATAGGCGCTGCACAGCTTGTGATTAAGGCATCATAACATAGTAACCTCTGATGTTGAATATATCAATTCACTAAGGGCCAATCAATACAAACATGCATAGTGTTAAATCTGCAAATTCTTCTTTGTTTATCGATCTTCCTTCCTCGGGAATTCGACATGCTCTGAATATGCTCGAAAGGGATTTTATTACATGGGGGCTAAGTTATACAATGATTTGCCTATAGACGTAAGAAATGCCGAAAATAAAAAGGATTTTAAAGAAAAACTGGATTTGATTTTAAAAATGAAATAGTTTTGATAAACTAGGCTTTTTAATAATAATCAAGGACTTTTAACGTAATAATTTTTCATAGTTTTAAAATTGTAAGTTAGGTTTTTAACATTTCTTTTCTTTTCTTTTAAGCAGGACAGGCATTGAAACCAGCAATATTTTTGTTGAAGCTTTTATCCTGTTGAAATATTCGTTTTGATACTATTATTATATTATAAACACGCTACTCAATAACCTTCTAAGCCTCTATCTAATACTGCCACCGATCACTCAGCTTAGAGCCAGAATACAATTGATGTTAAATGATATAGAAATAATAATGAAAAATATAAGATAATAATGACAATATTTATTTGCACATATTTATTTATGACATGAATATAAAAGCTTAACTCTTAATCGTTGGCATTAAAAAATAATGCGTTATTTTCACTTATAGCAATCATGCCATCACCTATCTTTATGCCAATGTTGCTTAATTTTTTTTGCAAAATCGCTGACATTTACTTCATTTTAACATGATGTCACGATGATGATTTCAAAGCAATCTAAGCTATAATGTCACCTGCGTCGATTGCAATTCTTGTTACGAATTTCTGCCTTCTCATGTCCGTTTTGTATGAAAGTTGTATCGTCAACAACTTTGTCTGTACCATTCATTACCGACAAGAGGACGTTCTCAAAGATGTCAAAGAATAGGGAGCCCTAAGACGGATCCTTGTGGCACACCTATTGTGGCTTGTGCCCATGAGCTGTATGAGCGGTTTGTTTAACTTTTAACTCTCTGATTTCTGTGTGATGAAAAGCAGTATATCAGAATCTTAACTATATCCAAATTTTTATAGATTGACAGAGATTCACGATGAAAAAAATCAAACGCCTTTGAGAATTCAGTAAGGAGTTTACCTGCAAACCTATCTCTGTGCAAGGTCGCTTTAATTGCTTTTTTAAATGGAAGTAGATGTTGCGTTTCATGCCGCTTTCTGAATGTACTTAGCAAAGGATTAAGGAATTGATTTCAAAACTTTGCTCTTTGATGATGAAAATCGAAGTTATCAATAGAGAATGTGATAAGAAGATACTTTTGCATTCAGCGACCAAGTTCATAACTATCGGTATAAGCTTTACCTCGATAAACACTCATAGACACACAGTATAACCGAAGGCTATATGACCCAATGCGTTAATGGCCCTAAGGGTGGCCCTAAGTGGTATATGACCCTAAGGGTGTAGGCCGTACACAATGCCATTGCCAACCTTAGCGTCACACGTTCATAGAGTCGAAGTTGTTCGTATGAGCGTAGTTTAGTGAACAAACCCGGCCAGTTCGGGTTGGAAATAAAAATAATTGTTGATGTGTCTTACACCAAAAATGAAATAAACTGACCACTTACTTAAAACTGCCACAAATGTTGGAATATTGTCTCACAAACGTCGGTACATAGGGAACCACAACCCCAACGGGTGCACCAATGTTGGATGTACAGCTTCGCGGCCTTGGACATAAATTTGTCGTAGTTTACGAATTTTTCATTTTTGATTACGACATCTGGACTTGAACTGGCTTGCCTGTTTCGGTAGAATTTTAAGTGTACAGTAGCTTTCGTAGAGTGGCAATGGCATTGAAAGCTGAGTAGAGAGTGGAGAAAAACGAGTAAAAGAGAGCGAAGTAGAAAGCGACGATGTCAGTTAGCAAATACTTTTCTTGAAGAGAGTGTTAAAAATTGCACAAGCAGTTTTATGCTTTCTCTCACTGATTTTTAAGGGCACACAAGATTCTTAATTTGTGATCGCAATAAATAATGAGTAATAATATCAAACATCAAACTTTTTATAATACGACATCAAAATTTCTTTTAATCTATTTCACACAGATAAGATATAAAAGCAAAATTTTGTAAATTTGAAAATATGAGTCTATTGTTGCTGAAAGAGGTTATTCTGTATAAAGAGTAAATAGTATAATACATTTAGTCAGGGCCGTAGCTACCATTGTCCCAAAATGGTAAAAGTACTATGTTTCATTGAGCAATCTATGTTGTTCCTATTGTTTTCCAATTATGTTTCCCCCTAAAATAGTTCAAAGCTTTCTACAGTACCTACTTGGTGTACGCCGTTTTATAAATAACAGCGACTGTTGGGGAACGAGCAAAGAGAGCTTTCAATGAGTGAGGTAGCCCCTGCCTTGGAATCAAAGAGCACACACCTTTAAATTGATCATTGTTACGCATGCACCTTGACACAAAGATGGGGGTTGCCTCATACATTAAAAAAACTTTCTCTTGTTCGTCTCCAAACAAGCAAGAAAAATTGACCTGGCAAACTTCTGGCCAAATGTTTATAAAACGCGCAGCGCTGCAACCTCAACGTTTGTGATTTCGTTTGTGGTCGAGCCCTTCAAAGGGAACGAGCCTCCCACTACGAAGAAAACCCTGCGATAATCTCACCCATAGTTGTTCTTTACTATGTCTACGCTGAAACAACTTCTATAAAAACTTTCCACCGCGGATTAATTTCACTCCTGGATCACATTTTCCTAAACTGCTTCCACAAAAGCCGCTTTATAACTAAACTAACTTCAAACTCATGAATCCATAAAATTCATATGACGACAACTGCTCGAAAATCCATCGTTTGAAAATCAAAGGCGATTATTCTTATAGAAAATTAGATACATTACTAGCTCAGAAGACTTAAATTATAGAGTAAGAAATTTCTTAAACAACTATTCTGTTTTATTCTGTGTTAAGCTATCGTTGCCCTGCGTTTTTGTTTTTTATATCTTTTTATATCTGCGTATTTTTATATCTAATCAGTAGCTCATTAGAATTTGGGTATTAAAAAACTTCTAAAAACGTAAAGGAAAATAAAAAGAAACGAGAAGTAATGTTCATAGCGCCCTAGATTTCCTTGCACTTATCTGAGAACCAAATTTCCTTTTTTTTCTGTCTGTGTAAAAAATAGTCTATACGCTGTAACCTTCTCTGTAAGCTTAATTGTCCTCAATTTGAGCCTACATTTGAAACCTCTAGCTTTAGGAAGCAAAAAGATGTTTTTTACAAAAATAAATGATTCATTAAGATTTTGGGGCTCAGAATTTGCCTTTGTGACTAGATTTTGAAAGCTTGCCCTACAGAATGATGGCAATTTTTCTGCCAAATTGAAATTATTGCTGCTCTTATTGCTAACTTGAAATATGATCTTTTCGGCGTTAAATTCGAATTTGGCTACAAATCTTTACGAAAAGCTCTTTAACGGTAGTCAACGCGCAGTAGCTGCAGAAACAAAACAAATGATACAACTTAAGATACGAACATTTCTAAAACGTCCATGGCAGGTTGTTTTACAATGTAACCTATCGATCTTTAATTGAAGCGCTAAAGTTTGATCTTAAAACATTTATGTAAACCATTCTGATTCATTTTTATGAGATGTACAAGATTCAGAACATGTGAGGAAATAAAATTGATCATAATCGTTTTGCGTGAAATAATGCTTAGAGCTTCATTCTTTGCTTGAAGTGCTCTAAACGCATTTCGTAACCTGACTGATACTGTTTATTCCTACACGTTCTAGACAACGAGACGCCCAGATTTTTGAAAATCTAAAAAGAGATGAAAGCTGCAGATTGTCTGAAAAGAAAATTAATTTTACATAAAGGATAACTGCAAAGTTCTTGACAAGAGTCGTGAAAATCGCACAGATAACGATGAAATTCGTCCAAAGAATACATTTTGGATGAAATTCTCAATATATCTGGAGACATATTCCGTTACAGTACCAATTTGCGGACCTTACAGACGCTTGCAATCACCTCCTACTTACACATGCATGTTGAAAGTCCTCGTAAATGTTTTTATAGATGAAAACAAGACTCGATACTATCGCGATCAAAATGATGTCAAAAAATACTCATTCAGCGATGACAAAGTTTATGACTTCATTTTAATGTGGCTGTTGTTTATGACAACACTCAGGATTTACAAGTGTTGCAACTGTATTCTGATATTTTCAGTAAGAGCTATGAAACAGTCAAAGTGAAATATTTGCAGACATGGAGGGTCTAATGATTTAAATTGGCTAATAGTTGGAACATCTGCGCCCTTAGAACAAGTCACGTGGTAACAGGATTCTAAATCAGAAGAGCCAACGGCATGAGGTGCAAGTAGTGTGAAAAATTCGAGGTGGAGACAGGTGGTGTTCTTAAGCTCTCAAAGACGAAAAAGGTTCTCATGCGAAGCTGCTGCAACGAGCAAGTTAGAATATATATTCATGCTCAGTAATGTAAGAGTGTTGCGCGCCTGTTAATCGCGTACAGCAAAACTGACTTAAAGCGAATAATCTGATAAAATATAAGTCAAGTGAAATCAGAGAAAGAAAGCTCCAGAAGATTGGATTCTAGGCAATAACGATGTCTTTTAACACAGAATCGATTCCATTTATCTTCATTGGAATAATCATTCTCTGCGGAAATTCATTTGTTTGTCTTCTGTATTACAAGCACGCAGTTCTGCGTACGATAACGAACAAGTTTGTCGTTTCCGTCGCCGCTTGTGACATGATGATAGCAGTGATATTCATTCCGTTGTACATTTTAAGCAAACAATTCAGTGGCTATGTGGCAGCTCTGTCCAGCTTTGGTTCGTTGTTAAATCTACTTGCTCTAACATACGAGAGACATGTAGCTGTCTTTCACGCACTTCGATACTACGAGATACTAGCCAGTTGCGTGTCCGTTTGCTCATGATTGAAGTTTGGACGACAACAATAATTATAACGTTGTTTCCTTTGCCATGGGAACTAACCATGTCTAGCGATGATTACCAGAAATGGCACAAGATCTACAAAGGCATTCTTACAACAATTATCATTCTTGTCATCTCCTTTACATTGTTTGTCTACTTGAGGATTTTCAAAGTTAACAGACACCACGTACAAATAGAAGCTAACATGCAATCAATGAGGTTCTCGCAGGTTTTCCGCGGGAAAGAAAAGCCAAAACGCAAACATGTGCTGGAGCGCCTTCTTCTTCCCGCAAGAAGATCAATTCGATTTGGTCACAGTAGGATTTTTGGTGGTCGATCAAAAAGTGAAAGCACGGATCTCTCAATTTTGAATGGTGGTTTTGACGAACATGCTACGGATCAAAAAACAAACGAGAGCGTCGTAGAAGATTCCTCTGTGAATAGCTTAACAGCCTTGCATGGAAATTGTGCGCCACGACGAAAAGCCGAAACAAATTTCTCTCAATTGTCAAAGGATGTGACTTTTCAATCAAGCAATATAGATAGTGTTCATGAAAATGGCAAAAATGAGCAAAAAGCTGAAAAGATTATGGTAAGACCGATTGCTGCAAATGATGAAGGAAACAGTGATCGAGGAATAGCGAGTTTGAATAGTTCAAGAAGTAAAGAAACCACTTGTTCTTACGCAGGGAAGCTGAAAAGACGAGCATCCTATCAAAAGAGCCAAGCTGCGCGCATCATCATTCGCGAAATAAAAGCAGCTAAAATCATCGCACTAATCTTCATTGTGAACTGCCTTTGCTGGCTTCCGATCATTATTATAAATATCTGTGATGTCATTTCACCAAAAGGTCAGGCTTTCATCTCACCAACGTTCCTAAACATTTCGCTGTACTTTTTCGTTCTGAACAGTCTTCTAAACCCCTTTATCTATGCCATTTGCAAGAAAGACTTTCGTAAGGTGATTGCAAGACGGCTGCGGTTGCTTCGATTGCAGTTTCAATAAAGAGTAATCCTTCACCAGCCCAATGAGACAGTACACTTGCTGTTATGTTCTCACGTATATTCTTTATGTGAATAGGACAAAATAGTGTTTGAATTTAATATTTCATATGTTTTTTGTAAAAGCTTTGAAATCGGTGCCGATAATAAAATCAAACATTTTTATTCATTTAGCCGAGAAACCATTAAGCTGAAATAAATACCTATAAACTATTCGGAGTTGGTAAAATATTATCCATTTCAAAATATAGTATTGGAACACTTGTGCTAATGTTGGTATCTTATTTAAACCAATTGATTTGTTCTTTTGTAGATATTGTTTGTACTGCTTTTCTTAAGGAGAGCGTCAATCAAGATATTACTAACTTTCTTTTAAATTGTACATTGTATGTAGATGATCAAGGTTGAAGCTTTTAAAGAGATTGATTTCTTTGGTGCTAAATCTAATCTTCAATGACTGTAGATGTCTTTATTGGAAGTTTGTGTGCAATTTAAAATGGAATGAGGTGTGAAACCATATGATCAAAGTAAACAAGCGTAAGAGGACAGTAAGAGAATAGAACAGTTAAGTATCGAATTTTAACTACATTGTTGTAGATCATTGCTGTAAGAGCGATGAAGTATAAACAAGGCTCAACAGGATTTTTAATCAAAGTTACTTTCCTTTGTATTCGGTTGGAATATTTCACGCTTTGAGGAGGGATGTTTCTGGGAAGGCAGGGAGTGTAGCAGATTCGTAATAGGATTTAAAATCTCAAACAACGTACAGACGAAGACAAATATATCATTGCTTCGAATAAAAACAAACAAAATATATACAAAGCAAAAATCATGAATTCTTTTTTAGGACATTAGGACAGTGATGAGCGTTATGCCCTGCTAATTATCTTGTTCCTCTCTACAATTCTCTTGTCTTTCTTCAACTTTCTGTATTGAAGCATTGGAAAAGCTTAGGAAATCTATCATGTACCCGAGTATTTATCAAAAGTTTCGGCTTTAAAGTCTGGCGACTATTGGAAAAAGAACTTCAAATATGAGAACAAGCAATGGTGAATTCAAAAGGCCTGTCTTTCATCGTACTGTTTATAAAAGTGTCATAAAAATATAGGATTGCCCTTTTTGCAATATTTTAACAAATGGATCTGGGCGTTTATTAGATAGAGTGTCTCATGAATCTTATCTAGGCCAATGGCTTGAAATTTAGGAAAAATATTTTCGAGTCTATTAAATTTGAAACCTTCTTTTCTCCTAGCTCCGAGAATTTTGGATATCAGAATTTCTTAAAAGTCTGTGTCCTTCTTCTGTTCATGATTCCTTCAAGCCAATTTCAACTGCTCATACGATTTAGACTTACCTGGTAAGGATGGTTTCTCAAACAATACAATACTTTAAAAAGAAACTTTGGAATATTTGTTTCACTATTCATAAATGTAGCTGCAGAGTTTTCTGGAAATTGATTTCCTGGATTCGTAAAGTTATAACACATAATTTGTGACATTAGGTAAGTTTAGCTATAACTGGTAACTTTCCAGTCTATGTCATTCTGAAAAATTTTCTTTTCCAAGTTCTTTGTTTAAATAAGGGTGGGGGTGGGGGGGGGGGGGGTGGTCTTTTTGGATTAGTTTAGTTACTTATAAAGGTAATCTTTTATTAATCAATATTGAATACAACCATTCAATATAATTTTATACTAAATTTCAGGATACAAATAATACAATAAATGTAATAAAATACAATTCTGTAAAAGTTAATATTTGTTTCGGTATTATTAGTTTCTTTTCAGTTTCTTTGCTGAAAGATTTTGGCTAGAGTATTGTGCTAAGTATGTTTGTGATTGATTGAATTCGTCACAGACTGAAACACATTCAATGAAGGTTGGAAAAGCGAAAATGGCCAATATTATTTTTTTCTCTAGTGTTTTTCTAGCCTTGATGTCATATGAATAAAAACAATGTAGCTAATTTGCTTTTTTGCACTTTAATTTCCTGCAATAAATTTGAACTTCATAGGTGTGCAAAAATCCAAGCATATAGATTATTGGATTGATCCAACGTGCTAGTTGCAATGGTTGTGGACGGTTAATTAAAAACAGCATGTCGATTTAGGCAGACAACACATCTGCTCTGACATCTTTGAGGGATTCTTCGCAGGGATGAAAATTTCTAGCTGAGACAGATTAAAACTAAGAAATAACATTAATAATGGATTTTGAAATACCATTTTCCAAAGCCAAATCGATGCTGGTTAGCAGAAAAATAGAACATATTTAGTAGAAAAAAATACAGGAAAGCAAAAATCGTTGTTCAAAAAGAGTAAACGATAGACAGGAACCATGCAAAACGACGAGGGAAGATCTAATGTCCCGTATGCCGAGCCAAAATATTAGTTAACTTTTAATTTTCTCAAATTTGAATTTTTAAACGAAATTCCATTGATGTTCCTGGTCCTTTTTGTCGTCGTTATCCATCGCTTGTGTTTACTACGTTAACCTCGCAAGGTTGATAGAATCCAGCGGACGCCTCTCTCTTCTTGGTTGAAGAAGAAAAAGCTGGTTTCATAACTATCCTGCAGAACTTAACAGCTAATATGGCCTGCATCAGTGATAGCATGCGAGTGCGTGGAACAGAGGCTGTCCTCGAAACGGTGCAATCTCTTACGATTCGTTGAAAGTCACAACAAGCTTTGATTGTGAACATGAATGTTAAGAGGCCTGGGACAGTGGCAATCTTCTTCTGCGATAATTTTCTCCTTATTCAGCTAAAGTTAATTTTGCATGCACTTCCTAAATCTATAATTAGCTATACATGCTTCTGTCACACTTAATATCATTTAAACTAGTGCAAGATAATTTTCAAAAAAAGTTTATAAAAATATTGATTCCTCTACTTCCTGTGTTCCGATTAGTTTTTGACTGATTGCACTAGCTTTCTTCTAAAAATTCTGGTTTCTGCGTTGACGATTCTATAGCTTTTCTGATAGTCATTTCATAAGAGGTTGATGCATTAAAAATCAAACAACTTTTAACCGAATAACACTTTACCTTCAAGTACTCAGAATGCAAAGTAAAGAGAAAATCGGTTTCGCGAAAGCATGGTCTGGGTAGAGCATGGTCTAGGAGCAGGCGTCATAGAGAGGCAGATGAATCAGACGACAGGAACAGATGTTTTGTTGGGAGTCAAGGAAGGAGTTTCTAAATCCCTCCTTATCCAAATGTCTACAAGGCTATGGACAAAAGAAAAAGATTAGGATTAAGAAGAAAAATAGTCACAGGGAAGCCTAATCTACATAAAAACTTTATCTGAAGATTTGGTAGAGTGGCAACTTAAAATGATGATAAAGGAAGGGTAAGTCGATACAGAGAGAAGCTACTTAAAGGGTCGAGCTGATTAGAAATCATCATAGCGACAGAGAAGTCAATTGACAACGTCGACACGAAGTGTTTTGAGGCTCATTATCCGAGTTTATCAGGTTGAAATTCTCAGAAAAATAACAAAATCGCCCACACAAAGTCTATCTGTAAGGTTCTAGGACTGACTATCGCATTGAGAAAAGTCAGCTCATATCAAGATAGCATTTAATCGTAGTCCCTTTTCTCAATGTGACTTTACCTTGAGATCTACATTAAATTACAGACAGCTGCCATGTTTGCTCAGTCTCATATTCGTCCAGTGCGAGGGCTCAAGCTAAGCATACTCTCAAACCATTCACAAATCACTTGACTTTGCGTGCTCATCATCTCGCCCATGAACCAGTATCTCTAGATGTTAGCCTTCTGAGTATCATCTTATCTCGTGAATTTTAGAAAAGCGTTGTCACTTCGATGTTGCAACCTGGTACACTTTTTATAACGTTGAACGTATCTGTTAAAGAACGTGGTTCAATTCTATTATTGAGCTTACTTCAATGTCAGCCAATTAATGTCTATGCTGAAAAACGTTCGACTTAGAGCTGTTAGTTCGACACTGAATTCACGAGGTAAGCTCCTCATTGGCTAACATAAACGTTTGGTTTCAACGCTATCGAGTTCGCGACTAGATAAAGTGGTGTATGTGCAAGTTGAGGTACACGTGAAGACACGTGATTGGAAAAGGTTTGTTGTTCATGGGATCTGCTATTTGAGTCATTGGACAGTACGAACATGACAGTGAGAAAAGATGGCAGCTCCTTGTTATTCAAGGTGTCGGGACATAAAGGTGAAGTCACATTCAGAGAAATGTGTTCAAACCTGGTTCAGTGTTCAAAAGACACGTTTAAATGTTATGTGGATGTACATGTAGTACCGTAAATTTAGGTGGGATTTGTTTTCAGTGAAGCATGGCAATCAAATTAATCCCACCAAATTTTCTTTAAAACTGAAATTTTTTTTACCAAATTCTACGTTCAATGCTAAAAAAACTCGTTTGACACCGATTGAATTTCAAACATATAAATTTCCAGTTTGTGGTTCTTCTTCGTCATCAACATACCTAATATCAAGCTCATCTTCACTGGCTCTACATAATTTCTCTCAGTTATTTCTTTCAAACGTTCAAGTACTTTTGATCTGAAAGTCTTGATATATCGCTAAATTTCGGTCAGAATTTCTAATTCCATTGTTGCGATTGGTGATAAGAAATATTGCGAACTATAACGCTTTCAATTGATGTTCCTCCATGAAATATGAACAAAATAATTAATGAAACAAAATAGACCTCCTAAATGAAGGTTTATGACATTGTTACCTTCTTTGTAACTTTTATGATTGCGTTCCACATAATTTTATGTTGAAGTTAGAAAATAAATTTGGCTTTCCTTTACTCCTCGAAATTCTTTCTTTCCACCGAAATTTTTCAAGTTCTCACCAAAATTTAGATCAAAGTCTAAAAAATATGACCGAAATTTTTCTACCGAAAATAAATCCAGCGAAATTTCGGCACCGGAATTTTTGGCAGTTAATGTAAGCCAACTGATTAAATGCAATACTTAGTTCAAGAAATTCACGGATAATCTTTTGTATCATCAACCTTTTTCTTTAACTATACGGCAGCATTATCATATATAATATTAATAAAAGTTTATTAAGATAAGTAGCTTCCTTTAAAACTAGATTATTGTCATGATTGTACCGTTAACAAAATTTGTCACTTTCCAGATAGAAAGATTCTACAGGATATTGCTCAAGGCCCTTTTTAAAGATAATTTAAATACAGTGCCGTTGTCTATTCTAAGTCATCGAAATTATCGTCAAGCTATGAATCTAAATTTTGATCTATGAAGAAACTCTAAAGATGAACAGAAATATAAGGGCTGTGGGAATTGCATAGAGATTACTATGTAACACTCAGTACATCTTTCGTTACGCGATTCGCTAATCTCTCTTCGAAGGTTGGGATGCATAATTTCTATTCGGAACTTGCAAGCAGAAATCAGACAGAGAAAGAAGACAGCACATGTGCTTCATAGCCTAAGAGCTTACTCCAACGTGGTAAGTGAAGCTGTAAAAGATTATCCAGATTTTCTGAAGTCGCTATTAACATGAAAATATTCCTAATCTTCAGTGATCAAAAAATTTAACAGAGAGATGAATCAAAGGTTTTTTTAAAGAGTATTTTACCTTACGAGGTTGTGGTATTTAATAGTGTGCTAGCAACATTCAAAACACTGCATTGATTGCTTGATAAAATGTTCAAATTTAGAACTAATTTTTGAAGACTGAATATGGGCAAGAAAGGTGAACTTTGGCACTAAAAATATAAACAGTTAAATTGAAACAGTCAAAGATAGAGATTAAATTTAGATGAGAAAATAATACCGTGGTACGAGCCACAGGATTAAAGTATTCAGCATTTGCCAAGAACAGTAAGAAGTTAATCACAATGGACATAGATAAATCTCAGAGACATTCAACCAAGTCCAAACGGTGACCACATATCGAAAAAGTAGTTTAAGAATTGCCGCATCTTTTAAAAAAAAATAATATCTCAAAACCCGTCGCCTTCTCAAAACTCTGTTTTCTCGAATAACTGTTAAGTCACTAGGTTACAGTGGAGTAAGACCGTTCGTCTTACACCATCAAACATGTGTTCACTCAGTCAAAAATACTCGCTCGACAATGAACACGTTATCTTTCAACAAATCCGATTCACTACTTGTTGCTATAAAATGTGAACAACCTTCTAAGCTCCAAACTAAAACACACGATTTTACAAACAAATGAGATGTTAAACACTGCTAAGCTGTAAAACTGTGTTTATCAGCAAACGATTATGAAGATTTTGATCGATTTCTTTAGCCTGATTCACACGAGCGGGAATAACCCTACAACGGGAAATTTCCATTTTAATTTATGACATAAAATTTGCATAATTTCCAGCGTCGTTGGGTTATTCGGGATGTGCTCTAGCTGGATGTTGACTGAGATTTGCCTTAAGGATCGTTGGCAAAGTATCAAACATGTTTCTTCTTTTGCTTATGACCGTTCTAAGATAAAAGTAAAAAAAGCAAATGTGAGACTAACCAGGGCAGGCATGCGGGTTCCATCCATGTAAGAGCAAAACATCCTTACAAGCACATGTAAATCGTATTCCAAATACAATCAAATCGTGGGTAGTTTCTCCTTTAGGCCTACCCATTTCATACCTTGCCTCTGACAGCCTATTTGCTGGCCCTAGGTCAGCTTTAGGTCTTCATTCAGTCTAGCTGTACTGATAAGACCTAATAAAAGGCTAAACCAGACTACAAACGACTGTCTGAAGTGTCAATGGGTCTCTTTACTTCGCAAAGCCTCTCCGCCCGTTTTGTCAGTTAAATTGGGGGTCACTTGGGACCAATGGGATAAACTTTGAAACTAGTACGAATCAATATTGCATGTAAACTAGTATAGATCTAATGCAATCCATTCTCAAATAGTACAAGCCCATGTTGCATTCACGCTAGAACAGATAAAGTGTGATCAATTGTCAATCTTGTACGAATCAATGTTGCATTCACAATAGGAAAGATCCTATGGGATCAATTCACAAACTGGTACGAATCAATGTTGAATTTACACTAGAGCAGATCCGATGTAATCCAGTCACAAAGTAGTACGAATTGATGCTGAATTTACTCAAAAACCTATTCAATTGGATCCATTCAAAAACTAGGACGTATCAATGCTGAATTTACACTAGAGAGGATCCGATGGAATCTAATCACAAACTAATACTAGTGCGGTCTTTGAGGTGATGAACCAGGAAAAAATTAGTAGAAAAACAAAGCGTACGTCATTCTACGTAGAATAGTTTCCTCTATAACATTTGTTGAATTGTTTATTCTCTTAGTGTACCCTCGAATATGGATAAATGTGACACTATCGAATATGGACGAACAAGAGTGACATGAGACCCTGTTCGTTTGTGTCATGCAGGAATCGCGATTAAATACTTATTTCGTTTAAGCAAATTACTATTTTCAGGCAGAATTTTTTTCTTTTGATTAATTCCATTCTTAAAATGGAATTCATCACTTAAAAGGTCTCCTGGACCTCGAGGCCCAAGGGTAGTATGCTTCCCTGCCCAGCATAAGAGATGATAACTGCGCACGCGCTCACTCGACTCACTCGACAAGGTGGCCAAACGATTCGATTTTCATTCGACAACACCTTTTTCACTCGACTTTTTTGATAGAGATCAAACTTCACTCGACATCACTCGACGCAATTCGACTTGCTCGACAAGGTGGCCAAACAACTCGATTTTTCACTCGATTTCTTGTTGAGTAAAAATCGAGTGAAAAATCGAGTCGTTTGGCGGGGGCTTAAAACAGATCCAATTTAATCTATTCAAAACTAGTAAGAACCAATGCTGAATTTACTCAAGAACCTCTTCAATTGGATCCATTAACAGAATTGTTCGAAATAAGGTTGTATTTACTCTAGAACCAAACAAATGGGATTTTTTTTAACAAGTACAGTTTTAAGCTGCATTTAGTCTTGTAAATGTCTGCATTGAAAATGTCTATTTATATTCAAGTTTCAGGTCTTTGCCTTGAGAAAGTAGAAAAAATACTGATGTGGTAGGAGCGGGTCTTCTAAGGCAACAAAACAATGATTCCTTTCGAAATGTACTGTTTACGGTCCTTACATCACTTTCCTCAAAACGCGCGGCTTGGTCACGGATTTCTCAGTGGGTCTACACTTTTAAGATTCCCTCAAAAGAACCCGCGAATGTTTTGCCTCGATCGAAAATAAAATTGATTGCTTTATCTTTCTTCCTAAGCGCTTCGTCGCGGGACACATTTGCATGATGCCTGAATCACTAAGCATTCACGTGCGCTTTTGAATAAAAGGAGCTAACGTTTGCCACGATGTAGATGCAATTTCTCTCGAAGAGCTATTTCTCTGTAATGATTTTCAATATAAAATTTAGTTTTTGATGTAAAATTATCTTAATCATTTAACGTTCAGTGTAGTAAAGTTAAATAACTTTAGCTATCGGTGTTGCCTTTTGCGTTTTTCTCAAGAAGAATCAAATTCATCCCGTCAGTTTTCTAACCTTTCGTATATGACCATCTTTCGTATCGTGATCATCAAGACCAACTATAATTATCAAATGAAAGTGTTTCAGTTCCTCTTGGTTTACTTCTCGCTTCAAAAGGAAATTCAGGTTTGTTCCGGAGATACCAGATAAAAATCAAAGAAATGCATCTTTTGGAGACAGTGGTGGATTAACTAATACTAGGGCCGGAGTCAAAGCTGTCAGGAAAAAGGATGTTATATTGTAAAAAAGCTTTAACGTCATGAACGTATATTGCAAAATCTCGAAGCAACAACTTTAGATGTAGGGAAATTACAAATTAAGGTAAAATGTGATTACAAAAACCTCAAACAACAAGTTTGCGCAATAACGTATCTTTGATCGATTTTTTCGAGTTTATAAAGCTGCAAGGTCAGAAATAAAGTAGAAAAGCACGTCCATAACACCAGACTCGATGCTCAGAAGAGAGGCTACCAAATCGAGTTTGACCTATAGTTGATTGCAGGTAATTCTTTATACCTTTTGAACCACTGAAAGATTGTCATCATTGGAGGCCGAAATATTTTCAAAATGTTTTATTTGAAACATAGTTTTTAAAGCTGTTTGATTTGAAACAAAATTTTCTCGATAAAGTTCCTAAAATTACTAGCTCACCAAGCCATGCAAAGTAGGTTATTTTTCTGATCATTAGAAATGACTTGGCCAAAATGGAAAATACACAAAAATTTGTCTGATGTTGTGTAACTTGTTTTGCCTATCGTATTTTCTCGAAAATAGGTCAACCCTCGAAAGAAAGCCAATTTCGAAATTGCTGAATATTTTACCGAAACACGATCGAAAAGGTCATATTAACTTTTGTACTGATTACCTAATTTTCCATTCATACTCGCATTTTAAGTCAAAGCTTAATCATTAAATTTTGAACTCAAGCTGCAAAAATTGATTTCTCTTCTAGAAACACGTGCTTTGATATAACCACGATATATAGATAGGGCGCAAAAATCGACTTGGCCACCCCAGGGAAAACATAGCCACCCCGCCACTGCTAGTTTGCTGAACTCTAGCAAAGCTGAGAAATCAAAAAAGCAATCCGGCAAAATACCAAAACAGATGCTGGACTGTCCATCACGTGGTAATGTTGTAGCCAGCGCTAATCTAAACGAAAGTTTGGATGAAACTCAGCTTCCACGACAGCGCAAAATCCCACGACGATTGGATGGAAACTCCACTCGTCTTCCTTACAGCGGCAGAAGTTGCATATAGGCTGAAGGTGGACAATGTTTTTGTCGGATTCAGAAACAGATTTGTGCCCGAAAATACTGCTGCTCGATTGAAAAAGACTTGATTCTTGGAAAAGAAACAAATTCAGGCTATATATTTAGGCAGATGACCTAGATTGAACTAAATTTGCATTGCGCTGGGATATGCTTGTGTTTACTGTGCCAGTGTCTACGTGTCCCGTAGAAAGATTATTCCTTTGTCCAAGAAGGTAAAAACATATTTAAGGTCATGAATGTCCCAGGAACGTCTTAATGCAGTCACTATAATGAGCGTCCACGAAGATCTTGTGGAAAATATTCCATTTGCTGCACTAATTCATTTAGATTCATATTTAAGAAAGAGCCAATGTTGACTGTCCAAACTTTACAAAAAACAACTACACTCTTTTTTTATAAGAACCAGTAAATTTAAGTTCAGGCTGACTGTTCTTAATATTTTCAAAAATCCGAGGCTGGATTGTTCTTAATTTGTTCTTAATCTAATAGGGTGTAAGCAGTGCGAGTGCTAGCTTTTACGCTCTAGGGAGTTGTTCAGGCCTCATTTGCCAACAAAGTGAGTGAGACAATCATTCATTTGCCGAAAAGTTTGAATATTCGATTAAAAAGCACCCACACATCGCTAAAAATCCTCGATTTTGAGAAAAAACGTTGTTCAAAATGGCATTTTGCAGAGCTCAGCCTCAGCTTGTTCTTAATTTGTTATTAACTTTTGACCAGTTTCGAGGCTCGTGTTCTTATAAAATTGTTCTTATAAAAAAAGAGTGTGTTGAAAACTACAGCAGTGCTGAATTATCAATCTCTTTTTCCTCTGTTATGTTTTAATTTGACTATGTTACAAACAGGTAAATAACTGTAAAAACAGGTATGAAGCATAAGCACATCAATGTTTGTTTTCTTCTGATACTCAGTATATTATTCTAATTTTGAGCCTCCCCCTTACGAGAATAAACGTCGGGACCTATGCTACCCAAATCGTAACAAAATTGGTCTGCTTGCGAATAAAAAAATCAAATCATTTAGTATCCACAAGGTCAGGTCCTCCAAGGTCAGGTTCTCCAACCCAATGAGAGAGTCTATGAACAGTGGATTTTTGCCTCGATATTCAAATTCTCAAATATTAAATTTTTAATGATTACTACAAGAAGGTTAAAAACAGAAGAAGCTGTACTGTGCTACTGTTGAAGGAAGAGCATCACAAGAAATCATTTAAAAAGATCTATGCTGATGATAGTAGTGTGATAATAGCATCGAGTGCCATCGAGAAACTAGTAGCAGATACGCAAGGGGAGTTAAAAAACATTCCGGATAGGCTAGACTTACCTTAGTGAGTTTCGTTGAATCGCAGAATTTTAATCAAACTCCGAGGAAACATCTTTTCAGGGAGATAACCTGTTGAACAAAAAAAGTTGTAGTTCTCAGTTTATATGTTATGATAGTTTTCAATAAAAGATACTTTCAAATTTTGCTCAGCCTTTCGTGGTCCGAATGCTGTAAGCTTTTCCCCCAGGTTGAAAAAGTTTCCCGTCCCCGACTTACAGGTAAGCCTCGTTTGATTGGAAAACTGGATTTCAGAATCGACACCATTGCTGCAGTGGAGCATGCCAAAAGTGAGGCCGTTTTTAGGGCAATGGTATTTTAATTAAACTTTCAGATATTGCAATTCAGCAAAGTTTGTTGCATTTTTTTAAACATATCAAACCTAATGTTTTCCATGATGGATTTTTGGTTTTGAGATTGTGTACAGTGAGAACGTAAATTTTACGCCCTGTTTTTTTTTTAAATAAAACTCAACAAAACGACTGTGGAATGAAATAACGAACTTCGTGCAAGATAGTAGATAGTCTTACTTCACAATTGGAAAATAATGAAGTCCAGGCACGTTAAATAATAAAGAGAAACTTCGTGTCACAACGTTAGTTTTTTTGGAAGTTTGGTTATAATGCCTAGAATAGCCAGGTCACTAAAACATTTTTGCTTAATTTTGCTACGCAAAAAGCTTTTGATGAGCTTGAATTTGTTGAAAGATCTCCCTGCTGAGGCAGCTGTACCAAGCAAGATGTTCATGTTTCATTATGGCAATTTGAACATTAGTCTTCCATCAAATCACCCTTGAACGGTTGATTCTTGAAGTTACGTCGTCAAAGACCATATAATGAAGGCTTTTTTGCTCAACACGACATGAATAGGGTGTGCATCGACATGTTTTGAAGTGTTTCCCAACATCCATTTCATCCAAAACAGACAGATTAATTTGTTCTTGGATCAAGCCGAAATATAACGAGCCTGTAATTTTCCACCTTTTTACTGGGATACTCGAATCACCTTCACATGCTTCCGTAGTGGCGGGTCATAGCGAGAAGGGAGGTCTTATGATATACATGGCGATGTAACGGCGAAAAGCCATTCCTCTTTCGCCATGCAAGGCAACAGTATCAATGATTGATTAAAAGGGATAGCAACAGAATTTAAAATCTTTAACGACGTTCTTGTAAAAACCCGCTTGATCATTGACGCATGTTACACAGAAAATTTCATAATAACAGGTTCACATCGGTTTCATCTAAATCAAATGTCAGACAGAAAGTCGAGTCGTTGGTCAGCAGATAGATTCCAGAGACCCTTACAAACAACAGGTCTCATGGCTAAACCCTTAGGAGTGCCAGCCTTGATGAAATCCATAAGAGATTTTAAATTATTAAAAAAGTTTGCTGCCTTCATTAGAAAAAATTTCTTTATTAGTTTTCAAAATTTGCTGAAAAAGCAAAATATTTCGAACTCCTAATCTAATTTTAATAAAACACCTAGTCAAAAGCTGTCCGACAAACCAGCGTAAACTGTGTAGGCCAAAAGAGTAGGAGTGCAGTTAGACAAAACAGACGTAAGGCTGATGTTCAGTGGCAGCTGAAATGATATTGAGCCACCTGATCGAGATCCAATGTATCGTTCAGTCGATATTAAGATATTTATCAAAAAACTGTGATTAGAAAATGCCTTTTATTATAAGATTTTGCTGATCCTTCGGGGACTGAACTACAAAAGCACTCGCTATGATTTCAAGAATAATATTCTGAACTTCAAAGACTTCAAACATCTGCTAAACATGCATGAATGTACACCATAACTTGGTTTTACCGACCAGATTAGAATGATATCCTGATTGTATCAAGAAGTAAGATATTGTCAAGGTCTTCGCGCTATAATTGTAATGCTTTCAGTGAAATTGCGACACTTTGTCTAAAGTCTTTGCAGATTGTAGCATTTGAATTTGAGTTCGGTTGAGAGCAGTCTATTCAAAAACAGTCGGAAATGCAAGTGACCTTTTGGATTAGACTTTGTCGATACATATTTGAAAATGGAGAACCTCGGGTTAAAAGGAATACAACATGAAAATAAAAATCAATAATGAAAAATCACAGACGCAAACAAACTTGTGAAACCAATTTCAACATTATGAATCGACTTATTCATTCTGCCCATGAGGTAAGGAAGACAGGAGAATCGCTCTACGGATGAGCAGTATCAATCACCTGCCCAAATTCGCAACAAAAACACAGAACTTGCATTTGCTAATTCTCAAGAAACATGTGTTGTGTTCAGTATTTGTCTCTGCAGAATTTGTTGGCGTTAAAGGGCAGGCAGATGCTAGCAACTTCAGCAGCTTGGTACGCAAATCCTTTCAATTATGTCAAGACGGGCACTAATATAGTTCCTAGTCCTCCGAGATAGAAAACATTGGTCAATACTCCTTTTCGATATCCGCGCGCTTAATTTGCGTCAAGGGACTGGGGCGAAAAATTGGGTGAAAAAGTTGCCACGGGCCTATGTTTACAAATAGTTAAGGCGTTTACTCTCGACTTAAATACTACGAAAGATATTTAAGAATCAAATCCACAAAACTTGGAATACTTTTGTTGTAAATTCGAGCAGTGATAAGTCGCCATTTAACGCCACATCTATATGAAAATATAGGCCCGTGGCAACTTTTTCACCCAAATTCTCGCCCCACTCTCTTCATGCAAATTAAGCGCGCGAATATCGAAAAGGTGTACACAGAAGTAAATCTAAAGTTTTATCAACCTACTAAAATTTAGTTGCTTTTAGCGATTCTGAGCTACGAAAAAACTGAAATTTACACATAAAGATTGGCGGATAAATAACTTTTTAAACTTACTTTGCCCTTTACGTCGAAAAAATGGTTTAGTACGCATGACATAATACGGGGATGAAATTACGAATTAACAGTACTGTGGTGAAGATGGAAAAAAATCACAACAAATAACGAATGCTTTAACCAAAAAATCCAACCAATTCATATCCAAATTTATCTTAAAACGAATATCTAAAATGCCTCTCTAAGATGTCTCTTCGTCAATAATTCCACTTAAAAATTCCACAAAAAAATCCAACGTTCAACAGTTCTCAAATTACATGTGTTGCTAATATCAACCAACAAATTGGTCAAACAGTTAGCAAACATGTTTGATAACCACGAAACAGCATCGCCAATAATTTAGTGAGAGTTTGCAAATCCACAAACAAGTTTGCCAAATAACAAGTTTGCCAACTAACAAAACTGGCATTCATCTAATCAAAGCTTGCCAACGATTTCAAATATTTGGAAAAACAATTAGAAAATTAGCCAAACAACTTACATGTTTGCCGTACAACTATCAAATTGGCCAACCAAATAACAAAACAGCCAATCATCTAACAAAGCTGCCAATTATTCAATGAGAGTATAAAAGCTAACAAACAGGTTGGCCATTAACAAACAGGTTTGGGAAACAAGTTTCAAAACAAACTAGCTAATTTTTCAACCAACTAACAATACCTTCAATCATCTTATGAGAGTTTGAACACCAACTAACATGTTTCCCAAACAATTAACAAAAGTGTCAGGTTTTGGAACATTGCAATGAGTTTGAAAACCAACAAACAAATTTGCCAAACAACTAACATGTAGGCAAATCACTATGAAAAACTGCTTATCATCTAACGGGAGCTTCCTAACCAGCTAACAAGTTTGAAAATCTACTTAAAACTTTGCCAAACAACTACAGCCAAGCATCCAATGACAGCTTGCCAACCAACCAAAAAGTTGGCCTAACAGCTATGAAATTTGAAAACCAACAAACTTACTTGCAAACCAACTAATAAAATTGCCCTTCTTCTAACGAAGATTTGAAAACTTACAAACAAGTTTGCCAACCATCTACACACTTTTTTATTATAACAATTTTAAAGGAAAACGAGCATCAAAATTGGTCATAAGTTAAGAACAAATTAAGAACAAGCTGAGGCTTAGCCTCTGCAAAATGCAATTTTGAACAACGTTTTTTCTCAAAATCGAGGATTTTTAGCGATGTGTGGGTGCTTTTTCGGTGAATATTCAAATTTGTCAGCAAATTAAGGCTGCCTCACTCACTTTGTTGGCAAATGGACAGCACCCTAGAGCGAAAAAGCTTTCACTCGCACTGCTTACATCCTATTAGATTGAGAACAATCCAGCCTCGGATTTTCAAAAAAAATTGAGAACAGTCGGCCTGAACTTAAATTTACTGGTTCTTATAAAAAAAGGAGTGTAATGAATTTTAAAACCAACTAGCGAATTTGCCAACCATCTAACAAACTTGCATATCATTTAATGAAAGCTTGCCAACGATTTCAAATATATGGAAAACCAATTATTAATTAGCCAAACAATTTGCATGTTTCTCATACAATTATGAAATTTGCCAACCAACTTGCAAAACCATATAATGGAGAGTATAGAACTAACAAATTGGCTTGCCAGTCAGCTAATGAGAGATTGCAGACACATTTATAAGTTTTAAAACCAACTAACATGTGTGCCAAACAATGAAAACTGTCAACTATATAACGACAGTGTATCAGCCAGCTATGATATAATATGCGTTGTTGTTTATTGTGCGTACGGTGCGGTGTTTATTATCTTATCATCTGATAGATTTGGTGAACCAAGCAACAGTGTAAAAACCAGCCAAAGATTTTTCAAACCAATTAACGAGCTTCTTGTCAAGCACACTAGCTGAACAGCCACATTACAAGATTCGGCCAACCAACTAACAAACGCTTGCCAAAAACCTACGATTTTTCCAATTAACTAACAAATCTACAAGCCATCTAACGATTTTACCACGGATCAATGGCCCTGGGAGCATTGAACAAGATTTCAGGAAAAACTTCTGACAAACTTAATCTCTATTGTTCATAGACAAAAGCTTGTTAGTAAACAAATGCTGATTTTCACTAATCCCACTAAGGTTCCGTCGTCCTGCCCCAGAGCTGGACGAACTCTAGAAAATGGAAAGGACCAGGGGTTTGAGTTAGCCACAGCACATTGACATTTTCTGTTGAAAAAGCAAAGTTATTTTGCAACCAACAAAGCTTCACAAAGCAGGACTCTTTAACCTGGTTCAAGATCGAGGGTTAAAACAAACCTTGGTTGGCCAAACATTATTTCTCACATAGCCGAGCCCTTGGTGAAACTGGGTTAAAAGAAACTATCGCTTGCACATACAAGTATGCTTGTATTGAAAAGGGAGAAGAAAAATGATGGGCTTTTTTCTGAGAGTGATGGGCTTTATTCAAAACTTTCGTGCTTCTTGCCTTTGCATTCGTTTGTCAAGGACAAAACAATACAAAAAGCGAAAAATTCATACCAGAGATCGATGGCGATCGATTACTAAAAAGTCAAGAATGCAACCACATTCATGTTGGTTAACAAGTAAGTAGTATAAATTTAGTGACATATAAACTAATAGGGGATACGTTTTAGGAGAAAATATAAGTTTTTAGATATGGAAGACAGCAAGATGGTGACGCTTTTGGTCCTCCATCAATCTTTTATGTTTCAAGTTCCCCGCCTTGCCTACGCAGCATCCTAAATGACCCGCCGTTGAAAAAGTTTAGCGAAATGGTTAAATAGGGCGATTACTCATGTTTTCATCTGCAGCGCAGTGGGAGGGAACCTAATTGGTGCGTTATCTAAAAGAAGAAAAAAGGAGAAAATACTCATTCAAACATTCTGTCAGCTTTGGATTATGTGCAAATGACATCGCCAGTAAATCTTCAAGGAGTTCATAATTAGATCCAGCTGCTCCACTTTTTTGAATGCATTCTTCCTTTCAGCTTAACTGTGCTTTAGACCCCGTTTACACGAGACCTGGACCAGATCGGATCCAAAAGTTCTCAGATACTTTTCCATACGGGATCACCTCTAAAAGCGATCCCAAAAGTGTTCGGATAGCGGATCCAAAAGTATACGGATCAACCAGTTCCCGTGTAAACACAAGGCCTATCCGTACTCTCTTGGATCCGATCCGGTTCGGATCCGCTCTCGTGTAAACTGGGTCTTAGTCGTGACTTTACCGTCAGAAAGCACAGAATAAAATTTTGAAATGTTTATTTATTCTATCAAAAATTGAGGCATATTTTTGCTAGAATCTCGATTCCCATATAGCGTTAAAGATTGCTGGAAATAAGGAAACTTTGGGACTTTTCAAACAGGGTTGGTTTATTATTTATAACACCTAAATTATTTGACCATTTACTTAATAATGAAAATTAGATGAAAAGAGAAAGTTTATTCAGCATTGGTTTCCTCAACTTCCTCAACAGAGCCGCATCTGATTATATCGTACTATGACACGTTTCAACAAGTCCGTGCTATTCTTATTTTTATGCTAGATTCGAATTTACCATTTTAGCCAAAACATGATTTTTGACAGTTGCCTTTTGATCCTTTAGCAAAATTTTTAGAAGTTAATAAAAACGATTAACATCTCAGTATGTTCTACAATTTATAAAGACATGAATATAATATAATATAATAGAATAATGCAAGCATGATATAAATACGAATGATAACTGACATACGGAAACCAAAGGCTATAAATTTCGATCCATTGGTTCTACATAATCTTTTCCAATTATATCGAAAATGTCTTTCTCACTTTCCGCAAGCAAAGGCTCTCCCGGCTCGCCTAGAAATATTATGAACATAACAAAGTTAGAAAATGTTTTAAACATACAAATTTTTATACATGATATGAATACTGCAAAGATTATTGAAAAATGTAGTCTGGAAATTATACCTTTAAAATTTAGTAGGCATCAAAAAGTATTTCTTGACTCGATTATAGAGCAGCTGTATCAAAAATTCTCAAAGCTAGGATCGAGGAGCTGTCTGAAAATTGGCAATATAGATGATGACTAGAATTTGACTAGAAGGCACCAACTTGACTAGAATTTGTAACAACAAGGAAGACCAACATCGGAATAGATTCTCACTCTCAATCAACACAGATGTCAGAAAGAGGCCAAAGAAATATATGGCCTACTAAAAAATTTGCTTCAGATCGCAAAAAGAAATTTCTTCAGATCGTAGAAATAATAAATATGTAAACAAGCAAGGAACGGCAGCACAAGGGCAAGCAAGAATTCTGGAATTTACTGCAAAGAAGTAAACAATGCTTGAGAACAGGGAAGATCCACCAGCATAGGACAAATAAGGGATGCATTCTCACACGGAAGATTCTGCAAAAAGTTTCATCTAAATGGTGGCTTTGAATAAGTTGGATCAAAATTTACTCGAAGTTGAGTAAGAAGAGTATTTGAAGAAAGAACGCCGAAAGATAAAACAAGAGAAGGAAAGTAGACAAAACAATAAATTACCAGGGTTGCTTGGAATTGTAATTATCGATAGAGAACTTCAAGTAGATTGAAATTTGCAAAAATTGAAACCAGTTCTATGAAAGCAGATCCAGTTTAAAGAAATGACAATCAAAGTAGAGCTGAAGCTTTAGTCTCCTGCAAATGCTCAATTTTTCGTATAAAACATTCGAGGAACAAGTTTGTAGGCCTATCGATTTTCATGCAGCAAAACAAAAGCTCTATCATGAAAAAACGAGTTTATGCAAAATACGAGAATACTCAATAAACTGAAAATTAAGAACAACACCTTAACACGAAAGATATTTTAGTTTCTTTTTACAGAATTTTGAAATATTTTCGACTCTGTTAGTCATTGAATTCTACCTAAAAATCGCAGGCAATAGGAAAAAATTCAGATATCTATGATCTAGTTTAAAATATCCGACTGAGAGGAAATAGTTGAAGGAATTAAAAAGTTTTAAGGCAAGTTATAAAATATATATTCAATGGTGTTTCACAAGTGTCACTATTGGGATCCAGGCTATTCAAAAAATCCACAAAAGATCTTCTTTTGAATATTGTTGAAAAGGGCAAACTATACATGTACCCTGAAGACAGGAAAAACAAGGGCATGTACAACAGAAGACACAAGATAAACTTAAAAAGGTAACTAAAAAAGAACTGATAAAAATAGCTACAAATAGAGCGTTTTTAAATTGTGTAAATTCTGAAAAGCAGGACGGAAGGTTCAAGGCAAAAAACCAGGAATTTCTCGATTATTGAAAATAATGATGGCTTCAGGTTTCGATTTTCTATTTGTGCATGATTAGAAATATTTTCATATGTTTGTAGAAGTCTGCGGTCTTTCGCAAAAAAAATAATTCGATACCAATTAGCATTTTGACAGAATGAAAGATAATTCATGACATTTGATACAAAAAAGCACTTTGCGAATTCGGTAAAAAGCAAGCATATGTTCTTCATCACTGCTTATATGTTTAAAATCTGCATAAAATCAAAAACGTTTTAAAAAAGATAAATGCGACGATTGCTGTATGTGAAAAAAAGGAGCGTACATTCGTCGCAGCGGAATAATGACCAGTAGTAGAACAGGATTATTCTCATGGATAGCAGCTAAAAACGAGACGGAATAGGCAGATGAAAGTTTAAACAAGCGGAAAGCTCAGAAGAAGGGATGAAAAATGGTCAATTACAGGTTTAACAGCTTAGAAGAACAAGCAAAAAGTTCGGTCTTCACATAACTTGACCTAGTAAAAGATTATAATTGCAACAAAAAGAATTTCTTTACTGGAAATCAAAATTCTGGTTGTTACTAGAGTAGCCGAAGATAATTTGATAACAGGATCGGGAAATAACCAAGTATACTCAACTTACAAAGTGAACATTATAACTAATTCGCAGGTGTTGCAATCCGGTTGGAAAACTTAGTATTTAATTGGATTTCATTATTTGGACAGACTAATAGACTCTCTTAATTTAATTACTGGGCAATAGCCATGTCGATAATAAGTTCTTTGGAAAAATATTGATCTTTTTAAACAATGTTATTGCGATTATTGGTGACCAAACAGTATAAGGCAGTATTCTAAAAAAAATCAGAATCATTCGAGGGTCATTTTCATCTTGGAGAATTGTTATCGTTCTAAAATTAAATCAAAGTTTGTGACTCTTCAACAATGCGATGGGTTGGCAGTCACTGTTTGGCGAAAATATAAGAATCAATCAAAGAAACATTTTTTATTTTGCATTTTTCAGAGCACTCCTTCTTCCTTCTTGAATGTCCGACGTTTCATAGTCTGAGAGTGTTGGATAAAACATATAGGCAAAGTATGCGAAGTTTGAGCTTCCTTGTACCATTGCAAAGTCTTGTACAACAAAAGGCTGAACTTGAGCCTTTCCAAGACCTATCCAAGATAGTTTTAATACGATTGTGTTATCAAATAACAAAAGTGTCTGGTATGGAAAGGAAGTATAATTCAGTTTAGTATGAAGATAGCAGTCTCTAAGAACGGACGAATCCACCAGAATACAAAACAATCACTGCGCCTAAAACTATAGAAAAACTTTCAATTTGAAAATAAATGAAGTGATTTCAAGCCTGACCGTTTATTTTCACGTTTCGTTTCGTTTAGGCCTTTCAGCTTTACCTTCACGTATTGTGGCCGAGGAAAACGGGAAATATTTGCTCGTTGGTATTGGCAAAACAGAGAGCTTCGGGTTCACATTCTAAACTGTACTCGAAAAGGTAATAAACTGCAAATACTTTCATTCGACTCGAGGTTGGGGGCTGCATCGATCATAAAAAATATTCCTTCCGCGTAATTCAATTCAATTATCGCGCCTATTCTGAGAATTAATTTTAGCATATTGAAGTATACATAAGGGTGATTGTCAGCTTTTACTTATGTAGCCTTTATAGTCCAAGAATCCAAGAAAATACGTTGGTGAAAAAGAAATCGTAAGGAGAAAGGATCAGCTGCTCAGATGCGCACGAGAAAAAGGAACATTGTTTATATTCCAAAAAGGAAAGATAGGTCCTTCACATTTGCATGAGATAACATAGATCGCGTACATCAAGAACGACTAGTAGTCTGGAGCTCATCAATAGGAAAGATTGGTAGTTTACACCCGTCTAAGAAAAGAATAGGCGTATCTATGCAAATAAGGAACGGCCGGTCTTGAGCAAAAGGAACAACGGTTTTCCTTGATAACTGCATTAGGAAATACCGCTTGCTTACATTCACATAAAGAAAAGACAGGTCATTTCACTGCAAAGAAATGTACTGACAGTTTATGATGTGGGACACCTTATGAAAAGGTCCTAAAAATCCATCCAAAATTGTGAAAAATATCTTCAGCGATTTCGAATATTTCTTCACTATGACTTGTGTTTTCAAACAGGTTAGACTGCTCTGGTATCACATAAAGAATAAATGCCACTATTGAATTGTGAGCCTCAGGGAAAATGTTGCTCTTTTTGTGCAATTCAGAGTATAATTGAAAAAGAGGCAACATGGAAGCATGTATATAAAAACTTAGGCGCAAACTAAAATGATCTATGTAAGAATGTAAAAACATACCAGTACTTCCGAGTGGCCTAGAATAAACAAATGAAACCAATTTTAACGCATAGTCGAGAAAAAGTTGTTTTAGTAGAAAAAGTAAGAAAATCTAAATAAGAAAAAGTAAACAAGAAAAAGAAAAATTCATAAAATTTCTGAGTCAAGAGCACGATGACGTATTGAAGAATTTCACCGATGAGTCATACTGAGAATAGCGACAAAACATTTATAAAGTGAACTACAAACCTTATACAATATTCATTCGAAGTAAAGCCTTTTTCCAGTGCTTCTTGGCGCATCGCCTGATTGAATATGTCACTACCCGTAAAGTAGAGGATCCCGAAGTAAAACTGGTCAAATGGAATCAATCTGATGTCACATCTACAGTACCTATTATCTCTGCCAGGCAGCTTGCAAACACCCTAAACAGAAAAAAACCATCGAAACGACTCTGTCAAAGCAATGATATGAAATTTAATCTAACTTTTATCAATTAAAAGAGCCTTATATGAATTCCAGACTCCCCTTCCGTCCGTCGTCGTCTTGCCTTTCTTCCTGTCCTTGTTTCGTTCTTTACCTCGAACATAAGGCAAAATTAACGATATTATCTTAAAGGCATTCGACACAGGTAAAAGTGGCTCACAGCAACTCGACCACAAGCGGTTGACCAATCAAACTACGCACAGAGAAAAACACGTGAACAGTTTCCGCCTTTCTGCAAATCGGCGAAATCCTATAACAGCGCACGGTGGTTTCACGTGAGCAGTTTCCAATTCCTTTCTTGTGCGCTTGCTCTGATCAATTTGGCCTAAGTTATTTTTAGATTCGCTGTACTTATGCATGTAGAATGCTTTGATGTCTTAGCCTCCATCCACAATATTCCGTCTTTATATAAAAACGGAGAAAGAAGATATATTTATTATCGCCATGCGTCCAGACTTTTCTGCTTTTAGAACAAAATCGTCTGAAAACGCGAATGAGCACGGATACTCTCGAATACGGAGCACAAAAAATAGAGAGATTTAAACACACAGAGAAACAACAGCAACAACTTTCATCCATTCTAGCTAGAAAATTTTCAAACATTTCAAATTTGAAATTCACAAAAGAGTACCGAAATGATCACGTCAAAAATATCCAAATTTAGAATTAAGAATTAGGGGAGCAGAAACCGGGGAAGGAGGAGGCTCCCCGCCCTCTAGCGCCTGTGACAGGGGGACGAGTAAAAATCGCGTAGGAGCGCGAGTGATTTTTCTGCTGAATTCTGTAGGAGTGCGAGCGTGTTTTGCACATTTTTTGAGGAAAAAATTTTGATGGCAGAGCTCGTGGTTCTGGCAACCTCTGCGGAGGAGCACTCCACAGCCTCTTTTGAACGGGAGCCTCTGTTCTGCGGTAATATGTTAGATTTCAGCTAAAAATTAGAAGTCACAATTTTAACAGATTCGCACACCGCCAGTTGGAATTAAGATATCTGTTATCAAGAGGATGTTACAAAGAAATTATTATTTAGATGCGTCTAGTAAGCAAAATGGCCAGATATTTGACAAGAAGACTTGTGAGCAAAGTAGCCAGATATGTGGACGTAGTGTATTGCACTGGAAGGAAATGGGCAGCATTGTCACTATGGCAGCTTGCTGCATTTAACGTGTAAAGCAGTCATTATTTTGAATAAAAATCAATTCCAGTTTCTTGTGCATTGTATTGCCCGTGCAGGAGTTCTTAGGTGCAGGCAAGTTGGCCCCTATCGAATCCAGGTAGCGGACTATCAAACCTATGAGACCTACCTAAAATCGCGACCTTGGTCAGTGAAGCCTAGTTATTGCCTTTAATGTGGAAGCCTTGTTGGGATACGAAGGGTGTAGATATTGTGTGGGGGATGCCGGTACATGTCTGTGTTTTGTCTGTATGTCTTCTGTACTGTAGTTGCTGTCTATCCAGCCTGTTGCCACTCTAGTGGTAGCTATGGTGGCAGTTCTCATCTTTCACTTCCAGCTTGTTTCAGTACGGACTACTGCACCGGATCTTGGTCCTGTGTATTCAGGACCGAAAAGAGAAATTTAGTACCCTGGCCTGCTCTTCATCAAGCCAACTTCACCTTCACGTGGTGTATCCTGGGACCTCAAGTTCTTTAACTGGAGCTAACGAGGCTCTGGCGAGGAAGACTTGTGGCTCCCTGGGCTAGACCTGCAGGCCCACCGGCGGGTGGACACGCCCTTGGGGTTAAACTACCAGCAAGAAATGTTACCTTGCAGGATTGCCTATTCAGGACAAGGTTAGGCCCACCGCTTATAACTGTCGTTGACAGCAGGAAGAGCATCCGGTCGGAAAAAACTCTTCTACAATTACTATTATGCCGAGATTTTCGTATAATTACCATAGAGCTAGGGAGTACCCCGGAAGCGACGCGCGTCAACATCCCCCGGTTGACCGGAGAAATGGACAAGGGGGACCGTGTAATCCGCGACCATGGTAAAAGAAGCAAGTGGAACTGAATATTGGAACCTGGAATGTTGGCTCAATGACAAGAAGGGGAAGAGAATTGGTTGAAGTGTTTAAAAAAAGAAGATCAAGATTGTATGTGTACAGGAAACCAGATGGAGTGGAAATAGTGCTCGAGAGTTGGGCGAGGGCTTCAATATCTTCTACAGCGGAAAAAAGAACACAAGATATGGAGAAGGAATTATCATTGATCCAGCGTTGAAAGGTAGAGTAGTTGGGCTGAATGACCATCTGAAAGATGAATCAGGGTGAAAGTTATGATTGAAAGCGAAACATGGAATGTCATATTAGCATACGCACCACAAACCGGAATGGACGTGGCAGAAAAAGTAAGGTTTCAAAAGCAACTTGAAGATCTAGTCAGCGAGTCACCGAATGAGAATATAATTATTGGTGCTGACATGACACGGACACGTTGGTACGAGGCAGGATCATCCAGAGAAATCCATGGAGGAAAAGGTTTCGGAAACAGAAATGAAGATGGCGATAGAAGCCTTGAAAGTCTAAACTTAGTCCTTGTTAATACTTTCTTCACCAAAAGAAGGGAACACCTCATTGAGTATAAAAGTGGAGGCAAAAAACCCAAAAGACTACATCATGTTGAGAAAAACAGACTTTAGGATGGTGAAGGATTGCAAAATAATCCCAGGAGAAGACGTAGTAACGCAATACAGACTCCTATGCACAACATTGATGTTAGATGAGGCAGTAACTAAGAAAAGAAAGCTGAAAACCAAAATCAAACTATGGAAACTAGGAGAGGTAGCTCAAGAATACAAACAAAAAGTATTAGCAAACTTCAAAAATGCAGAAGAAACTTGGAAGAATATGAAAAATACAATGTTAACAGCAGCAGAAAAAGTATGTGGGAAAACGAAAGATGGAAAGCCAGTTGAAAAAGAAACCTGGTGGTGGGACACTGAAGTGCAAGATAGTATAAAAGAAAAGAGAAAAAAATTCAAAAAATGGCAAAAAGAGAGAAACGACTCCACGAAAGAAGAGTACTCAGAAGCTAAAAGAAAACAAAAGTAACCGTCGCGAAGGCAAAAGACAAAGCCTATCAAGAATGGTATGAGAAACCAGATACTAAAAGGGGAGACGAAATAATTTATAGAATAACAAAGCAAAGAGCACAGATAAAAGCGAAACACAGAAACTTTGGTAATTAAAGATGAAAGGGGACAGGTCCTAACGGATGAAAAGAAGATTAAAGAACGATGGAAAAATTATTCTAAAAAGTTACTGAATACTGGAACTGGAAATGAAAGAGAAGAACTGAGTGAAACTAACCCAGTAGAGGGACTAGTAGCAATTATCAGAAGGAGAAGTCCCGATATACAAACAAAAAGGCGACCCCCTATGAAACTCTTGGAAAGAATATTAGACCACAAATTACGGAATATAGTCTCCATAAACGGCATGCAATTTGGATTCAGGAAAGGGAGAAGGACCACAGACTCAATGTTCATTGTCAAGCAGTTACAGGAGAAATATATGGAGCAAGGTAAATTCCTTTTCCTTGATTTTTGTGGACCTCGAAAAGGCTTACGACAGGGTGCCCAGAGATCTTGTATACTGGTGCCTCAGGAAGAAACGCGTCCCTGAAAAGCTCATATGTCTCGTACAAGCGACATATACACAAGCGGAAATAGTTGTGAGAATATGCTGTGGCTGCACTGACAAGTTTCAAATAGAGGTTGGACTGCATCAAGGTTCAGCCTTGAGCCCATTCCTCTCCATAACTGTAGTCGACACCATCATGTGAAGAATTCGGTGAGGAATCTTTCACGGAGCTTCTGTTTATCATATATTTTTTAAATCTACGCAAAAAAGTTTTGATTTGATATATGATGGCCTTCATCCCCCTGAGTGGTAATGAAAAGTGGCTTGGCCCATGGACTATAGAAGATGCCCAAGATAGAGCGAAGTGGCAAGCGAGAATTAAGGCGGCGGACCCTGCTGCATGTGGGACAAACGTCTAGGGTTGCGTTTACACGATACCGGATTACTCACGTATCGGATTACTTTTCATATCGGATAGGGGTCCTGTTTACACGGCCCCGCATTAATCCGATACGTCCCGTACCACTTTTGCGGAGTGAAACCACTTCGCTGTGAAAGTGGTATGAAAAGTGATCCGATACGTCCCGTACCACATTCCATCTCGTGTAAACGGGTGAATCCGATACGCTTTCACTCCGGAACCTCGTTCTGAATCTCAAGGAAAGTTCTCACCAACGGATTCTACATTTTTACCCTTCGGGTAACGTTCGCCAAAAACTATTTTATCTTGCCATAATTCGACATTACATTTTTTCAATCCCTTCCCTCGAAAAGGCATTCACTGGCATATGCCTTTACCGATTCAGGCTGCAATTCGACTCTTGTGTAGCTAGATTTGATATCATCGAAATTGTACATTTGATAATAATCTTCCAGTTCGTTATTGAAGGACCTGTTTCGGTAGATGGAAAATGGTTCAAAATTTGTAAGGAAAGGGGTAAAGGTATATACTTGATGATCATGAGATAATTTAGCGAAAGATTAATTAATTACGATAGTTAAAGTTTTTTGGGAGTTCTGTTTCTCTTTTCTGTTGTTGCATGCCTCGTTCTGCTTTTTGTCACGTTGGAATGTCTCTGGCAAGCCTGACGATGACAACGGATTCAGGTCTAAAACGAAGTAGATAATTTTGTTTTACATTTTATTACGACATGGAATTGTGAAGCAATGGAATTCGACAATTGAGTTTCCATAGTACAAATGTTTGGAATGTACAAAATGGAGAGTAGTGTGCAATTCATAGAGAAATTGACAGTTCAAGAAAGTTGACGCTAAAGAAAGGGATTGTTAGTAAGTTCTTACCTTATTCAATGGAGATATTTCCCATCGGGTGCTGCAAGACGGACCCTGATATTTCGTTGTATGCCAAGGCATCTCGTGATTCTCATTTTTCTTTTTTGATATTGGTTCTGCTCCAATTGTTACAAAAGTTATACATCGCTGAAGACGATTCTGTTTGATTATGTTTCCAGTTCTTCATTTTAATTATTCTATACAAACTTCTCGGCTGGAATATTTTAGCTGCTATTTGTAACTGTCCGAGCAGCTCGGTTTTGTAACTTCTGCAGTTCTGTGAGCTTGGTATCCCAACACCTGGTCCCCCGAACAGAGCAACTGTAGCAAAATGGGACTCTACTATCCCCATGTGTATTTGGAACAGAGGGACGTAGCGAAGAATTTATTTTAACATTGTGAAAATTTCTTTGTATATTTTAGGAACTGTCAAGCTCGAGAGAAAGTAACCAGTAGTGAGTCAATATGCTAATAGAAAGCTAGACTTTTGTTAAGCTAAAGAATAAGATATTTTGTTTTGAAAATGATCCCTACCGCACAACCACCGATACTCAACAAGTCAGATCAGAGACCTTCTTAAACTTGTGTCGCTATGAAACAACGATTGCTTGGGTTTAATGATGATTAAGGAAAGTCATTCTTGAACAGTGCTGGCCTGGTTGGCTTGCGTATTGACAACGCATTGCAGTTTTTGACTAGGAGGACAAGGAAGATGTAGAAACTCTTATGTTATAATTGCTGCCAGTTCTGAAATAATTGCTGTTATATCAAAAAGCACTGAGATCTTCATTGAAATGCTATCTGATGGAAAACCTGTGAAATTCCAAATCGATTCAAGAGCTAGCAGATGTACGACCTGTAAAATATGTTGATGATGAGTCTTTACCTATTGAAATATGTCGATGACTAAAGTTGAACGGAAAGATTGATATTGCCGTCATCCCATCACTTAGCAAATGCAGAATAAAGCCTGAATATCCTAAAAAAATGAGAAGAAAGACTCTCATAGTTGTGAAAGAAGATCTTCTACCGTTGTAAGGAAAGCGAACATCCGGACAGAAAATTTCATGGCTGCAACTTTCACAATATGAATTTTATGCTAAACTTGACAATAGTGTCAACTATTGCTCATCAGTACAAGAACGTGTTTTGTAGTTATCAAGGTACACTCCTAGGCACAGTGAACCATACAGTGACAAAGTGATATCTGCAACATGTTGTTTTCCAATTGCATTTCGAGGCAAAGTGGACTATCCGCTAAGCAAGCTAGTACATCTTGGAGATTGTCTCTGATGATGAATTAGGCTACTCAAATCGTATTTCAAGTGAATGATTGTATTCTCAAAAAGCATTAAAACTCATTACAAATAGAGTAATTTTATTCGTCTTGGCTTTGATAGGGGCCATCAAAGAAATCGCTAAAGCAAGAGAGGTGACACTACCTGTTATTTAAGATGTTACTTCAGAGTTAGCAAAGGTCTCAACGTTCTTTAAAGTTGCTCCTGAAAGTGGAGCAATTGAAGAGTGAATCAAGCACACCGGTAACCTTCAATTTCCCTTAACGCGACAAAAGCTACTAGATTACCATTTGCCCAATCAGTTAGCAATGAAAATTCCAGTAAAGACAGTGGCAACACTAGAATGAATTTGAATAATGTCTCTGTAGTTGAATATAGCGTTCTTGCTTCTTGTGTTGGTAATCAAAGACGTTTTAAAGAAGGGGGCATTCATTCAGGGCGGGCTATATTTAGCGTTATGCTTGTAAAACCCTAGCCATTCAATTACGGATTTCAGTTTGGGTCTTTAAAACAAGAAACTTGAAATGAGGAGTTGATGTAATCCTATTAAAACGCAAACACGGAGATTCAACATTTCACTGCTCAATTTTTGGCTAAAATAGGGTAACTACTTAAAAGAATCTCGAAAATCTGCAAAATGTACGGATTGAAGCAACCAGCATTCAATGCGTAGCCTCATATCCATTCTGAGTGATGCAGATTGTCTAGTATCACCAAAACGAGTCAATTAATTAAAAGTCGCTTGGTATTTTCTGCAAAGCAGCATGTGTCTTAAGAACGTATATCCAGTGAAAATTAGCAATTCATATGCACAACTAGCTCTTCTTCAATTTATACTGCATACACTCTTTTTCAATGAACTAAAAATGTTTCTTGAGGCCCTATGCTCTTATTTTAAGATAATTTGCATCTCCAGCGTTCTAAATATATTGCTTTAGCGAGGATTGCTCAGTTGTTAGAGGCACTGACTACAGACCCAAGGGTCCGTGGTTCGAGTCCCTGGCGTGACCAAACTTTCACCCAGAGTGAGGAGAGTCGCCAGCTCTCTGTAATTCCAGGCATAGGAATCACGAGGTGTGGTCACATTTGGGACACTGCTCGATAAGCATAGCTTCTCAGTGTCCTAAAAACTACCCTCGCATGCTAGGTAGAAACAAATACAAATGCAAATACAAATATAAGCAAGGTTCACTAGCTGATAATGCGCGAGAAAACATTTTCGAAAAGATAAATTTTTTTCTAACTTTCATCAAGGCTGTGTGTGCATGCTCTTAAGCAGTTGTTTTTCTTCTTCGAAAAATCGAGACTCGGTGTTCCTATAAGATGTGTTATCATTAAAAGTGTGCAATTCTTAAGTCTTGGTAACTCCCTAAAGAGGGAAAGGTCTCTTGGACAATATATTCGAGTCAAAAGGGACAAAGCTCTAAGAGTTGTACTTACCATAAATTTAGATTCTCCTAAAGACAGCGTTTCTGTTATGTATCCAGCATCTTTCAGATTCTCGACAAGATCACGTAAGCTGTCCTGAAAGCGTTCAGCAACATCAAAATCAGAAGTAATAGGAGATACACTGCCATAGATAGCGTGTTTAAATGACACGAAACCAATAAAATTCAATATGAGATATAAGATCTGTGAAAACAAAATACTAAAACATCATTTTTACTTAAAACAAAACAATCATATTTACAAGTAATTCAAATTTGGTTTTTTTTTAAAAAAAGCCATTTTTTAATAAAGAAAATAACTTGACAACTTGACAAGCTAAGCTAGGATGGCTAAAGATTTGAAAAGTAAAACAAGAAATGTCATGTCAGTAGAAGGATTCTCTCGTAAAGCCGTGGCCAAACGACTCGATTTTTCACTCGATTTTATACTCAACAAGAAATTGAGTGAAAAATCGAGTCGTTTGGCCACCTTGTGGAGCGAGTCGTATGGCGTCGAGTGATGTCGAGTGAAGTTTGATCTTTATCAAAAATATCGAGTGAAAAAGGTGTTGTCTAATGAAAACCGAATCGTTTGGCCACCTTGTCGAGTGAGTTCGTCAAGTTAATGTTAAAGGACATTTGCATGTAAGATAAGCACGGCAGCCGCTTTGCGTTTTTTGCCTTCATTTGGTTGGGGGGAGCATAAAGTCGAGTGAAAAATTGAGAGAAAAAAAGAATCGTTTGGCCATCCATGCTCGACTTTGCTCGATTTTGAGATCAAATGTCAAGAAAAAGATCAAGCAAAAAATCGAATCGTTTGGCCAAGGCTTAATAGGCTGCACTGTCTAAAAAGCATAATATTGAGCCAAGATGATTAGGGAAATTTGAGCCAAAGATGACAGCTTCGTTAGTCACAGAATGGATAAGAGAGGAAAATGAACAATAAAGCTTATTGTTGTGAGGCAATTAGACTTCACATTAGTTTTCTCTGTTCTCAATGTTGCAAGACTATTAAGCTGCAATTTACTGCTAATCTGACATGGATTTTTCAAGAAGATAAGAATTCGGCAGCACAATTGCAGGTGCTTAGTGAGAAGGCATGCTGTGATCTTGATTGAAACGAGTATTCTCAAAACGCTGGCAGGCAGAGCTTAGTGCACTTTGCTGTCCAAATAACGAAGATGTTTTTCGAATTGATTTTAAACGATCAGGGAACCAATTTGCCATTACAAGGAATGTTGCTTATTTAGAATGTTGCTCATAAGAATGAATGTCGACGAATGTGAAGAATCCGGTTCGGATAATCCAATTAACCTCGAGTCATACACGTCGAGTCACATCAACGAATCACAGGTCGCCTAGGGTCAGGGAACGCTCTCCTAGAAATATGACATCAAGCAAAACATTATACCTCTCCGGATTGTTCATGTCCGCCATGAATGTCATTATAAACCAGCCTATTTACACTTCTAACTCAAAATAATTCGAAAAGTTTTCAATCCCATTATTGAGGGTATTTTAATATAGAGTAGGAAAATCCATGTCAGATCGAATTTTAGAATAATGTGGAATGAAATATTGGACAAGCCGTATATTACGGCAAGGGTAACATCTCTCCGAACTTTTTGCCACCATGATGTTTAGCTATCCTTACACTCTAGTAATGAGAAAATCTTTGGTAAACGGCAAATACCTGCTGCGTTTACCAAATATGGACATTTTCCCAAATCGGGGGGTACGGCCAGCTTGAATCACGTGCACTGCAGCCTTTACTGTATCTACCCTTATTCTACTTCGAAATAAAATTATAATATTAAAGCTAAGAAGTTTTTCAATGCAGTCCGATAGCAATTATATAAGATCTTGAATGAGTACCTTGAAAAGACAGGGAGGAAATCTTCAATCAGTGCCTTTTCTGTAGACTTGTTTTTGTCACTCATTTTTGAGTAGCCTCTCCGTGATACCTGCGCGCAGATTTTACGGAGGGGTGTTACCCTTCCCATAATATACACCTGGTATATAAAGTGAGGAAGATTTAAGATTGTATATAGAATTGTTAAAGCAACAAATATCCATATTTACGCAGAAATTGTGTAGTTTGTTAGGTAATTTCAGTCGAGGTAAAAACAGTGTGTTAGCCGAGTAACTGGCAGAAGAAACAGTGCATTTAGGCCTCGATTTGTGCGATCATTCTGCTTCACTACCCAACTCATCAGCTACCAAAATCGTGAGTCTGTTTAAAAACACACCTTTTTCAAAGCCTTGGTTTTGGCTTTCGAAGTGTAAGCTGGATGAGTAGCCAATACATCGATATCACCACAGCTTTCTGCTCCTGCAAATCAACAGCCTTTACATCAGATGATGTGTCTATTCCTTATTGATATATGATACATATCATCACTAGTTTTACGATAAAAATTTCTCTGTTACATTTTCAACTACAGTGAAATGTTAACCTCCATATCTTAGCGCAATTTATCCCAGGTTTTGAGTTTTTTCTTCTCGAGAAATTATGTCAAAATGCATTCTAATTCCACACATCGTAGGGAAATTGAGCACTTATTTGATGCAATCACACTTTTTGTAGTTTAGGAGAATTGGGAGGGGCTAGCGGCACGGGTGGTTGTTACAGTTGAATTTCACTAAATTCGAAAAGTGAACTCAGACCCCCACAATCAGGAAATTCTATTCATGTTTTATTCAATCCCTAGAAACATAAAAAAGATCTTTTTCTTTGTTGAATGATAGTGAGGTCCATTATTAAGATGACGATACAAATTAGTCTTTTCTCATCAAGATAAAAAGCAGTTACCTCGATGCTTGAAAACAATACTGTTAAATTAAGCAATTGGTTTACAAAAACTACATGAAATTGAATGAAGAGGTATTTCGTTTCCTAGAAATTTTTAAAGAAGGAAGATATATTGTTCCTCTGTTATCAAATAGAGTATAGGGTAAACATTGTTAAGGTGGACCGAAAAACAGAAAGGTTATGCAAGGGCCTTATATTAATACATCCCTGAAGAAAAATTTAGAACTTAATGAGAGCATTTGTAATGTCTCTGTTTAAAAATTCCCCATTTACATCGATGTTTTATGATAGATATAGAAACGCAAAAATCAACCATATTCACGAAAGAGCATTACGGATAGTGTATCAAGAAAGAGCCTCGACTTTTGGAGAACTGCTAATTACAGATAATGAAGATTCATCAAATAAATCTGCAGTTCCTTGTAACCGAAATTTACCGAACAAGGATGAATGTAATGCTTTATCAATAGATCTTCAAAGAATGACAAGTAAATTACACGAGCTTCCACAGATGCAGGCTTCAAAATCTTTGTCATGTTCTGATATTTTTTTAAGAATGAACTCCTGTAAATAAAAAGATACTAAAATGACTGATTTTACAAGTTCATACATTTATAAGAAATATAAAGATTAGTCTCAGATTCTTCTGTCTCGCAGAAAAAAATCATTCCATCGCTAGATTTTGTAAGATCTACGATAAAAGCGAAACCGGCCCCTGTCAGGAACTGAGCTAGCACTGGACAGAACCAATTCCTCTCGTGTAAACAGAACTAGTACTGGACAACAATTAGATGTAAATTTATATATATTTATATATATGCAGTGTTTACTTTATGGAAATTCATTTCCGAGCGTGGTATTCTTGCTTTAAAGTCTTCAAAGTGTCTACAAGGAAATAATAATGATAATATTAATGAAATAAAATTGGGACGAATATCATAACATGATCAGCCCACCAAAATCAGCAAAACTTCTTCTTTGCAATAGAGTACCAAAGTGTGTGTGACGTCATCGAAAATCTATTACTAGAAATTCTTAATTTTGACCACATAATCTGAAAGAACAGCATAAAATCACTCTCAACATGAAAAATCAGTTAGATATGTTCAAAGTTGGGCGAAATATGGCCAATGGTAGGTTCAATGTTTGCTAACGGATTACTGCTATTCTGGCCTGGTTCATAAAGTTATGGACCAATACCAAATTACAGAAGATTGATGGGGAAAGAGCATGTGCTTATGCGGCCATTCTCAGTTAATTTGCAAAAAAATCTTTTCCTTTTTTGGTATATATGATCAAAGTTGAAAAATTCTAGAAATGAATTTTTGTGACGTCGGCAGAGAGCGGCGTACAGTGAAAACTGAGATAACTCCGTTATCATGGCTGCCTAATGATCACATTACGTTTGCAGCTCGCAGCTAAGAATCGTCCTGTTCTCAACACAAGAGCGTAATTTAGAGCAATCATTGAGCCAATGAGAGAAGCATATCATTTGCATTGCGCATTAGTGCGGAAGCCCGCAGAAGAAATTGCTTTCTCATCATGCTGGAAAAAGAGACTAAAACAATTAGAGTTATACCGAAAAAAGCACATTTTCGTAAAGGCTTTGTGGGTTGGTTTTTGGCTGTTTTTGGGAAAAGCGGACAGCACTCTGGTATTAATGCTTTACCAAGCAAAGTTCGATCTACGCTTCGTACAAAGTTAGACATCGAGTTATGACCATTTTAACACTGAAATTATACCAGAAAGACGTCAGCGATAACGTGACAACAAAGGATTTTTTGAAAAAGTGCAAATCGAAATTTTCAAGTTTAGAGTTTAGTTTAGCGGGATCTGTAAAGAAAACAAAGGTTAGCATAATTGTTAGATTGTTAGAGCGTATACCCTGTCTATATGATGCAAAGTTTGAAAGCCGACTGAATTTCCAATACATGCTGGTTTGTCTCCCCAACAAATTTGAAATCGTGGAAACCGAAAACATGCCTAATCTTTAATCGAACTCTTTTTATAGAAATTGTACTTCTGTGCAATGAGCACTGTAATGGCCAAATATAAATTACATATTTTGATACTTCATTCATAAAAGAAAACTTCAAAATGCGAATGTATAGGTTATGCTTCTTGTAATGTTTTATTAAATAAATGTCAAAGTGATGTTTGAATAAGAAACATCGTTGCTGATGACATTCATCAAAGTTCACTTACTTCAGACCGATCTTTTGATGATGGTTCAGCTTTTCGATGTTCTTCTTCAAATCTGTGAATTTAGTTGATAAGGATAGCAACGAAAGTTCAATTGATGACTAAAGTCATTCAGTTAGAGCTGATTTTATGCCTTCATAACCTAAATACACTTAAATTACCAAAATACAAGATCAAATTACTAACTTCAATTAACGTAGAAAACCTCTAGAAATAAAAGCCTATAACAAAACATTAATTTGTCACAATATAATTTAAATTTAATTAATTTTATCAATACTACGTTTAGAAGGTAAAAGGGTAAAGGGCTAAAAAGAAGGACTCTCAACCAAGTTATGGAGGATGCATTTTGATATAGTTAACGAGGAGAAGCCACTATTGTGAAACGGGCAAAGTTTTGCCAAAGGACAGCAACATTTTAATTTCTACAAGACTTTTTTTGCTTCTTTCAATTTATGCACGCGATGACTAACGTTTACCTCTAGACTTTTGTTGCTTTGTTTATTGCTTTGTTTGTAAATATTCTCGTGCCCAGTCTCCATAACTATATATGTTCGTAATTTATTGTTCCTTACTATACTAGCTTTCGTTTTTCATAGATATTCGTTTTGTTCAGTTTACTCTACTACTTTAATTTGTTCGTGTCATTCTTACTAGGCCTAACCTATTTTATATTGACTACCTGCTTCTTTTCTTTTATCAATTACTAATTTGTATTTAATTTTGTTGCAGGAAACCATGTTCTGAGGTATCACATTGCGTTGATTTTTTGTGTTCCCTGGTGAGACTCAGGACTTCAGCCACGTTTGGTGCCATAACTATTAATATTTTAGCAATGGACTTTGTGATAATTTCATCTGCAAAAAATGTTTGTACAGCCAGTACATTTGATTTGCAAAATGAGAAGGAATTTCAGATCACAAGTTAATTGAAGAGAGAAAGCAACGGAAAATTATATCCTCGAGTCACTAGAAAATGCTTTGCACCACTCCAATATTATTTGAGTTTAAAATCCTGAAAAGTTGTCAACCTGTGTCCGGCCAAGAAAACCTTACTATATAACTTTTCTCCTTTTCATTGGGTCTAAATGGGCATGGTCAGGAAATTTGGGTAGTCTTGATCTCCTCTGTTTTTTGCGACATTAGAAGTTACAAGCCTTTATCAATTAATAACTAAAGCAGGTAATAATTTAACTAAATAGTTTATAAAGAGTCAATGCCCAAATTTAACAGTGCAACTCAGTTCTCAAAACGCATTCATATTAAAAACAGGAGGTTTATAAATATTATTTGATTTTTTTGTCTGAATGTTTTTTTAAAAACCACAAGGCAATACGATTTCCTAAACTTCCTCAAGTTCTAAATTTTTGATCACCTTCCTCAATTTCTTCTTCTACAACCTTCCACCGGTTCTTCAAAAGTCTTCTCCAAACCATCGTTGAAAAACTAATAAAGCCAAAAGCTAGCACTACCCAACTGAAATCTGGGTTACACGTTCCATGCATCCATGTTATGCCATGTAAAGCTTATTAAAAATCGTGTGTTTTTTACACATGCCTGTTGAGTTTTGGTTTGTATAATCGACGCGAATAATATAACAATGCTTTGCCAAAGCCTGCTGGACGTACAGGATTGTCATTGAATACGAAGTTTGAGTTCTTTCTCAACATGTATAGAGTCAAAATGTATAGAGGAATTGTTGAGCCCCGTTTGAGCTACTGTTGTTCCGTTTGGGGCTGCTGTAATGAATCAAAGCTTGACGTGTTGCAAAAAACCCAAAATAGAGCTGCCAGAATTGTAACTAGCAGCCCATACCATGCGTCTGCTGCTCCGATAATTCAGAATCTTGGCTGGTTAACCATCAGTAATCTTGTAAGAAAGGAGACAGCCACGCTAACTTACAAATCTCTAAATCTGCTTGCACCAGACTACTTGAGAAAATTATTCGAAAAATGTTCGGATGATAGAGAACGGTTTCTGCGTTCATCAGAAACTGATCTTAAGATACCGCTGCTAAAAACGATAAATGGCCAAAAGGCGTTTTCTTATCGCGGTCCAAAACTGTGGAACAGTCTAGAAAGGGCTACCAAATTGGCCCCCTCCCTGAAAACCTTCAAAGAACAACTATAGTCGGGGACAACTTTTGTTTCATCTTTACGTTCACTTTTTATAGCCTTAGTATTATTAAATATTGTAAATTAGGTTTGGTTGGTAAATTTCTTTTGTTACTAGTATTATAACATAGTTATTAGCTCTTATTTTATTCTTTCAAACAGGTCAGGTTGAAAAACATATGTATGAACCTTTAACCTGTATAAATATTATAAAATGAAATGAAAAAATTTCTAATCGATCAAGCATAGTATCCTAATTGGACAGATGAACTACCAGAGTATACAAATAAATAATATTAAAAAAAACTACGAACTAATTTGAAAGGAGGCTTAAAAACTATTTGCCAAGGATGCATAGCCGACTTTAAGATGCGTTAGATTGACTTAAATGCCTTGGCATAAAAGCTTTAGATTAATATAAATATTTCGGATTTTCGTTACATAAAACACACGAGGAAGAATGGTATTCATAATGGTAATTTTCAGGGACCATTAATCAGAATTCGATGCAAGGCTTTTTTGAAACAGTAGTCTTAAGTGGGCACATCTCTTCTCACAGGGCACATAAATTCTCGCAGAGCACATTTCTTCCCGCAGAGCACATCTCTTCTCGCAGAGCACATCTCTTCTCGCAGATTTTTCAATCCATAAGGATTTGAAAGTGCAGCTTCATATTTTTCCGAACTAGGAAATCAAGCTTAAATTCCTTTGCGCTTCTTTTCCGGCTTTTGATCAACTGTAAATGCTACGTAGATGTTTCCTTAACATTTAGATTTGATTCAATTTAACTATCTTATATGTGTAGATTAAAAAAAATATTAGATTAACCAAATGAAACAAAATGAAGCCACAAACAATTTCAAAACGGTACTTAAAAAAATACAATCTTGTTTCAGATTTTCTGAATGTTTACCCCTTCCCCCGAAGAACCTTCTAGTCCCCCCCTAGCCGAGATATGCTCCATGGTCCCTGATTCAAGAAACATGTAAGAGGCCCCCCTGTAAGAGGTTTATTACTAATGATTATTATGCTACACCGTTCGAAGAAAGCATAAAGTAACTATTTGTCATGTCAGCATTATCAGCATGCATGACGCGTTGACGGGGCACCTTGCTTTCAGAAATTCATGAATTCTGCAATGAACTCAATTTTTTGATATTCACGTTTTCTAGATCGTGAGCTTCCAATTTTACAATCTTGATCTCAAATTAAATGATAGTTAGCGCACAGGAAATTGGATTCTAATAAACATGCAAGCTATTTCTTTTCGTGTCTGAAAAGTCCTAAAATTTTTTAATAAACTTCTCATTTCTACTGCTCGACCAAACCAAGTTGCTATCTAAAAATCTTACCATCAATCGAGTTAATTCCATCATCCACCAACTTTTTGGCAGCACTCGGCCTATGGTGGAAAAAAAAGAAAAATAGCTTATACAGAAAAACAAGAAACTTGGTACTAAAATAAAAAATACTTTTTGAAAAATTCGGTTCTCAATGAAAAAGAAAAGTTGCATAAATTTTCAACAGTTTATTAAATTGTGCAGTTATGTAACAAGACTTCGCTTTTTATTAGAAAATACGCTTAACTAGATTAGCTAAATCAACTGGTTCATGAGAAAAAGTCGGGCTTCAAAGTAATCTTGTTAATAATAAGTTAATTTTTTATGAATGGATTGCTGAGTAAAGGCAGGCTTTATCGGCTTTCCCTGCTGAGAATAGGCTTTATCGTGCTTCTTAAATTGAAAAAAAAACTGAATTCAACTTGATGTTTGCACTGAGGTCTACCCCAAAAGGAAGAGGCATTTGACAGTGTTAAAACTGCCATAATTCTCTCCGTAGCCAAGCTTCAAAGTGGAAAACATTATTTGGATTTTGAGAAAATATCTCATTTCTATTGTCTCTCTCTGTTCAGGGATTAATTAGATAAAAGCTTAGGTGATATTAATTACCCGATACCGGAAACTTGAGTTAGCTCGTTGATTGCAACCGAAGCACTGCTTGCTCTGATCTTTTGGAAAGAAGAAACACAAATATTTCTAGAGACTCTTAGTAACGAGATTTACAGAGAAAAACATTTAATGGTTTGTTCTCAACCTCTCTCTCAAAATGTTGACCTCACAATGAGATTACTCTACTGTAACAACTGTACATTATTTCTATGACTGTTTTTAACAGACTCAAATCTTGATGAAGAAGAAAGCTTTTAAGAGCCATGACAGCAAATATAACTAGTTTTGATGAGAATGTTAGCCACATAAATACAGAAAATATTTTAATAAGAATATACGGAAAGTGCGAAACAGATCGTTTTCTGCAAATATAAGACCATGTGTTATAAAAGGTTATTGCCTAACGCCTCCAATCCAAACCCCAAATGGCCTCTTATGCCCTTAATAACTCTTACCAGAGTTGACTATGTTCTTACTTAATCAACAACTGAATCAGTGGTATAGAAGAATAACTCCCGCATGACATTCTACAAAAGTGCATGTAACCTGATAAACCTACCTTTTCCAACTTTTCAAGCGTCCCGGTCCTGATAAATTCGTCAATCTTTTTTGCTATTTGTTCTCCTATACCAGGCTTAAAAAATAACAAATGAAAAACTTTAAATTTTTACGAAAATTCTAAAATACGAAAATGATAAATATCAAAAGAAATAAACACAGAGGCCAACGTAGTAGTCTGCGTCATTTGCTGCTCTGTAAGCGACTTACGTCATCACCAGAGTGCCAAAACTTAAATTGGAAATCAATTTGAGATTTCCTTATATAATACAACAAAGTACCAAATAAAAGTTTAAAAGACCTCAAACCACAAGAAAAACCGTTTTTATACGACTTAAAACTACGAGCAAACATTTTTAAAACATTTTCTGATCAAATTAATTATTTTGCGAGTTGAAGGGTGTCGGGAATCTAAATCTAAACTCATGTCACTTCCAATGTTATTAAAACTCAAAAACAAGCATGCTTAAAATAACTGCAAAACGCCCATACCCCCAGGGGTTCACTTAAAATTTCCATATACGGAGGGGTCCATCCGGTAATTATGGGTAATAATTGGGTACCGTGTTTAACAATATATCTTTTTTATACTTATGGGTCAAACTAACACAAAACAATATAAAAAAGATGAATAAAAGAACAGATCTATTTAAACTGATAATTATAGGATAAAGTCTAAATTACTGTGACTAGTGGTCTCTGATGTGCTCAACAAAAAGATTTTGTAATTTGATATTTTTGGGTCTGATCAACACTTTAAGGGCTGTTAATATTGGGTCTGTAAATTTTTTTCCTCGATATTTTTGGATGAATTTTGATAATTGCGGATTGACCTCCCCGTATATAAAAAGTTTGAGTATTTATGATTGCATCAAATCGTCAGCGAACAGAGGAAAGGTGGTGTCAACTTTAGTGCTAAAATTTAGTGCCATTACATTAAAACACAATTTGGGTATAAAATCAAATTATTCTCGGTTGTTATGTCAAATTTTGCATATTTTTCTGATCAGCAATACCAAAATCAAAATAACTGGTATGTTTAAGTACACATTACCAGTTTTCTTGCTTCAGTTCCCGATGAAATCCTAGTTGGGTGGTCAGCAAGGACTGAAGCAGCTTTCCTACAAAAGAGGAAGCAGTTTTCATCTAATTGAGAATGCATTGAGAAAAATTGATTTTGAGAAATCATTTTACTACATCGAAAACTACTGCAGTGTCTTTATTTTCTACAATGCAAGCCTCATACCTTTACTTTTACACTGGAACATCGAAGCTAACGATCGTTTGACTATTTTTAATCTCACGAACGCAATCAAATGCAAACTCGTTAACCGTTCATGTTTTTACAATACAATTTTTCAAGAAGACATATAAGGGGGTCATCTATCCCTTATCAATGGGCATAGCGGATGCTCAACGTTTAAGGGGAAGGGGGTCAGCATAGGTCTTGCTTGAATATTATTGCTGTATTGTGATAGAACTACCCGAATTGAACCTGAAATATGATGTATTTTGGTTGCAGCCCTCCCAGCCTACACCTTTCCTTCATCTCTGAATGCAGAATATTTATATGCCTTTCTGCTGCATTTGGGTAGAGTAGCAATGATTCAAAAGCAGATTAGGATGGTGTTGACCCAGAATATCGTGCTTATATCTGTGTATGACATACTTATATTAATCTGCTCGAATCTTACGAAAAAACACAAAAGACGCCTCTGCCAATATGCTAAGTGATTACTAGTAAGTAAACAAAATGAAGGTCTTTGTTGTCCATTACATGCACTTAAAAACGTTCAGTGTAAAAATTTGCGAACAAATTTAGGGCACTATGAAAAAAGAACAGCGGGCTAATAAATGACAATATCCACAATTCCAATTTTTCCAAGCTCACTACTTGCAAATTATGTAATATTTTTCCAAAGATATGTAGAACTGGCTATTCTTTTGTTATGTTACCCTCAACGATTCGTAGTCATAGTCTAGAATAGGGTTAAAAATGATAGATATTAACAAACCTGTAGGCTTTGGACTTGAACATGTTCTTTTCTACGTTTTTCTCATAATCAGCAAGCTCTAGAATTCAAGCAACATGGTTTAGCATCTCTTTTAACCAAAAGAAAAGGTAGCAGAAATGCAGTAAACTTTATTAGTCAGTTCGAGAGCTACATTAAACAGAATGATAATCAAAGTAGCGTTTTAGGTGCATGGTTTTCCTAACCCTAACACCTGTATTCTTACAAAAAAAACATCAATCCCTTCGTACCTACAAAAGCGAAAAAGTAACACTGAGATAAAAAGTAGACAACCATTTTGAATTTCAGAAAAAACATCAATCATTTTCCGAAAAAAAGGCAGTTTAGCTTTACAGGGGTTTTTTTGCCCCCTCTGACCCCCTCCATCATCCGGAAGTCAACGCAACAATAGCAGAAATTATAAATAACACTAGAACAAATGCTACAGTTTCATGCAAAAAATGCCTGTTTCTAAACAGAAACGTAACATTTTTAATTATGATGAAAATCTACAATTTAAGTGAGAGAAACAAAGAGCTACTCTTTGGAAAATCTTTCAAATCTACGTTGATTATATGATTTAAATCTATTCAGGACTCTATCTCTAAAGGATAATTGTCCTGCAAGATATCTTAATGTTTTATCTCAACTTGCCAGAAAGCAAGCATCTCTTTTCTCTTTTGCTTCGTTGTGGATCTTTCAAGGAATACTAACTCTTTCGCAATGAACACTGGTCAGTGGTGTTGTTACAGCAAGTTCTATCACTCGGACTGCTCCAGGAAGCGCTTCTTTAAGTCTAGACTATTTCATGATAGCTAACAGATCCTAAAGACTAGGTACTCCCTCTTTAGTTTACTCAATCTCAATTTCGTCGTACTGTAAATTGAAGGAGTCCAGAGCCATCAAATTGGAACTATCTTCCCGGGATGCCTCTTTGTCGCGTGCAATTGCCCGTTTTTCCTTCCCTTTGCAACCAAAGCATCCCTTTTATAAACCAGCTGGCGTATAAAAGCTCAAATTTCTTTTTTGTCATATCGCACAGCAATATGATGAACAAAGTGATTTGAGTAAACTTTGCCCGATAACCACTGATCGATTTAAATGGCAACGAGTTTAGGGGAGGGGGGAGGGGGGGGTGTTGGATAAGGATAGAATTTTGTGCCACACCGATCAGGTGAATGGAAACTGATGGAAATGCCCATTTATTTAAATTCAGTTCTTAACTTGAATAAAGATTGAGAAGAAAACATGATAAATCAAGCAGCTTTTCTGCATCATTTTGTTTTTACAGACTACCAAAAAATGCTTTGTACTGCATCAAAGCAACATTTAACAAAGAACACAAAAATTATTTTGCAGTAAATGCAGCCTATTTGTTTATTGGGTGAAAAAAATGGTATTAGACTAATAGTTTGAATAACATCCTAGTTGTCCCAGTTATCAAGATTCCTCTTTCCTATTTAGATCAAACCCAAGCTATAGGATAGAAAGTTTTCTCTTAATTGCAGCTTACATAAGTGGGCATATTCGAAAAACTAAGTGGCATGGTAGGAAAAAAATATTCATGAGGACACCCTATGCCCATGTTTTTGTCCATGTGGAAGTAAGGGTCAATTCTGGTCCCCTGGCCTTGAGATCCCATTATTTCCCCCAAATTATTCCCAAACTCACTCAATTTCAAAAATTATACTTGACAGGTCAATCGATAGTAACATAAAACAATACCAATATAACCATAAGTTACAGTTTTGAATGATTTATGATTTTTCGAAAAGCATCAAGTTGGTGACAAGTGGAAAAATTTGCAATTGAAGAAATATAGCCAGGCCTAAATTTGAGACCTGCCTCAAAGAGATGAATTGTTTCTCAATCAAATTAATATTCATTTTTTTGGGATGCCAGCCAGACAGGTTTATCAAGTCGACATAGAAAATCAGACCATGAGTGTAGCCAGGTCAGCTCTTTATCTGTATCTGCAGTGTTGAATGTATGCCTAGATATGGTTGTCTTGTCCCAAAAGATGGCAAAGGCTACATCAACTAAAAAAATTCTATCATGAAAATTATGTTAAATGGATTATTACATACTGTACCTAATGTTATACTAAACAAAGTTCTAAGCCATACAACACATTGCACATATTACAAATATAAATAAATTGATACTTTATTCCACTCACCAATCAGAAAATCGCAAAAATCAAAATTAGGACTTGCTTTTGGTGCCTTTCTTTTGCTCATATTTGCTTTGTAAAAGGATAGATTTGGAATGAAATATGTAAGAGAAAATACAACACTTTCTTACAACTTGAATTACAGGCAGGGTTGGAGTTGAATATGTTGATTTATGAACAATCTTGGACACAACTATCTAGAAAATACCAAAACAAAAGCAAGTAAATATGTATTATCCAGCAACCAACCTCAATCCACCCGACCACCCCTTCCCTTGCTCAAACCTTCTTTCTCCCTTTATTCTCAACATTTGAATTTATCTGTAATATATAGCAGAGATGTTAACATAAGTAATGCCGAAGATGTGGCAGAAACTCAACACGACACTTGAAGATGTCTGTCTTTAAATCCAAGAAAGGAACTATAATTGTATTTGGCAATGTTTAGCACCCCATTCAGCTAGTGGCAAGGTTTTATTGATGTTCAACTAATTACATTTGAAAATGATAATAAAATAAAAAAAGGAAAAAACATAACTTCTTTAAATATTCTAAATTTAGGAATTGAATGATTTGCATTGAACCTTGGCGCACTTTTGGAGGGCTAGAGTTATCTGCTGTGGTACATTTTCATTTAACAAAAGGTTTGAACATTTCACCTCTTAACTCAAGCTCACGTCACAAGTCAAATCACTCTCACTTGTCGCGCCTGATATAGCCTAACGAAACTTTTAGACTCTAAAAAAATATCATTCTTAAAATCTATATATTTTTTGGATTTTTTCTGGCGTATCAATACCCATTTTGCAAGGCAATAATTTGAACAAGAAAATTTGAAATACCTAGCTAGGTAGAAATCAGCGGGCAATACATCATAGGTATACAGGAACAAAGCAATACGACGACGAGAATCCAATGTCACGAAATAAATTTTCAAAATAAATTAAATTTAAGAGTATACTAATATTTCGCCCAGGCATACAGGGCTTCATCAGAGTAAAAATACATCATACATCAACATACAATACAACAGGCCTCAAACGTCATATTGGAATCTTCCAGAAATATTGCTATAAAATCAAGCAATGATATTTCTGTCATTACACTAGTATAAACAAGAAATGGCATATAAGCTATCGTTTATGTACTTCACAATAGAGTATAAGTTTTCTACCAGCTACTTCCCGTGCCGTTCACCATTCACATAACAACAAATCTGACACTACTTCATGTAAGAGAACACTATAGAAGTACCCGATGTATGACTCCACTATCTCTTTTGGACATCTTTTTGCTGACACGTCTTTCGGTGCAGGCAGGGGTGAAGCCAAAAAAAATTTTTGAGGGGTAAAGACGTGCTTTATGCCGACAAAAAAGAGCGTGTCTCACATTTGGGGGAGTGTGGTCAAAAGATAAATACTCTTATATACTGACAGAAGAGTTAATACCTTACAATTGTCGAAAGAGGTTCCAGGGTGAGTACAAAAATAGCTTCTTTTGCCCGGAAAAAAATCCTTAATGTGCCGACGGACAAATGTTTGCACTTTTGCTCTGTCACTTCATACTTTTTGTTGAGGAGGGGCGGGGCATCAGCACTTTTGCTCTGTAAAAAAAGTTTGCCCTGCCAAAAGTTGAAAAAAGCCATAAAGAAAATGAAAACTACAGAGGGTTTGAAGCTATGTTATTGTTAAAGAATGATAAATTACGTTGCTTTTTTTATTCTAAGACATCTTATTTTTGATTTGACTACTTTTTGGTAATTTGCTTTAGACCACTGTCAGGTCGTGGATCTCCTAGGAAAAACCTGTCTTGGGCCTATATTAAGGAAATGTGCTTCAGAAATGTGACAAAAGGCACAACGTATTTTTTAGAAAAAGATCAATATGCACACTATCACCCCTCTGAACTCTTGGTTGGTTAAGCAAGATGTAAAATCACTACACACAAACATTCTTCAAGATTAGAATATCGATACTTAGCCACGATGCCATAAAAATTGTGGGGAAACCACCCCGCTGCATTCTCTAAACCATACATCAAAAGAATTTTGATATTTAGTCTCAAACATATTGAGAGAATATCGGATCAATGTAATAATTCAGCAATTCGACAAAGTCACAGTCACAACTTCTTAAACCGAACAAAACAAGAAACAATGGTCATGTGGCTTTCATGGCTAATATTTTACCACAAGACAATGGCACCTTCGATATAAAAAATATCTTTAAGACACACTTGGAGATTATTGCAAAGGACAAAGAAATATAAAATAGATGGTCGCAAATTTCAATTTAAGTCCTTCGAAAGCATGATGATCTCGAAGATTGGCTTATCCACGCAAAACTTGTGTCACACACTTCATTGCAACCTAGCTCACTGCAATACCCCTGCAACACATATCACAATATATCCAACTCAAATGTTCCACATGTGGTATGTGTGCAGAAACGTATTATTTGTTATGTGAAGAATTTTATATAACTCTACAAATACACTATATCAATAAAATCGTACAAACATACAGTTGTTCAGTTCAGTTGGAATACAGTTGCGTAATATACAACGCTGCAATACATCGATATACCTTTGCTGCAATTATCACTGGATACAGGGCTGTAGAGGAACTCATTTGTATACTGATCATAGAAGAAGCAAACTGATCATAAGCCCCGAAATGGCGAGGAATCAAATTTCAAATTTCAAGGGACTCAAATTACCTCTTGAGGACTCAAATTTCAAAACGCAACATGAATAGCTATATGCATATAATATAGAGATAAAACAATATAGTATGTCTGTTCTGACACATCCTCCAGACCTCCAGATATTTAGACTGGACACACTACTTTAAGAGCAAGCTGAATTTCAGATCTCTCCCGTCACAAGGCAGTTTTGCAATGTCGGGTCGGTATTGCATCTTTTCTTAGTTTTCTGACTATCTGTTCTTTTTGAACGGTTTTAAAGAAAGGGACAAATATTGACCACACTTAAATCTGCAGTGAAAGGAAATCAGAATCAATTTAGAAATCTATTCCCTCCAGACCAAACTGGCAATAACTGGTAATCCCTTAAACCCGGACGTTCACTTGCTTCACTGGCTGTTGATTACAATGGAAAGCTATCTCGTTCTGCAATAATTTCTATTGGTGTTTCTCAGGGCGCCATCCTCGGACCACTTCTGTTCTTATTATATGTGAATGATCCACCAAGCCTTATTGATTCCCGAACAGTGATGTTTGCTGATGATACAACTATCCTGTCACAGTGTAAGTAGTCTTACTCCCATCATTCAAAAGGACTTTGACAGTGTTAGTCTATACTATAGTGTTAGTCTATAAACCATCTTGTCCCTCATCCTACCAAGACAAATATGATTCTTCAGTAAGCCATCACAAGCAACAATGTTTAAAGACCGTACTGTCCTATCCCTCAAAAATGCAGAAATTGAATATGTCAACTCTTACGTCTCACAAGTGTATTGGGTGCAACACTTGGACTACTCTTTACATGTCAAGGACACCTGTAAAAAATAAATTATGGCCTCCAAGTAATAAGAGGTGTTAAGCCTTTTGTGTCGGAGAATAGTTTGATCCTCTCTGCCAACTCGCTTGTCCTAAGCAATTTGGATTATTGCTCACCAGTCCTGTATAACCTCAGCGCTGGCGGGGATGCAATGTTTCCGAGGTTGGGGGTGAACCCCCATAACCCCCCTCAAGTGACATCCCTGTGCACAGGCCTTCTCAAAATCTCTTGATAGCCAGGTATAAAAGTCTGCATATTCCATCAATATTGTGAATTGAACTAGAAGACGATTTTCATGGTAATTTTGTAAAAAATGTTCCAAGAATTGGGAGTTTTGATTGGTGGTATATTCATTGAACCATTTATTCTCCAGTATCGGGGTTTTCTACATGTTTGATAGCCTGTGCTCAAGACCCTTAACCTGTAGGAAGAGGTCTGGAGCACAGGCTACATGTTTGAATCAAATTACCATACTCGTCTTGGGTCGGAACACAAGGACCTCCCCGACTTTTTGCAAAACAGTAGAACCTCTCTACAACATTTTTATTGGTTCTTCAATTTCCTCTTGCCCCCTCTGTCACTTTCTACATTGCATCGGAACCCTTGAATATCGTTCAATCAGCTTTTCTATATGAGTTCTTTTCTTGGAATTCGTGTTCTTTTTCTTAGATGCTGGTCTCTCTTCCATGATTTCTTCAATCTCAGTATCTTCCGCTTAGCTTCCTGTTCACAGTTTTGACTTTGTCCAGCATGTGACACAAATCTCCAAATTATTCAATTTTGCAAGACAATATTTTGCACAGAAATATGAAGCTCTATTGGTTTCACTTTACAGCATAAACCAATAAAGAACAAAAACAACATGGCAGAGAATAAGAAACAACTTATACCAATCAGGTACATCGTTGCATTGCTAGGCCATTGTGGTATACTCGTAGCCTATACGATGAGAGTGAACTTGAGTGTTGCGCTTGTGGCAATGGTTAACTCGACGTATGTACAAGAGAGATCGCATCATACCATAGATCCCGAGTGCCAAAAATCGGGCACTAACTCAACCACTTCACTTCAGGTTTTTTTATTGTCAATTTTAATTCCTCCATCTTTTAATTCAACAAATTTTCAATAACATTTCACATTTGAAATGGGGATTACAAAAACGATTGGCTTGCTATTTACTGTGATAAGTGTTGCTGCTCGAAGAAAATTGTATGTAAATAGATAGTAAAATAATTTTTTCAAGTAAAGAAAACCCCTTTTTTGTTTAGATTAAATATCAACAAGAATTATCACCCGTTTTGTTGTTCCCTTTATAACCTCTCATGAAAAGTTGTTGCACTGGGAAGTGGAGATTAACGAAGTAATTAAGTGCTATACAGCTAAGGGGAGAAACAACTTGCATCTTCCATTAGGGGTTGATGGTTGGCCTGTCAATTTTAATCAGAAATTTCAATTTCTTTCTCTTTTTACTTCTTTCAAATGCCTTCTGGTTCTATGAACTTAAGCATAGGAAAAGAAGCTAAAATAAATATTGAAAAGTAGCTTAAGATTGCTATTTACTCTACAGGATGGTGAATTTGAATGGGACGAGCAGCTACAGGGTATGATTTTGCTTATTTGAGAATTGATTCCTAAACTCTTGTAAAATATACATGCTGATTTCCATGGAAAAGTATTGTCTGTTTCAACTGATAACCAGCATTCAATTAAACCTCTGTTCATCTAGAGCTTTCATGAGACAATCATAAAAAGAACAAGTTACATAGATTGTTGAAGTATGGTGAATTTCTTGGGCTGAAGTATCAGTTTTCTCAAGTATATCAGTAATCAGTATACCTAATGAACTATGAATTATGATGATTATATCAACCCAAAGGCTGTAGCCTTCTCAGGCAAGTGCTTTTCTTAGACAAAACCATTTATTACCAATGTCTCATTTTTGATAATCCACTTGTAGCAATGAAGCCAAATTCTTTAGCTTACAGCATATGGTGATGTCTTAACACAGTCTTCTTTAATTATTTCTTTTTACCAATGTGTCCTATGGTGGCATCTATCTGTAGCAATATTTTAAACAGGTACCATTCTTGGCTCATTTTTCTATGGATATATGGTGACACAGTTACCAGGTGGCTTGTTGGCAACACTTTTTGGGGGCAAATGGGTGTTTGGCATTGGAATTCTTATCACTTCCCTGCTGACCATAGTAACGCCATTTGCTGCAAGGTTGAATGTGAACTTATTCATAGCACTGAGAGTGGCTGAAGGAATTGGAGAGGTTGGTCCTCAACATTATTTTTACATATTTTTTTGCTCTGCATGCCTTTCCTTCTGGTAATTGAAAATTTAAATATGTTTAAGTGCAATATTTTGGCTTAAATAAATGAACAAAATATTTATCCAAATGATGTCTACAGAAATCTATATAAAATTATTTTGGAATAAAAAATTTATGCACCAAAAAACAGCTATTAATCTGTCCTTTTTATTATCATTTTTTAATTTCTATTTCGTCCTAGTTACTTCCAACATTCCAGACAAGTTCCCTTCAATCCACAAATTACTATTTAATGACCCTGAGCGAAAACTAGTGGCTGGTTCTCCAACTATGCAAAATGACATAAAACTTGTGGCAGATTACAAATTTTATTGTGGATAAATTTAATTTTAGATTGAAGGAGCTTTTTTAAGATACTTTCTACCTATTGAGGCTAGCAAGAACAGTATATAATGAGCTTAGATTTATATTCAAGGACATGATGAAAGTACAAGGAAATATTTAATACGCCAGAAAAATTGTATTTTGATTAGATTTGTGCTCACGTAAATGTGTCTTGAATTGAATATTTTATACAAACCTAAGTTGAAGCTTATAAATATTATTGCTCCCAATGTGAAAAGACCTTATAGCTTGAATAAAGCTATCATTGATTTTAATCATCTTTATTAATACACCTTAGTAATAATTGTTGTTAGCAACAATACCTTTGGATGTTAGCCATATTTGGAAAATTTTGTTTAGATACTGCAAGGAACCAAGTATTGACAAAAAATAAAGATGAGTAGAAGAACTAAAGACGACATAGCAAATTAAATTGAGTCAGAAATTTATCTACAGCTGGTACAGTACTTATTCAGTTATCCGGCCTTCTAGGGACATGGGATTTCAAGATGCATGCGGATAATTGAAAATGCAAAAATAACAGCAGAAACAAGCAAAAATCAACAAGATTAGTGTTGTAAAAGTTAATCTTAAGCACACATTACAAACTAAAACACTGATTACTTTTTAAATAGGAATGAATCTTTGGCTGAATGAACATTTCCTGTGACAATTCAAAGCCAATTCCTGTGACAAAACTTTTCTATAAGGTTTTTCACATCTTTTACAGCCTTTGAAATCAAAGTCTGGATTATCAGTGTTTCGAATGATTGAATAAGTCCTGTGCTCTAGGGAAGTTTATGTCAAGTTGCTAAGGTGGCCCTTTCATATAGAAAAGGAAAATATAAACATTGCGAGCTTCAGTAACAGGACCTTGGCAAATAATGCGAGTTTCACTTCAGAAAAGACAATCCAGTATGGCTAGGCCATTTTTGAGCTAGTAGATTTGACTGTTGTCAAATACAGTGAAGTAAAAGATATGATATGGTTGAATTTATATATTCTTAATAACAACACGGTATAGTCATTTCTACCTTTACCTGTGGGTTTTGCTCAATTATAGCAACATTACTAAAAATAAATTTTCAAAAAAACACGATATTTGAATAGCCACAAACACTTTGGAGCCGATATTTCAACGAACGAATATCATGATCTTTACTGGTGAAGGATGCACTGAGTCGATACAGTAAAACTTTGTTTGCCAGTAAAACTTTGTTTGCCGAAAAGGTTCCTTGTTTTTTTATTTATCTGCTGCCACCAACCTCTCACACAGTGGAAGGGTCAGAAAGCAAACAGACTATTTTTGTTTACAGAAGTCGATGTCATCTACTTTAGAGAGATTTATGAACGGCAAAATATTTTTTAGACACATAAACATGAAGTAATGCTACATAGTTGATCTCGTTAAAAGACTACAGATACTTTTCGTTGCACTTTTTCCTCCGAGAAACGTTCGTATGGATTATAAAGAAACCTTTTTGAAACCTTTTCAGTTTTTCATTTCTTTTTATCAAGGGTGTCACATTCCCAGCAGTTCATGCAATTTTAGGAAGATGGTCACCAGTATATGAAAGAAGTAAATTGGCTACATTAGTGTACTCAGGTATCTAGACTATATTTTTGGCTATAATTGACTTCGTTTTTCATTTGGTGTGTGTCTTTTAAATTTTGACTTGACAGAAAGTTTCTTTGAGTTGAGTTGTCTAAAAGAAGAATTATTGACTAGGGTCGTGTGATATAAGATTTCAAGAAAATAAAGACTTACCTCCTAAGACAAATACGAATAGTTGCTGTTTAACAACTTCTTTCAAAATAAACAATCCTGCTTTCTTCTCTTGTAATACGCCAAGAAACAAATTAGTACTTAAGTTAGAAAACAAAACACATAATGGTTATTCAGGCTACAGAACAAAAATCTTGATTACCAGACGAAAAGCATCGTATTGACTGGGGTTTTCGAAGCCTGACGTATGCGGTAGCTAACCTGTGACGAACCCTTCATGGTAAAGCAGCCCTTAGCATCTGGCCTACATCAGTTGTGCTGAAGATTCGAAAACTGGTTAGTCTCATCAAAAGTCCCATCTCTTGGCCAAAAACATTAGAATTATTCAATATAAAGGCAGATGTAGATTTTTATAACTTCAAGAGTTTTTCTCTGTGGATAAGTTTCCTCCTCCCTACGTCATATTTTAGGGCCTTGTCTTTTTGTGTCTTGTTAGTATTAACCTGGGCGGTCCAGCACAAAGCCTTGCATCAACTTGAAATCATGAAACATGCTATGCTAAAGCTATTCTGGACATTTCACCGTGCAATTCCTTGCAATTGTTAAGATGTTCATTCAAATTTTAGGATCATCTCTTGGAACATTATTAGGGTACCCAATTGCTGGTGTGCTTTGTGATTCAAATTTTCTTGGTGGTTGGCCATCAGCCTTCTATGTTTTTGGTAAAGGATTACTCATTTTTTTACAATTCAGTTGATGATGTAAAAAACTTTAAATTTTCGCTTATTGACTGGCTTATAGTTTTCTCCTGAACGTATCATTATACGAAATTTAGTGGCTGTATATAATCAAAGACTTATTGTACCTAGTGGCTTGGTGCTACCGTAAATCCTTCGATTTTTGATTTGGTTTTGTGTTTAGAAAGAGCTATTTAGTAGAATTAAATATGGGTTAAACTTAAAAATTGTAAAAAACCTACAAAATGAGCTATTTGTTAAATTTCCCCATCTCGTACAAGCCCCTCTCGAGTAACCCACATGTGAAAACTGTCCAAAGTCACAAGCCCTCAGTGGGCAAATTTGATGATTTATGGCAATCGATTTACAAAGAGTTTATCGATAATTCACAAATGGTCAAATGCCCCCCCCCCTAACGAGGATAATTTGTTGTAATTATACTTCCAATTTTTATTTTTGCGTTTTCTTGGAGGTTTCTAAATGAAGGTACTCAAAGTTTTCTTTGCTAAAAAGCTGAAATATGTTTTTGCGAAATAAATTTTTCAACCATGTTTTAACTATATTTTTTTCATTTTTTACTGTCGGCTTTACTGTCGGTTTGATTTATGTCTGAGACACTACGATGAATGTATTAAAAAAGGAAATATTTTTTCCACACGAAGGGGGTCTTATACATTTGCCAAAGCAAAAAGATTGTGCAACAGTGAAGTGAATTTTGAATCTCAATTACATGATAGGTTCATTTCCAAACTCTCACTCAAAACTGTTATGACACAGTTTGAACATTCTGCAGGGAAATTTAGTCTCTCTATGTGTTGACCTCTCTTAACCGTTGCCTTCAATTTTTACTATGCAATTCCATTTATCTTTAGGTGTACTTGGTATCATATGGTTCATTTTCTGGTGTCTGTTTGTATCGAGCTCACCCGAAACTCATCCAATGATATCAACAGAGGAACGTCATTACATAATTGCTCATCGTGGAGGTAACAGCTTTCGTGAAGTAAGTGAAGTTGAAATTAGGCGTAGAACTCAAGCATTTAGTTGAAACACTCGGTTCCTTCAAAAGTTATCCGAGTCGGACCAATTTATATCTACTCATATGCTTAATCATTCAAACCCAACCATAAGAGAGAAATTGTGGTCTTCTTGGATCTGGGCAACTTTTTTCTTAATTTTACTCTCTAATTAAGGTGTCATAAAATGTTCCAATTTTTTAATTACTTATTTTTTAATGTATGCTTTCAACTTTGATGCAATGAAGTGCCATAACTTCCTTTTAGGTTTTTCGCCTTTTGTTTTAAATGCGATGTCCCGCATAAGGCAGGTTAATGAAACATGTTATGACCATTTTGAATATTTTGCCTTAATTTTGAGAAAGCTTTACCGGTTTAAGGAAGATCATTTAACTGCTCCACCCCTTAATTTTGAGAAAGCTTTACCGGTTTAAGGAAGATCATTTAACTGCTCCACCCCTTAATTTTGAGAAAGCTTTACCGGTTTAAGGAAGATCATTTAAATGCTCCACCCCTTAATTTTGAGAAAGCTTTACCGGTTTAAGGAAGATCATTTAACTGCTCCACCCCATAATTTTGAGAAAGCTTTACCGGTTTAAGGAAGATCATTTAACTGCTCCACCCCATAATTTTGACACCCCATAATTTGGAAAGCTTTACCGTTTTAAGGAAGATTCATTTAACTGCTCCACCCCATAATTTTGAGAAAGCTTTACCGGTTTAAGGAAGATCATTTAAATGCTCCACCCCATAATTGAAGAAAGCTTTACCGGTTTAAGGAAGATCATTTAACTGCTCCACCCCATAATTTTGAGAAAGCTTTACCGGTTTAAGGAAGATCATTAAACTGCTCCACCCCATAATTGAGAAAGCCTTTACCGGTTTAAGGAAGATCATTTAACTGCTCCACCCCATAATTTTGAGAAAGCTTTACCGGTTTAAGGAAGATCATTTGAAGGCTCCACCCCATAATTTTGGGAAAGCTTTACTGGTTTAAGGAAGATCATTTAACTGCTCCACCCCATAATTTTGAGAAAGCTTTACCGGTTTAAGGAAGATCATTAACTGCTCCACCCCTTAATTTGAGAAAGCTTTTACCGGTTTAAGGAAGATCATTTAACTGCTCCACCCTTAATTTTGAGAAAGCTTTACCGGTTTAAGAAGATCATTTAACTGCTCCACCCCTTAATTTTTGAGAAAGCTTTACCGGTTTAAGGAGATCATTTAAAGGCTCCACCCCTTAATTTTGAGAAAGCTTTACCGGTTTTAAGGAAGATCATTTAACTGCTCCACCCCATAATTTTGAGAAAGCTTTACCGGTTTAAGGAAGATCATTAACTGCTCCACCCATAATTTTGAGAAAGCTTTACGCGTTTAAGGAAGATCATTTGAAGGCTCCACCCCTAATTTTGAGAAAGCTTTACTGGTTTAAGGAAGATCATTTACTGCTCCACCCCATAATTTTGAGAAAGCTTTACCGGTTTAAGGAAGATCATTTAAACTGCTCCACCCCTTAATTTTGAGAAAGCCTTACCGGTTTTAAGGAAGATCATTTAACTGCTCCACCCCTTAATTTTGAGAAAGCTTTACCGTTTAAGGAAGATCATTTAAGCTCCACCCTTAATTTTGAGAAAGCTTTACCGGTTTAAGGAAGATCATTTAAAGCTCCACCCCTTAATTTTTGAGAAAGCTTTACCGTTTAAGGAAGAATTTAACTGCTCCACCCCACAAAGAAAAGCTTTACCGGTTTAAGGAAGATCATTTAACTGCTCCACCCCATAATTTGAGAAAGCTATTACGGTTTAAGGAAGATCATTTGAAGGCTCCACCCCTTAATTTTGAGAAAGCTTTACCGGTTTAAGGAAGATCATTTGAAGGCTCCACCCCTTAATTTTGAGAAAGCTTTACCGGTTTAAGGAAGATCATTTGAAGGCTCCACCCCTTAATTTTGAGAAAGCTTTACCGGTTTAAGGAAGATCATTTGAAGGCTCCACCCCTTAATTTTGAGAAAGCTTTACCGGTTTAAGGAAGATCATTTGAAGGCTCCACCCCTTAATTTTGAGAAAGCTTTACCGGTTTAAGGAAGATCATTTGAAGGCTCCACCCCTTAATTTTGAGAAAGCTTTACCGGTTTAAGGAAGATCATTTGAAGGCTCCACCCCTTAATTTTGAGAAAGCTTTACCGGTTTAAGGAAGATCATTTGAAGGCTCCACCCCTTAATTTTGAGAAAGCTTTACCGGTTTAAGGAAGATCATTTGAAGGCTCCACTCATTTTAAAAAAAAGTTTTTAGTTAAAGGCCTTTTTGAGCACATTCGTCAAAATATTTAGCATAACATAATATTTTTTTGGTACGCAACCCTTTCAGGTGAATGTAGAGATTCTGTAAAATTTCTTCTTTCTCTTTTATAGTATTTTGTAGAAACTTTGGTAGTTGCCAGTGTAACTGAGGCAAATGGTTGTATATTGTAATACCTAGAACCCCCTTTCAACTTTATCTTTCAAGCATTAGATTTATTAAATCTAGGCATCTCAATTTTGCAGCTCTACCAATAAACTGGTAGCGTTTTGGTTTGAAGCTAGCCTGCATTCAAACTGATTTCGAATGTTTTTTTTAATTTCTGTTTTTCCAGTCTGCGATTATATCTCTGAATCTATGGAATATTTCATGTGGTTATGTAACGTGTTTTGTTTTCCTGTTGATCATTTTTATATTATTTCACCACATTCTTAGGGCCTAAGCACGTGTTTACACAGCGCTATCGAAAGAACCCGTACATTCTGCGTACTTATGCAACTCATTTTAGCATATAATTGTTAGGTTTTAGTTTCCTGGCATTGTGTTTTCGCCTTTATGTGTCGTTGCGTCATTGGCGCAAATATGTTGTCTTTACGCTGTTATTCGGTATTTCATCAATTTACGTCAGTTGTGTTTTTGGCCCTGAATGATCAAGATCAATCTTCGCTTCCTAAAAGTGTTGTCTCTCTCAGCTTAGGCCTTAGGGCCTAAGCACGTGTTTACACGGCGCTATCGAAAGAACCCGTACACGCTACTGTTAGAACCAAGACTCGTGATAACCAAATTTGATGTGTTGAAATTTTTGGAGATAATGTGAATGTTAAACCCAAAGTTACAATAACATGATGCCACGTTTGAAAAACCACCCTGTAATGAACTTGCTTCCCCATTTGTGTAGAATGAGATCTTGTTCTCTTTATTTTATAGAGTGATCGTCCACCATGGATAAAAATCTTTACATCCCTTCCTGTGTGGGCAATAGTTGTCGCACATACCTGTCACAACTGGACATTTTACACCTTCCTGACTTGTCTTCCTTCATATTTCAAAGAGGTTTTGAACTTTCCTATTAAAGAAGTAAGTTTTGTTAATGCTTTGCTCTTCAATTCACCTTCAATTAAAATTTTAGCTGAAGCTTTTTATTTGAAGGTGTCCATTCAGGAACGTCTGATAATTGATTGCTCAAGATGTTCTTCCTACTAATCGACTCTGAAGAGCCTGCTACTCAAAGGTCCTTGATAGAAGGGGGGGGGGGAACGCTTATTAATTTTTCGATTTTTTTCTGACCCCACCGCAGCTTTTTTGGACCCGCCCCCCCCCCCCGCTTATTAATTTTCATATGCAATCATTCATATCCCTTATTTCATTTGTCCTTTGTTCTTTCAGGTGTGAAATTTCTGTAAAGTTTCTCTTAAATGAAGTGGTTGCATTGTACAAAAGTTTTAACATAGAAAAGTAGTATAACATCCGAAAAAATTTACATAGGCCTTGCTGATGTACACAATGATAATTAGCCTGCTCATTTTAGTAACACAACAATGCATTATTACATGGTGATAATTGTCATGACCCCAAGAAAGAATTATCATGTGATTTTTCAGATTTTTCACATTTCCGACCCCCCCACTTACTAGGACCCCCCCCCGCTTATTTATTTTTTTAAAAATTTCTGACCCCCCCCAACTATCAAGATCCCCCATTCTATTAAGGATCTTAGAGTACCTAAATGAAACTTCGTGTTAACACCCATCACGTTTTTCAAAGCGTTTTTATTGTTTCAGAATGGTTTCCTGTCAGCTCTGCCGTATTTGGCTGCTTTCATATGCTCTTTGATAGTTGGACAGTTCGCTGATTTTCTTCGATATAGGGGCATTCTCAGCACTGGAAAAGTTCGCAAGCTCATGACTGTATCAGGTTCAATTTCTTATCACTCTGTACCTTTTTTTATTGTGTTTTGTTTAATACGTAAGTTGTAACGAAATAAATTTATAGGAATTTATTCTTTACTTGTAAAATTTATTTTTGATGAAAGCCGTGCTAATTTCTGCCTTGCCTTTAAAGGCGTCTTCATCAAGAAATTGACCGTACATTAAACTTTTTCTGCTTTAGAGCAAAGAGCGTAAAGTTGTTAGATTAAAATATTTCCCTTGCTAGCCAAGCACCCGAAGTTCCTTCTTACGATTTTGGAATATGTAATGTTCTATTTATATGACATCAATAACTTCGGTAAGAATTAAATATGTTTTTCTTTCACGAACCATCTTTAAATATTTGGGCACGCCCTCGATCTTGATCTTTCAAATTTTTTTGATATTTTTTTATCTTAAAAAATAAACTCTCTTTCTAATCCCTTCTCCTGTAACCCTTGTTAGGACCTATCTATAGGCTCGTGATCCTTTCTCTAGCATTATAAACTAAAAAGCGCCTTGATAATAGTTCACATTTATTGCACGCCTCGATAATGTCAGAATAGTTTGTTGTATACCTCGATATAATCATCAGTATTATTAGTGTATATTGTTTACAGGTCTTTTTATTCCATCTGGCCTTCTGATTGTCATGAGCTACATGGGGTGTGGCCAGGTAATCATTGCAGTTGCCCTGGTTACGACAGCTATTGGCATACTTGGCTTTAATGTTGCAGGCTTTTTGATAAACCATTTAGATGTTGCACCGAAATATGCAGGCATTTTGCAAGGAATCACAAATACGGTGGCTACTGTACCGGGTTTCTTAGGGCCTGCCGTTGTCGGCATTCTTACCGAGAACAAGGTAAGGCTTTAGCTACCAAAGATTCATTCTAAGGAAGCGAACTCTATCTGCAGATTTACTTAATAAAAATATTCTTTCATTCTTTATTTTTCTTGCACCCTTGCACCAGATGTATTTAATGATAATGTAGAAGTGAGCTTCCTTTTCTAAACTGTTTCCTTTAAAAAATGTTGATGCACTGTGAAATATGTTACCTAGCAGTGTGGTTTAATAACAAATTCTTCCACTTTGTCTTTAATCAATCCATTCTTCTCATCTGCACGGCTACCCCAGACTTACATTGCTATTTTTGTAATGGCGTTTAAACGTTGAGAAGTTTAAACGTTTAAACTTTTTAGGATCGGATAAAATTCAGTCGTTCATAACCTTTCCCTTTGCTTTACAGCCTACGAGAGAGCAATGGCAGAAAGTTTTTTTCATATCTTCGGGCATTGCTACATTTGGCGGTATCATATTCCTGATATTTGCATCCGGAAACGAACAGACCTGGTGCAAACGGCCCATTCTTATCGATGACGAAAAAGAAAATAACGATGATGACAACCGTCCCTTGGTACAGTAAAAAATTAAATTTGCATTTCAAATAACCCTCTTTTTAGAATACCTGGATTTTTGTAAGATAAACTATAATTTGTAGATGATCAAACCTTTTGAATGTTACAGTTTGTTAAAGAATAATCAACTTAAAAAAGCAGACACTTTGCAGAACTAAACTAAGGATCAGATCGATGTGGGTTCTACTTGTCCTGCAGTTTTAAGTCCAGCCTTGAAATAGGCCCAGGTCAATACAGACGAGAATTTTCCTGAAGATGATAAGGCCCCAGGTACAAGTTCTTTTAAGCTGCCGCATTAGGCCCAATTAAGGCTTAGTCCGGCTTGTAGATACTAAGTTACAATATCTAACACAATTAGTGAGTGAAATGGGAGAAAAGGTAGAATAAGTGAAAGTAGATATTGAGTGACTTTAAACTTTATAACGTAAAGATCATTAAATTCAAAAGATTAGATTATTTTACACTTCTAAATATTTGATGTATTTTTTTCGCTCGGGTTTAAAAAGAATTTCGTAAGATTTCAGCTATCGAATATCTACATATATCTTCAGCTATCGTATAATGTGTTTTTGTGTAGCTTTTTTCAATTTATCATGGTTAGATTCAAATTCGCGCTTTTTGTTTATCTAATGCCCTTGTCTTAAACATTGAAGGGTGCTTTTAAGCTGCATTTTGTCTATCTTAATACTATTTCTAGGTAAGAAGAAGTGAGGGGGGGGTACTCAGAACCCTGAAGGGGGGGGGGGGGGTACCATGCTCACTCCTACGAGTCAGGTTCCCAGGGTAACTAGGAATCCACTCATGAATGAAACCTTTGTTGCTTCAATTGTCTCACAAGGATAGTAGATCATGTAGCCGAAATTAAGCACCATACACCATTCGTCTGTACAAACTCACCCCCCCCCCCTTTGCGAAATCGTGTCCTTGTATTGTCTTTAGTATATGGTTGTCTTGATTACATTACTGTACAATATGAGAGACTCTAACTAGTTTATTATGCTTGTTTTCGATTGATTCTCACCTGCATTCTAAAAACAGAAGTGCCTTGGATGTGCCAGGCTATGCTGTAGGTAACTTCTAGAAGCCTCATCCATGACCACACCCATGACCACACCCAACTACATATACCAATATACTGATTGCCTTCTAAAAAGAAGCTTATCATCAGTGTAGAGGCTTATCACCCAATTTAATCATCCTGAGCCCATATTTGCCCCCTGAGCCCCTTTAGCAGCAACCCTGACTATGAATTGTTTTTAACACTGCCAAATACATACTGGACACCACAAACATTGCACTCAATCAAGTGCACAACATTGGACGAGTCACAGTTAAACGAATAGTTGATCTTATTTTATTTACCTGTAGTGCTAGACTTAAGATTATCGCTGTTAGACATGACTTTACACACTTGACATCTGGACTTCTTACAACACGAACTTCCCCTGTTATTGTGTCCCTTCTCTCTCCCACTAGTAAGTCTAGCCCTAACCAAGATATCCTCAAGACTTTTACACCTCCTAAAAGCAACTACTGGTGGCACAGGAAACACCTCCTTGTGCTCTTCTGAACCAGTGAGCAAGGCATGGTGTTTCCTGGCAATATTCCCCAATCCATCAAGGGCCGGATGGTATGCAGTAACGAATGGAACCCTCTCAGCCCACCCTTCGTTAGTTTTCCTATTTCCCGCATTTTCCAGAAGAGTCTCCCTATCTAACCTATGTACCCTATCTATTTGTTTATTAACTAAGGACTTTTCATACCCCCTATCCTTAAGCCATCCAGCGAGGTTACCTTCATGTTCCTTAAACTGGCCATCACCTGAGCAAATCCTACGATACCTGAGAGCCTGACTATAACGGAACACCTTCTTTGTATAACAAGGGCGACAAGACTTCTTATGTAAGAACTGGTGGGTATCAGTTGGCTTACAAATTAAGTCTGTCATAAGGACTCTCTCCTCTCCTACTTTTACCGTGACATCTAAGAAACTAATAAATTCTGTAGAATGTTCACTGGTAAACTTAATTGTGTCGTGGCTACTGTTGAGATGGTCAATGAATAACTTCAACCTCTCCTCCCCGTGTGTCCAGATAAAGAAAATGTCATCGATAAATCTCATCCAGACAAGAGGCTTGTCGGCGAAGGTATCCATCAATCTCTCCTCTAACCTAGTCATAAAAAGATTGGAATAGGTCAGAGCGAACTTCGTGCCTATAGCCGTATCTAACTTCTACCTATAAAACCTATCATTAAATTCAAAATAGTTATTTTCCAATACAAAGGAAGCGAGCCCAGCTAATGTGCCAGTAGCCACGCTTGGATTTTCCCATATATTCAGCGCCTCCCTTATGGCCTCTAAATCTTCCCTGTGTGGAATGCTAGGATAGAGTCCCACAACATCAACAGTGCATAAAATTGCTCCCTCTGGTATAGTTCCTATATTCCCTATCCTAAATAACAAATGGTTAGTATCTTCAACATAAGACCTACTTTGGCTAACCAACGGGTTGAGGTGGTAGTCTAGATATTCAGAAACATGCTCGGTTAAGGTACCACAATTTGAATGGACGCCCCAAAACATTACTAAGAGCCTTATGAATTTTAGGCAACAAATAAAATCTACCTAGCCTTGGACTGTTTACTTCTAAATAGCTACCCAATTCATCTAACGCCGTGTCCGCCTCCCTTATTTCTTTTAACTTATCACTTAAGGCGTTTACCAGTTCTACAGAGGGGTCCACCTCAACCTCTTCATATACCTGCATATTGTCTAATTGTCGGTTAGCCTCCATTATATAACCCCCCCCCCCCCGATCCCAAATTACAACCGCTGAACCCTAATCTGCTTCTTTCATAATTATGTCCTTATCACGTTTAAGCTTATCGAGTGAAGAAAGTTTTGAAGGAGAAAGTTTACTAAAATTCTTACCCTCCGGTGAAACAGACAGCATTTCTACCGCTGAGCTATCGGGTCGTGCTTTCAAGCCAACACCCAAGGCCGAGTCATTCACCCGCACTGCCCCTCTCTTTTACCAGTTACACAGGGGAGCCATCGCAGCTCCATCACAAAGTGCAGAGTCCTCTGTGTTTCACCAGCCGTCTGTGTTTTAACGACGTTCAAGGATAGCTTATTATCTTGAAGCCATGAAACCAGTCGTTTGTCACAGCCTCCTTTAATGCAAAGGGAAAATTATCTATATAGAGTAGAAAAAGAAGTGGTCCCAAGCAAGACCCTTGTGGCACTTCGATTTCAATATCTTTAATGTCTGAAAAGACGCAGTTTCCTTTACAAAACTGCTTCCTGGTATTCAAATACGATCGTGTTCCAAGCCGCTGATACCATAAAATTTCATCTTATCAAGAAGAATACCATGATCAACAGTTTCAAAGGCCTTCTTAAGGTCAATGAAAATCAAAGCCGTAAATTTCCCTTTGCCGATGTTGACGTACCAGTCATTAGACTTTTGTAAGCATATGAGCTTGTTTTTGTCCAGATATCGATGTATTTGGTCGTGCATAAGTTTTTCAAATAATTTAGAAACAGCTTGTAGAACAGATATTGGCCGAAGTCACCTTCAGAAGGTCACAATTTGTTTCACCTAATATAAGGATTTCTTTGTTCTTACGATCAAAAAAATCCATGTTCTTTTCGACAGGCTCCGTCGGAGGGCGATACCAAGCTACTACCAAAAATGATCTTGCACCCTTAGGCTCAACCTCATTACTTATCATCTCTAAAGCTTTCTCAGGAAAATTATTTCTAAGAGTATGCTTTAAGGAGTCACTAATATAGACTGCAACCCCTCCCCTGTTTCTTGTTCGATCCTCCTGAGGGTGCAATCGTCAATTCACAACAAGTCATTGGCAATATTGTCATCTAGTTTTGTCTCGTTAAAGGCATTGAGTCATGATAAATAGACTGGGTATACCCTAAGTGCCAAAATCCGCTATGTCATGATTTCCATGACTGCGATGCTATTGGTTGACCTTGAACTGGTCACATGAACTCACCTGGTACTGATTGACATAACAGTTTCCATCAATAGCAAGTTGTCAACAACGGATGCTAATATCACATGAAACAGCAGCGATCACGCCGAAACCAAATGACCCCCTATAGAGAAAGCCTATTTACCATGACTCAATGCCTTTAAGTGCCAAAACATGAGTAGATTTCTCTTTCATCAAAGTTTTAATTTCATCAATGTGCAGAAGCAAACTGTTGACATTCAGTGACGGAATTGCCAGCCCCTTCCTGCATCCCAACCGCTGCACCCCCATACTAAGAGGAAAAGAAGATTCGCAAGTACTAGGGGGTTCATCCAAGGATATATGGTCACCGTCTTTTTGCCCAGTTACATTAGTACGAGTATTATCAGATATTTTAGAGATTCAGATGTTGTCAAAACAATGCACAAAGTTTCTCGCTAATATAGAGTTACCTTCGATGATAAGGTGAAGCTTCTTCTTAACAAGACAAGAGATGTCGACCCGGTCGTTCTCAATGAAGTACAATTGATTTCTTGCACAGAGATTCTTCAAGCGGGAATTCTAGTTGGCAACTTTCTTCTCTATTCCGGGTTTGTCTTTCCGAGTAACCAGCCCTGAGATGGCAATTTCTGTGTCCGGTGATTCTTTTTTCAAATCATTGACCAGTGTTTGCAGCATTTCTTCAGTATCAACATGATTTGTGGTAGCATTAGTATCGATATGGACTACAACAAGGCTAGGCCTGCGCCGAGCGACTGACTTGATGTGGTCAATCTGGTCTCTTGAGGTAGCTCCAGGATGTGCGCGTATTTTGACGATATGTTTTTTAGCATTTTTAGACAGACCATGCTCATTAACTCAATTTAGATTTGAGTCGCCTACAACAAAGATTGTTTTCTTTTGCTGGTTTGCTTGCTCGGGTTGATTTTCTTTGGAGCTGTTATCAGAACTGTTTCCACCACGCGGATTGTTATTCCCTTTTTCTTTTGAAGTAGATTCTGTACTCAGGGGAATCTTGCCCATGCATTCTTGGCTTGTTTGTTGCAGCTGTTTTTGTCCTTCCATAGTTGGTCCTTCGCCTCCGGTGGGGCCATGAGTCGTAGGGGAGGCAGAAGATGTGGTCGTTTCGGCAACTCTGCTAGGCTGTTCCAACAATTTATCAATAATTCTCTGCTTGTTGTGCAGTTGTCTTTCCAATGACATTATTCTGTTCTCCAAGCTTTTGATGAACATTTTCTCGTAGTGGAAATTATTTGATCCACTGGTGCCGGATTCAGACATGGACCGATTACAAACATGGGCCTTGACTGAACTCCACGTCTGAACTCCACGTCTAAACTCCACGTCTGAACTCCACGTCTGAACTTCACGTCTGAACTCCACGTCTGAACCCCACGTCTGAACCCCACGTCTGAACTCCACGTCTGAACTCCACGTCTGAATTCCACGTCTGAACCCCACGTCTGAACTCCACGTCTGAACTCTACGTCATGAACTCCACGTCTGAACCCCACGTCTGAACTCCACGTCTGAACTCCACGTCTGAACCCCACGTCTGAACTCTACGTCTGAACTCTACGTCATGAACTCAACGTCTGAACCCCACCTCTGAACCCCACCTCTGAACTCCACGCCTGAACTCTACGTCATGAACTCCACGTCTGAACCCCATGTCTGAACTCCACGTCTGAACTCCA